TCGTTTTCTGGGTTCTGCAATGTGTTGACCAGGCATTAAAATCTCATTTTTGATCAAATATATTTTTTATGTCAAGCAGGTTGTTGATCCATGTGATTTTGGATACACTTCTATGGCTGGTCCTTGTGGTTGTGCATCTTGCTGTGGAAAGTCAAAGATTTCAAAAGAGAAAAACGATTCTCAGAAAGAGAAAAGGAGCGCAGAAGCTGATAAGAAGAAACAGTCTAAGCGGTGCGGATGTGGAGGTTGCGGAGGTGGATGTGGATTAGGTTTTGGTGGCTGTGGTGGCTGCGGAGGATGCGGCGGATATGGTGGATGTGGTGGATGTGGCGGATGTGGTGGATGTGGTGGATGTGGCGGTTGTGGTGGATGCGGCCACGGCGGCTGGGGCTGTCATGGGGATTGGTTTGGTGACATTGGACATGATGACTGGTTTGGAGGGTGTGGTTGTGGGGGATGTGGTTGTGGGTGTGGCGGATATGGAGGACATTGTGGATATGGAGGTCATGGATGGTACGGTGGATGCGGTCATGGTTGCGGTGGCTGTGGGGGCTACGGAGGCTGCGGAAGCTGCGGAGGCTGCGGAGGCTGCGGAGGCTGCGGAAGCTGCGGGGGCTGCGGCTGTGGAATTTTCCGATCTAAGCTTGCCAAGACTGACAAGAAACAAACTGAAAAGCAAGCAAAAGATAGCTCGCAGCCCACCCAAGATAAAAAGGCAGTACCAAATGCGGGAAAAGAGGAGGAAAAGGCAACGAAAAGGTGTGGCATTTGGGGTGGTTATGGAGGATGTGGAGGACTCGGTGATTTTGGTGGCTTTGGAGGTTGGGGAGTTGGCGATTGGAACTTCGGTGGTTGTGGAGGTCCCTTCGGAGGCTGGGGTGGATATCCAGGTTATGGCTATGGCTACGGAGGCTGTGGTGGCTGCGGAGGCTGTGGTAGCTGTGGAGGCTGCGGTGGCTGTGGAGGCTTCGGGGGATGTGGCTTTGGGGGTTATGGTGGCTGTGGAGCCCCTTGTGCTGAAGGAGGACCGTGGACATTTTTTAATGGCGGCTGCTGTAAATCTAACGTGGGTGAAAAAGGTTCTTCTGATAGTGCTCATGATGGAAAGTCTCCAGGAAAAGAAGCTGCGCCATTGTCTGTTCAACCAGCTGGGGGACCTGGACCTGTAGCCAAACCTGCCGCTGCCGCTGTCAAACCTGGTCAACCAGCACCAGCACCCGCTAAAAGCCAAGATCAACCAGCAGCGCAAAGAAAGGCCTCTAAACGCTGCGGAATTCCTGGCTTTGGAGGTTGTGGAAACTGTGGGGGCTGTGGACATGGTTTCGGAGGCTTTGGAGGATGCGGAGGACTAGGATATGGAGGATTAGGGTGTGGAGGACTAGGATATGGAGGGATTGGATATAGAGGATTTGGTTATGGAGGCTATGGACTACCAGGTTATGGATATGGTTTCCCCGGCGGCTATGGCGGTTATGGCCTAGGATTTCCAGGTTATGGATATGGTTACGGTTTCCCATTCGGGTTTGCTCGATCAAAAGTTCCTCAGAAGAATAGAGACGTGAAGCCCAATACTCGTGGGGAAATCCCTGTGGCAGACGATTACACTCAAAGGAAGAAGCAAACTATTCACCTTGGATATGGCTATGCCAGTGGTGACAACTATCGTCTTGGATATGGATTTGGTGGAATGGGAGGTAACTAACGCAAATCTTTCTAAGACCTGTTTTAAAAGTCAATAGTACCAAATGTTTTCAGCTGGAACGAGTTTAAAATTTGGCCTGCCGGAAAACCTTTCGCTCTACTCTGTTACTTGGCGACGCCACAGCTTAGTCATAGACTTCTAAGAGGGTCACAGTGGGGTTACTAGTTAGCCGTAAAACGGCCAAAAAACGTGGTTGTAAAATGGGCGAGTTGTAAAAAGTTTTCCTGTCTACATTGTGTCATTTGTACCATTTGGGATTGACCGTAGCCGTAAAATGGCCAAGCTGTTAACCATCGGCCACAAAGCCGATATGATGATCAGTATAATTACTAACCAACCGTTTCTACCATATGCGTAGCGCACATTTCGAGCGTTAGGTCTTCGTGAGAGCAAATGACAAAGGGCTAACGCTCGAAACGTTAGCGTTGAATTATTATTAGCGTTGTATTGTATTGTATTGTACAGCCAATTTATGTTTTTGTTAGTGCATACATTCCAGAATCGTGTACATATGTTGTTTTATTCGAGAAGTTTTACTGCGATCTGTATGCAAGATATGGTTATGTTCGTCTTTCCTAGGTTTAGCTGGCTATCATGGAGTTGGTGGCGTTACTGGAACTTCCGTCTATCGCTCTAAAATACCAAAAACAAGTGTGAAAGGCATTAAAAGATGGGGCTGGGGACATGGTGGGTATGGAGGACATGGCTTTGGACACGGATTCGGTCATGGCCATGGAGGGTGGGGATATGCTGCACCTTACGGTCATCCCATTACCCATCCGGGATTCACCAGCATTGGATTTCCTGGACATGCCTTGGCAACGTTTGATGTCAAAAACAGTATTGCCCAGAAGCGGGGAAAACAAAAGCGACAAATAGTTCCTTTTGGTGCCGTAAGTCCTGGTCCACTGGCCTTACCTGCATCTGTGCCTGCTGCACTTCCTGCTATTGCACCTCTGGCTTTGCCTGCTACATACCATGCTCCTGTGTATGCCCCAGTTGCACACCCTGTTGCCACTATTCCTTCCTACGCCGCTGTGCCCGCGGCAGGCGCACTACCAGCGACTACTTTACCCGTTGGCTGTAAGTATACTTTTTCTATTTTTGATGCTCTTCGTGGTTTCACTACAAAGTTTCTAACATTGTTGACGTTCCCTCTATGATCACTAAGGTTATGGACAATGGACAACTGTGGTTGATTTTTTTTTCTGTAATAAAAACATTGATGTATTTTATTCCAGCTGAATGCATCACAGTCGTCGGGTTCGTGCTGTTGTTGTTGTTTTAGTTTGTGTAATGCACTGAATTCTACTGTAAAATACAATTAAATACTGGATGCCAATAGACGCTATTACCTGAACTGTTTTTATCGCCCACTCAGTTTCAACTTTTGTGCCGTTTGCTTTGGGAGAAACTTCAAAGACTGCAAAATTCTGCCGTCCGACTTATTACGCGAGCGAAAAACTTTGAACATATTAGTCCAGTCCTCATTAATATACACTGGCTCCCTATAGAACATCGTGTTATTTTCAAGCTGCTTCTCTACACCTATAAAGCACTTCATGGTCTGGCTTCTGATTACTTGGCAAATCTGTTAACTCTGTATACACCTGTCCGCTCTCTCCGTTCCTCAAGGTCTATTAATCTGTTTGTCCCAAGATCTAGAACCTCTACCTATGGCAACAGATCCTTTGCGTGTGCAATCCCCATGCTTTGGAACAAACTTCCTGATTTTATAAGATATTCCGAAACCTTAGATTCCCTTAAAACCAGGCTCAACACTTACCTTTTTAAAATTGCTTATAATTTTTAGTTAATTTGTATCTTATATTTGTACTTCAAATCTTATGTAAAAGCATTGAGACTCATGTATAATGCGTTTTAAGAACTGTAATTATTATTATTATTATTATTATTTTCGAGGTCTTTTGACCTTGCGAACCGAGAACCAGCTTTCTTGTACTGAAGATTTTTCCTCCTCCTTTTCTATCACCTCAGAAAGTCTTTTTCCAAAAATTAAGCAAAGTACACTGATCGTAAAATTCGGAAATTATTTTTTACGGGAGAAATTTTTTCTCTGACGTGGCGAAGATTGCTAAGCGTTACGTTGCATGTTACATTATTTTTTATCGTCGCTAACCTTATCGACGGTGGTTCTCGACCAGTGAGCGCGCAAGGTTTCTACAGTTATATAGAAAGTATCATTATTATACTTATTATTATCACTATTATTATTATTATTATTATTATTATTATTGTCACTATTATTACCGCAATCTTTATTACTATAACCCCATTGAATGTCACGGTATGTTTACATGGGCTTATCTGATTGAATTTCAGTCCACCTTGGTGGGCCAGCAGTTGCCGGACTGGCTCTAGGCCGCTCTAATACGCCACAAGGTTTTGGACCTTTTGGTAACATAAAAAGATCCGAAATGCCAGAAGAATAATTTAACGCGTTACAGGTAGGCAAAATTCAAACGTTAACAGAACTTGCAAACTGGCTCCTGCCTAAGGGTTTGTTTTGTGGTAAACCTGTTCAGCCTCGTATTAGTAAACGCGTCACCTCTATTGTACTTAAATATTCGTTTTGTTATACTTTGCTATCAGTAATGTTGTCATCACAGCTCCGAAACGTTGAGCAAGAATTTTCCCTTTAATCATTTTGGCCTGTATTTGCTTCAAAAAAATCTCTTTTGATGAAATGAAGATGACTGATTTTGCAATTACTGTGACTCGTGTTCGTGCGAACAGTAGACGGTCCTGTTCTGTTAGATACTCGTTCTCCATCGCTTCTTTGTTATCCGCCGACTGCCGTATATTCTCTTCATTCCTTTTTAGAGTAGAATGCGGGGAAATTAATCCCAGTTAGATCAACACTCGTTGAAAATGGCTCACAATTCATGTTCCTTGGCACTTCATGATATCGAAGCTGCAAATATCAACTTCCTTGCACAACCTATTAAGAGAGAGACAGCGAGAGAGAGGGAGACAGAAAGGCGGCGGTGAAATGCATGACAGTGAACTTACATAGATTTTCCTCAAAACTCTTCTCGATTCACTCGGTGCTTTCCCTTCCCATTCACAGAACTTTATGTCCCGTGGGGACAAAAGAGCGAGGATCACCTTTGTAGGCAAAGAAAATCAATGTGTTGTGTCAAAAATTATGAAATTATTCTTTTTTTTTTTTCAGGTTGAAAAAAAGAACACGGAAAGTCCATCATATAAGAAATCACAGGGAAAAAAATGAATTTTTGTTTTGTATCGTCAAGGAGAACAGCTTTGTTAAGAAGTGCTATAGTTCATTTTTTAATTATGTACGCGGTGTGGTCATGTTCCTGATCTGCACACAGACAGTAAATAATTTACCAGAAACGTTTTTAATTTCAATTTGTCGAAAATAAACTGACATCACTGATTTACATACGATTGGTTTCTTTCTTTCTCCAATCTCATTCTTCCACTGATATGAATGGATTTTGGTGGATAAGAGACAATTCAGTGTCAATCATAGTTGCCGGGAAAGAAAACGTATATTAGTGAAAATCATGACATGTCATGACGGCGATGGCTGGCAAATCTATATTTAATGCAGTAGCACCTTAGCTGTTCTCAATTTGTCCCATAAACCGTCAGAGAAAGCTGTGTTTGTCGATAACACTTGTTAAGGTGTGTTCTTTTGACTACCCATATTTCCTTGGCGTATCCCGCTTTATCCTCCACCAGCGTTCCCTCTACTGTTTCGTCGAACCAACCCGTAGGCGAGCCGACTCGTGGGCGCAACTGACCTGTTAGCGAACCGTCCCCTAGCAAGATAACTTATAGGAGAAACTGATTTGTAAGAGAGTTGACTTGTTCGCGAACCAACCTGCAAGCGAGATGACTTGAAGGCGAACCAACCTTTAGGCGAAATGACTTGCAGGTGACCCAACCCTAGGTGAGATGTACGGGCTTGTAGTCAAAACTGACCTGTAGGCGAGTTGATATTTGGGCGACGCGATCCTTGGGCTAATGCATTTTCATTTTCCTCTACAAAATTTCTAGTGGCCCTGTTCTTGCCACTGCATAAAGATTGTGGCCCCCTTGGAGTGTGTACATAAAATGAAATGATACATATGATGCACGATTCTCGCAGTAGAGAACGCTATTTATAGCGAAAATCAGACCTGAAAAAAATCAGGCCTGATCCTACTGCGAGGATCGTGCATCATACGTATCTATAACTGCAGTTCAAAATATATGAACTTCATATGTTCATCGTATCTGACTTATCATCACGGGTTTATTACGAATCAACTTAACGGCCTGCTCCCAGTTGGCTTGTTAGCTCAATTGGTAGAGCGCTGCACTAGTATCGCAGAGGTCAGTGGTTCGAATCCCGTACAGGCCTGATTTTTTTCAAGTCTGATTTCCGCTATTGCATAAACAGTGTTCTCTACTGCGAGGATCGTGCATTATACGTATCTATAACCGCAGTTCAAAATATATGAACCTCATATATTCATCGTAACCAAAACGAAATGAGTCACCTTAATCAAGCTTGAGAAGAAAAAGAGTACTTGCCCTTCATCAGCTGTGAAAACAGCGGCAGAAACTCGTTCACCAGTGGACCAGGGGACACTGCTACAGTATGTACATAGTTTGTTAAGTTCGTTGGTTGTATCAATATTTTTCTAACGAAATTGACTTGTGTTTGGTTCCTTAATTACTGTGTTCGTTTAAAAGAAGAATGGAGTGCATAAAAGGGCACGACACCTTACAAATGTTTGCAAAATTTTATGCAATCCATCATTTTCAGGTTCACAAAAAGGTATGGACCCCTCCCTATTTACACCAAGGCATCCCCCCTCCCCTTCCCTGTTATAAATGACCGGACCCTAGGAAATAAGTTTACAATCCATTACTCTCCACTCCGCTGCATCAAGCGTTTAGATTGCGACTCTCCCGCGTTTATCACGCGACGTAAGACCGGCGTAAACTCCAGGGAACAAAATGAGGTAAGCAGTGTGCGCTTGATGTTTTCTGTTTTACAAAGCGTAAAGACATCTGGTTTTCCTTCACTTTGAATGCCATAAGACTGAAAATGTCACTTTTAGTACCATCTCGTTCCGAAAACGTGTCTTCGCCCGTTCAATTTCAAGTAAAACGGCACTGATGGCTGTGACCCTCAGAAAATATGGAGGCGATGCGTTCATAAAGGTAATAATACACAATCCACCGTTCTTTGATCTTCCAAACTTACGTTAAGGTAAAATTTAAGGTGCTTTTAATATGATACAACTATTCTTGTGTCTTCAGCAGTAACTGATGAAGAATATCAACTTACGAAGTATTATTTAATGACCTCGGTGGTTTGAAATGTAAGCTTAAATGTCTAGAATATGATACAATTACAAATTAACTTCAATGGGTTTGCATTCAATCGTCAAGCTGATCTGTTGGCCTTATTACGGCTAAATCATTCGATCTTGGGCAAGAGTTCCACATAACCCCCCTACATTAATTACGCATAGAGTGTTGCAAAGGAACCTTTCTATTTAGTCTTAATGAAATGGAATGCATAATTAATGTATGGGGTTATATGGAACTCTTTCCCGATCTTGTATTGAATAGAAAATCACGGCACCGGTTTAACTGATACATAGGAATCGGCAACATTGAATACTTGTCTGATTAAATCGCCATTATCTTTCACAAAATTGGTGTTTTGAGTAGTGTAACTTACACTATTCTTGTTCTTTGTACTTTGTTACATGTACTTTGCTAAGTGTATGTATTTATAATTGTTTCGTAATCTGAATGAGTATCTTTCTTTCATTTAAATTTTTTTCCCATTATTATTATATTATTGTCAGTTCTGTTTTGTTTGTTTGTTCTATTATGTGCTTATTGACTGAGTGAGAGGGTCGGACTGGAAAATATTTGGGTCGAGGTCACGCCCGAAAGCCAAATTTTTTCCTGACAAGCCCAACCAAACCCAGTCATTAAGCATTTTACCATATGACCTCTAAGTGATGAAAATTTCAATCAAAATAGGCAGGCACATGCAATCATATGACCACAAAAAAATTCTGAAATTAAGGGCCTGTTACATGGAGTTAGCGGGGATTCCAGGTAGGTGAGGTAACCTGCCTAGCTGTGGTGAAAAAATATAATAGGTTTACAAACACTTGCTGTTAGGGAGTTTAAGCATGGCATCACAAGCTGATATCTCAAGAAAGAAGAAAGATTAATTCTCACACACATGTGTATTTACTTCAAAACCTCTTGTGTTGTGTTATGCAGTGTTAGGTTATGCAAGGGAACCCTTGACAATTTGAACCTGTTAATATCTTATAAGCAATAGTATGAGAGAGGAAATTGGTCAATTCACAAGGGTAATTATTCTGAAATGTAAAGATTTTACACTCCCTGTATATCCATTGCAGCTTCTGGTGATCTGTACCCTTTTGGGCTTGCTTTGCCATCACAGTTATTCTTATCATACCCCATCTTATGAGAAGAAAATTTATTTTCCCCTAAGATTTTCATTAATAGTTTGATAGAATATGAATGCAGTCGAGTTCAAAGTAAAAATGTAAGTAAATTGCTTCCAAGGTTTCATCGCTAAGAGGATGTAAAAATTGGTGTTTTTAACAGTTTAGTTCTGTGTGATGAATGCTCCTCCAGCTCGGTGGGTTACCCTACCTTGAGACATTTACAAGGCAAATTGTCACCCTGGTTGACAGGTTACCCTAGCTGGCAGATGGGTCACCCCAACCTATAATGTAAATGAGATCAAGATAACATGAGAATTATTTGGTTAGCTGGGTTACCCCACTAAGGTGGATTACCTTATCTATCTGGCCCTAAAACTTTTACTTCACGCAGTTCCTTGAAAAACGTGACTTTTTTTCACACTTCTGTTTTCCCTAAGTTTGTGCAACAAAGTGATGTGAGGGCAGCAGAGCCACAACCTCGGACAAAACCTGTTGAGACACATCACAAAAATACCTATTTTTTGCACTCACCCTGACAAAAATGCTTCTCGTCGCAAATTCAAAGATTGTTTCCCCCCTCCCCTATTGCAATGTTGTTTGTGGTAACACAAGAAATGCATGCTTGAGCTGTTAAGCCTCAACAACATTGTACCAGGGGTGGGGAGGGGGGCAAGTTTGTTCCTTTTGGAAACAACTGTTGCATGGCGGGAAATTAAAAATTGCATTGAAATGTCTCAATAGTTTTGTCTGGGGTTGCAGATGTTTTTTTTCCTGACTGACTCGGGTTAATTTATGCGGCCCTCCACACCTCAGCACTCACTATGGTTTTCTATGGGATTGTGCAAGCAGGGCCGAATGGGTCATATGATAACTATCAATGCTCTCCACCACCTTAATATCTATTATACATATCACAAGCTTCTACTGGTACATCTATGCAGGTGTAGGTATCAAGCAGGGCTTGGTAAATTAGTTAATCTATGTACTTCTCTTTTTGTATTTATTTATTCTTTCTGCAAATGTATTTCTTTTGTATGCTCAATTCTAATGGAGAAATAAATCAATAAGGAAATATTAAACCACCAAGTGATGGATGACAAACAATTTGTAGAGAATTGATTTGTAGATCTTGGGAGGGAAAGGGTAAATCATTTAAGTGTCAAGATCAGCTTAATTATTCTCCCCACCTACTGCCATAAACTTGCACACCCAAAAAAATTAGGTGCTACAGGTTTATTTAGCTAATTAGCTTGCCTTTTTTATATATGGTGAAGTTATTTGTTTAACATTCTGTGAACTATATAGGGTTAAGCAAATGTCCTGCAGGTATTGTTAAATTCCAACTAGTTGGTCTTTTTCTCCAGTCTTGTTCTTTCTTTGTAAGTTCTGCTGGACAAAATATGCCTTGGTTTTCAACCATGAGACTCATAGGCAATTGAAAACGAGCCACTGTAGTGAGAGAAAACAGTACTGGACAAAGGCATAGAGATATGAAAGATCATTAAATTTAACCTTTATTTAGGTTCTTTTATAAAAAAAAAGTAAAATAGAATATGACATAAGGGGCTTGCTGATTTGAGTAGTGTTCAGTTGATAATTATATATTTACTATTTGGTGTAGTGACCTATAGGTCTTTTATATATTTGAACTATAAAATGTTATTTCTTCCTCGTCTCTTTTATAGAATTGATTTGATAATGAGAAGCTAATTGTCCTCAGCTCCAAGTTGTTGAATAAAACCCTGGCAGTGCCATTCTCTTAGAGTAACTGTACTTTAGAAGCGTTGGAGAATATGACAGCTCCTTGTTTATCAAACACCCAAGGTAAGCATATTAAAAGCCCTTTGCTATCAGCTGAATGTCATAAATTTTAAGGCACATGAGCTGATGTCTAATGTGCCAGCTAGCTGTTAGCAAGTCAAACAGAAAGAGTAAAATAGATATGATTTTAACAGATTTTTAGTTTATGATTTCCACAAAGGGTTCACCTGGCAGAAACCACTGCCAGCTTAACATTGACTAATTAATGTGTTATTCCAAATAAAATAAATTAAGTGCATCAGTGAACCCTGATGATTGGGCCAGATTTGTAGCCCCCGAAGCTCATAAAAGCTGTGTTTTGCCACTTATAACAGTACTTCCTAATGTATTTTGGGGATTAAAGGGTTAAAATCTAAAAGAAAAAATTTATAAAGTTTCCCTGTGGCAATACCCCAGTCTACAAAACATTCAAGCTAGGCTGGTCATTAAAACAAAGTTTAGCCATTGTCTAACAGAACTGTGTCCTAAACAATCCTCAGTTTAGCTGGACCTGTTATCTGAACATTTGTTTTTGTAAACAATGCCAAGAGGGTCAAAAGCTAGTAGTGGAAGGACATTTTTGTATTTAAATCAACTCTGTTATAGTTAAAGCCTAAGGTCCACTCATTGTATAAAACTGTGGTTTGGATCAGACCTAGTCTTAAATAACTGTCCCATAGTCATTTCCAACCAAAAAACATTGTAAATGCTGTGTGAATGAGTTATATTACTTTATTGAATGGGAAAATGAAAACAGGATGGGTCAGCTTCCAAAGTCAGGCAGATTTTCTCACTGAGTTATTTTAAGACTGAAATACATATTATAGTGACTGTCACAGAAGTGAGAGTTAAATGTGAGATTTAAATGACTGGAAAATAGTCCATTTATGACCATCTCTAGACTCTTTTATCTCAGTATTAGAATATGTCCTAAAGCCTGTGTCATGGTTCTCAGTATTTAAAGGGGGTATTCACATGAACAAAACTTAATTTTTGCAAGTGTTGCAAGGGTTTTTAGATAAATATGGTATCAAGACCCTACATTTTTATGAGTAAGACAGCAACATTCTCTTCATCTAAGTTTAATTGATCCTGAAATTCGAGTCATATACTGTTTAGGTTTAATAGAATATAAGTCTGCAATTGGTGTTGCAGTTTCTCTATTACCAGATTCCTTTCCTTGAAATATTTTGCCATTAGTGTAACTGTTACCAGACCCTTGTAGTTCTTCAACCTCTAAACTTTGAGGAAACAGATCTTCATTTGATAAAGCTGTGTGTCCTTTAGATTTTATATCAGATGATTCAACAGCCGATAAGACCATTTCTCTGTTGTCCTTTTCTTTTCCTTTAGATACTTTACCATTGCTTTCACTGGCACCAGAACCCTTCCCTTCCCCAGCCTCTTTCCCACCAATTTTCCAACTAAATGAGTATCCACCTCCACCTCCTTTTCGTCCTCCTTCCTTACCTTGTCCTCCACCTCCCTCTCTTCCCCCTCCTCCTCCCTCCTTACCACCACCAACGTTTTCACTAACTCCCACTCCTCCACCTGCATCTATGCTAATACCTGCTCCTCCACCACCAGCTGTTTCTGCAGTACCTTCTCCTCCAGCTGCTTCTCCACCACCTACTTTTAAACTTGCTGCTCCTCCACCACCTCCTACTCCACCAGCTGCTCCACCACCAGCAGCATTCCCTCCGCCAGCCCCCCCTCCACTAGCTCCTCTACCAGCTTCTCTACCAGCTCCTCCACCAGCTTCTCCACCAGCTGCTCCCACACCACCTGCTGCACCAGCTCCTCTACCAGCTCCACCACCAGCTGCCCCTCCACCAGCTGCCCCTCCACCAGCTGCCCCTCCTCCAGCCCTCCCTCCACCAGCTCCTCCACCAGCTGCTCCCCCACCACCTGCTGCACCAGCTCCTCCTCCACCCCCTCCTCCACCAGCCTCACCACCAGCTGCCCCTTTACCAGCTGCCCCTCCTCCAGCTGCCCCTCCACCAGCCGCCCCTCCAACAGCTGCCCCTCCACCAGCCGCCCCTCCACCAGCTGCCCCTCCACCAGCTGCCCCTCCACCAGCTTCCCCTCCACCAGCTGCCCCTCCACCAGCTCCTCCTCCACCAGCTGCCCCTCCTCCAGCTCCTCCAGCTCCTCCAGCAACCGTTTCTCCTTCAACACCCCCTCCACCACCAGCTGCTTTCACGCCTGCTTCTCCACCAGCTGCCCCCCCACCAGCTCTCCCCCCTCCAGCTGTACCTCCACCTGCTGCTGCCCCACCAGCTGCTCCCCCTCCAGCTGCACTTCCACCTGCTACACCTCCACCTGCTGCACCCCCACCAGCTTTATGTCCACCAGCTTTACCACTGGCTGCTCCCCCTCCGGCTACACCACCCGCTTCTCCTCCACCAGTTGCACCCCCACCGGCTGCACCTCCACCAGTTTCACCACCATTTCCTCCCCCACCAGCTGCCCCCCCACCAAGTGCTCCTCCACCGGCTGCACCCCCACCTGCTCCACCACCAACTACTCCACCACCAGCTTCTCCACCAGCTGCACCTCCCACAGCTGCACCTCTCCCAGCTTTGCCACCAGCTGCACCTCCACCAGCTTTACGACCAGCACCTCCTCCACCAGCAGCCCCTCCACCAGCTTCACTTCCAGCTGCACCTCCACTAGCTGCACCTCCTCCAGCTTCACCACCGGCTGCTCCTCCACCAGCTTCCTTTCTACTTTCTTTCCCAACGCCAGCAGAGGGTGGGAGTCCTAGTCTATCTGTCAACCAGGATGGTAGCCAGAGTTTTGGTCCTTCACCAGGTGGGAGAGGAGCTGGAATAGGCTTAGATACGATCAGTGTTGGCATCATCCAGACGTCTTCCAGTTTTTTTCCTCCAGGGTTACAACAACAAGGACAGCATGGTGGCATCATACAAGACTGTGGCTGACATGGTAAGCAATCAGAGCAGGAACAACCACATGCGGATGGATTGAAACATGCACCACCACTACCCCCACAGGGCATAAAACATACGGATCCGTCTTGCGTCGAAGAATCGCCTGACTGATCTTCATTTAATTTCCCTTTCTTCCCTTTATCTTTAGGTTTTCCTTTGTTGTCTTGCGTGCCTTTCAAGGTATGATCCTCACTGTCGCTCCCTACATCAGGCTCTTTGCTATCGTCAGTCTCACCATCGTTTTCATAATCGTTAAGCCTTTTCAATGCGTTTTCTAAAATCTCGTAAAGTTTTTTAAAGTTCTCTCTTGAAATAGAGTGCACTGGACCTTCGGGTTTTTCCTCTTCCATTCTCTTCGTAACGGAAAAACCATGACCATTTTTTTGAATCAACAGTAGTCTTTTTGAAAAAGGTTTTGAGTCTTCGATTGCCTGAATAACTAAACCATTGAAATCTTTGATATGTTGTAGACGTCTAAAGTATGTAACGTAATTATATTCACTTGATTTGTTATTGTATATTCCAACTATGAAACACTGAAACTGAGTCAATACAAAAGCAAACTTGACAACTTCATACATTTCAGTCCATATTTCTCCCAGTTCCTCTTCCCCTTTGTTTGAAAGTCCGACCGCATCGTTCAGCTAACAGTAAGGAATTCTTTGCTGTGATGCCATGGGTACTTTATCATACAAAGCATGTTTTAAAAGTTTTCTTCACTAAGTGGAAAGATAAAAAGATGAAAAAATGCCAAGACCTTTTGCCACCTTGACTCCTAGTGTTATCGAGCATTTAAGTTAACAGGTCACTATATTATCAGAGACTTTGGGCTATCAATCATTCATGCTTAGATCTTGAAAGTGTTTGGACAATGTTGAAGATTGAGAAAGATTGAGAAAGATTGTAAAGTTCTTGGCGCTCGTAGTTGACCATTGATTCGTTAATTGTTAACAATAAGAGAATCAAGTTTTAAATCAGTAAATGAATTGATCAAGATTATGAACTAATTATCTTTTTCGAGTAAGATGCTTTTCAAAAGGTCACCTCTCAGATGTACCGTTGCCTGGTTAAAGGAAAGGTATTTAATCAACAAACTGTTTAATAAACGTTATTAAGGGATCATCAAACTCTCAGAACTATCTCCTTTTCCGACCAAGATAGACTCCATAGTGTGGATAGCCGCATTTCGCTTTTGCTTTTAAAGGTTTCATTTTGAATTTTGGTGGAGTGTATTTTACCTTGTACATTATCATTGGACGCATTAAGCAACATCCACCGCAACCACAAAGAGGAAAGCAAGGAAAAGATGGCTTCGGCTTGGAAGACTTATCGTTTACTTTGGTTACTCGTCCCTCTACATCTTTCGTTGTGTTTTGACCTAAATCCTTCAGACTACTCAAAGCCTTCTCCAATAATCTGCAAACTGTTTTAATCTTAGCTAAGACGGGATTTCTTGTAGAGCCAACACTGCCGGTTCGTTTAACGCTTCTTGGGCCTAAATTCCGTTCCGCTCTTCCACTGTGCAGACGTCTTGAGCTGTTGTTAGAACTTGATCCAATATTGTTTGAGTGATTTCCTGGATAAACTACAGTAGAATCAAACATTTTCTGTAGAGTTTCGCAACCAACGCCTTCGGTTGCGGAACAAATGCCTGGTAGAGTTGAAACAGTGGCAATGCAACAAAATATTAAACGCCACAGAATTTTCTTACGCGATTTTTTCGTCGACAGCGATGGGAACTTCTTATCTTTTCTTAAAATATCAGTCATTGTTTAGTCTCTAATTACCAAGTGAATCCACTTATAGAGCGCCAGTGTTGGGGGACTTCGGATTCAAATTTAACTAAGGTCAAAGGAATTCAATTTCATTGTCTATTACGGGTAGATTTCACAATTACTGATATTTATATATACAGATATCTATCTATCTATCTCTCTATAGATATGTGTAGATGGGGCTCTGAACGCGTAGGAAGAAAAACCAAGTGCGTGGCGCAACCAGCCCTTTTATGTTATCCTGGAGTCTCTAAAACCTTGATAATTTCAACAAAGGTTTTGAATCGCCGAAACATAAAATTGCTCATGCACTTCCGCTTTTTCTGTTTTATCGTAACCCGTTTACCACCTCAATCCTCCCTCCACCACCTCAAACTGATAGATTAGATACTTTTGTTGGAAAACCTTTCTGAAAAGGCAATCGATCACAGGTGAAATCATCGCAATTTCCACTTGCAGAGGAAATTAAGTCCTTAAAGGTTAAAATTATTTATTGGGCAAATTACTGATTCTGGTACTATGTATCTTAATGGCAGAAGGAGGGCTTTTAAGATCTTAAGGCCAAACCTTAATTTTCTGTATAGCGAACCCGAATCTTTCGTTTTTTACCACCAATGAAGTTCGGTCTCACTTCGTAGGATAGAACGAAGGAGCATGGTAAAAATATATAACACGCTCGTAACCTGGCATTCCCGTCTTAGTGAGAGTGCAGTCACAGTGCTGCGCACGGGCTATCTCGGAGTAAAATAACGTATTTCGATCGTCATTTCTGTGGGTACACACGTGTGGTCATTACAAGCTCAGGATGCAATTAAATCAGAATGGAGCCTTGTAACCTCAGCAGATAAAGTAGATTGAACATATAAAGGCGTAACGTAAAGGAAACAACTCATTAAAAATATAAGCTGGGTAGGGCGCTACGCTAATTTTTGTTGTTGTTGATTGTTTGTTTGTTTGTCTGTTTTTCTGAAGTAAAGTTATCATTCGAACTTTATTCACACCCTCAATCCGATTGATTAACCCGTGTTGTAAATTTATGAACATTGTTAATAACTTGATTCCTGATGACTGAAAGATATAAAGTAGACTTCTGTGATGTTAATCCAGGAAGCATGCAATTCTACTCTCCATAAACGTCCAAGGTGTTTAGCCATCTTCCAAATGGGAGAAAAATTTTTGTATGGTTATAAGTAACGCTATTAGTATTATAAGTGATTCGCGATAAAGCTTCAAAAAGGGACTTGGGACGACCCGAACTAATAAGAGCAGCAACAATAATTCATTATTGTTTCATAAAAGCACACATCATTTTACAGTTTTTGCTTAATTTATTGACCAGGCTTTTTGCGTGCAAAGCTATCGAAAACGTTTTCTTCGAGACGAAAAATATTTATTTCAATAAGGCATTGATGTGTTCAATATTTGCTCCATGTTGCCTCAGGCGAGCTGAAGTGATGCTGTGTGTTTTTGATCTCTCCGAATCCAAGGCTTCTTTTGAAGTAATGAGATCTAGAAAAGTAAAGTAGAGGAAAAGAGGTCAGTATTTGCGTCATGTTTAAGGCAGTTTTCGTCTTAATTAGGCGAATAGAAAATAGATTTTTTTGAAGTTTTTCTGCAGTGTTAGCGTCTTGTTTAACTTGACTCAAGTTCTGATGATAGAAGAAGGAAACAAGAAATTTGATTGTGAAATGGCTGAAAAGGTAACTTTCTGCCATGGCAGAACCTTTGGGCAGTGAAGTAAAACTTTCAGTGGACATCTTTTTGGCTACACTGTCGGCTTTCTTGAAAAATGCTCTCTTAAGATATAGCAAATACCTTGTTGATCAGTTTAAAATGCTCTCGGAAAAGGCATCACTGGTACTCCTTTGAAGAACGGGTGGTAGAATGGTGCATAACCATGATTGTATGGAACCGGCATGAAAGGAGATCGCTGTTCTACCATCAAACTGCGTTTCACAGGACCTCGCTTGCCTAAAGTGTAAACGGGACACAAAGTGTGAAATAGTTACCGAATCGGAGGTGACCAATTATTCTCATTAGAGACTGACTTTTTGCCACTTCACATAGATGCTCCTTCTCAAGATGGCTAGTTGACCAGCTACTCGATTCAAAGTTGGAGCTCGAGGTTCCTATCTTTCCTAAGTTATTTTAAGCGTGGACACAAATGCCATTACAATTTCACTTGCTCTTTACGAGGGGAAATAGAATAGTACACGCCTTACTTGATCTTCTTAAACAGTGATGTCCACAGGCTGTGTGGTGACTGTGTGGTGATGGGCAGTGACACACTGGTTCAGGTTTCAGTGGTTTGAAATCAAATTGAGGTGGTGTGCAGGTGCAGCAGCAGGGCCACATGCATGGCCACTTGCACTTTCCAGGTGGGGTCTTTTCTTTACAACATTCACAACCAGGATTGTTCACAGTAGCGCCAAATTGACAGGGAAATGTTAGGCTTGGGCAGCAACCGGTATTGCACCCTGAGCAAGTGACTGGGGGACCGAATCCTCCTTTGCAGTTGGAGCACATTGTACCGGGGGCACACCAGTCGTTTGGTCCACAGCATCCGCATCCTCCGCATCCTCCGCATCCTCCGCATCCTCCGCATCCTCCGCATCCTCCGCATCCTCCGCATCCTCCGCATCCTCCGCATCCACATCCTGGTCCGTAGCCTCCCATGAAATCACAGCCGCCAGAATCGAAGGAATCTCCACATCCCAAGCACCCGCATCCGCAACGTTTTTCTACAAGCTTTTAAATAGCACAGACTAAGAAAACGCAGTACAACTTCGAGAAACATGACAAAAGAGGAGTTATCATTTGACAATTCACACTGAATTGGGGTTTACCGCCAAATTAAGTGTTTTCTTAGAAGTGCCTTGTAAATCTTTGCTGTTGCGTTTTTCTCTGTGTAGCTGCTAAGTAATATCGCTTGGAGTATCAAGAAAGTGACCATTTAAGATGTGCTTCCAACCAAGGTTACCTTAATGTGTGCAAGTGCACTCCCATCTTGCAAACTTCCCAGACTTACCGGCTTTGAGTAGTGTTTAAGGGACACGATATTACTTTCCCACGATGTTTTTCTTTTTCCGGTGAAGGGATTTATCTCAATACATTTCAAGTTATACGTAACAAGCAAGCGCGCACGGCTTCAATGATACTTTATTCAACCTTTATTACACATTCTTTTGATAAATAAAGCAGTATAGTCGTTGGATCTTTATTCTTCTGCTGTGATCGAAAGGATAACATGGCTGAAAATTTCTCAAGTGTTACTGGATGGCAATACTGCAAAACACAAACCAACATTATTGAAATATGAGGTTAAAACAATCAAGCTGCCTTTGAGAAACATTCTTTGAAATGTTGTCATCAACTCCTATTATATTTTGAAGTAAACCAATCATAGTATCGGAATAAAGAGAACTGTCGAATTGTGCATGTCAATTTTATGAACATTGTTATGAAGTTTTATGAACTTAGGAAATGATTTGTATGTTACCTTCTGTGGCCGTTATTATCATGATCTTTTGGATTATACTTGTGGACTGGTTTCTAGATGACTTGGAACTTGAAGAAAACCTTGAGGCTTGATTTGAAGGCCGTTGACAATTGGGAAACTGAATGGAGGAAAAGCTTTTGGAAACGGCCCACCAATAGAGTTTAGCAGGTTTCGTTTAACAGGACCTTAGTTATCTGTTGATGATAAAAAAAAAACAAAACAAAACAAAACAAAACAAAACACGGTAAAATTCAGCTGCCGGGGTTAAAGGCTCATCCTGCCGAAATTAATTGAGATCGGTTAGTTCAGGTGAATAGTACTCTCCCCCAGACGGGATACATGTCTATGGCAAGGCTACCCCTTAAAGGCTTTGGGTGCCTGTTTATAATCTTGTTGGGGAGAGACGAAGTGACCTGCCAGAGAAATTCACACAATTCTCTTGCCAGTTTCGCCTGTTTCTTAAAAAATAGCAATTTTAAAATACAAATCGAAATAAGGCTCAAAATTCTGGCCATATGTTTAACTTCGACGGTATTTCTATAATTTGTATTTATATAGCGTCAATTTATTGCTGTTTTATACAAACATTGAAAACAAAAACAACGATAAAAAGCTTTACGAGACCCGTAATAAAGAAGCAGGTCCCATTACGTGAACCAGGACCTGTTATTACAGACTTTAGTGCCCCAACCAGTGGGCCACCACGGCTCCCTCCTGGCTGGAATTTTAGCGAAATTCTATTTGTCCTCTTCAAACGCTAATACTTTTGTCTAAATTGAAAAGAACCTGTGTTGAGTTTGCAATCCCTTTAAAATAGACTTGTATCAATAACATTAGGAAGGAATCGGACATACTTGTTTGGGTCGGGCGTTTTCTGCAACAACGCCTGTTTGGACATTGGCACACTGACTTGGGCCCTAGAGCTTTCAACTTGAACTTAGGTGGATCGTACTCGCAGCAGCATGACCACATACATGGCCAGATACATTTGCCTCTGGGAGGCTTCTTACAGCACTCGCAGCCTGGATTGTTGACACAAGCACCAAATACACAAGGAAATGTAAGACTCGGAGAGCATCCACAGTTGCAGCCCCCACGTCCAATCGGTGGTCCAAATTAAAGCCTCCCTTGTAGTTTGCACACATTGTAGCATTAGCACACTAGTCACATGACCCACCTATACCCAAACTGTAGCCACCGAAGCCACCATAGCCACGAAACCCGTACTCGCAGCAGCGTTTTCTTCCACTCATACCTAAAGGGAACGAAACATTCATTTTAAATTTTTTACATTTTCTCGGTCAAAGTCTGTCAGTGAATGCAAGAAACTATCATTTAAACATATTAACAAGAAGTAAAAAAGGAAAAATTAGTACTATTAATATCTTAAGTACTCTATTTAGTGAATCATTAATGTCTTTACTTGTGGGCAACATTTTAGGTACGTCACTTGTGTTAAGCATACTTTGTAAGTCATTTGATGCGATTATGCTAAAGAATACAAAGGATTATGTCATCAAGTATTGATCACGTTATGTTTTACCTTACAAGGTCTACATTACATTATGTAGCTGCTTATTAGCCAACAAATTGTTTTAGAGGCCAGAATAATTGTGAATTGACGAATGGTTAATGGCTCCAAATTGGAGATTAATGGTAAGAAGAGATGAGAACTTTGCGTATGATAGATGTAGCATAGTCACAAGGCAAATGTTATTTTATGATAAACATGAACAAGATGTGTGGTACCTGAGGAATGTGTAGTGGACTTCTGTGAAATTGTGCCATTTAGTGTGCTTCCAAATCCATTTCTAATCAACTAACTTCTGTAATGGAGTAAAAGCTATCTGTAGCCACCGTCATCGCAGACGGAGAAAGGTGTATTCCCCACTTAATCATATGTTTTATTTAACCTAAGAAGACCAGGTATTGCGAGTGTAATATCAACAAGTTAATAATAACATAAGGCACAGTTTACAATTTTATATAAGAAAACCACACAGAATCGATATCATATTAAACCTTTGCTCAATTTATTGACCAGTATTACAATATTATAACTGAATAGCATGGAAAGTTATTGAAAAAATTATTTTTTCTCTAAATGAATAATTCTCTTCTCAACGAAGCGTTCATTGTTCATCATTCGTTCCGCATTGCCTTGGGCGTCGTGATTTGAAGGTGTATGTTTGTCATCTCTCCCATATCTGAGGCTCCTTTTCAAGGTACGAGATCTGTTGTGATAAATTGGAGAGATTTAGGTTAATTTGGGTTGTGTTTGAGACCAATTCTTCGTCGAATTGGTGGTATGACTGTGATGCGTTAACGATTTGAGCTTTTGTTAAAGATTCAGATATCAGAAATACCTTGTTTATCGTTTAAAATGCCCTTGGAAAAGGCATCATTGGTACACCATTGAAGAATGGGTTATAGAATGGTGCATAACCGTAATTGTGTGGGAGTGGCATAAAAGGAGATGGCTGTTCCTCCATCAAGCTGCGTTTTACAGGGCCTCGCTTACCTGAAAATGGTGGCAAAAGAAACAAATTAAGAATGCGTTACCTATTGTAGGGGAATAATTATCCTGATTAAAACAACTATTGTTTTAGCATATTGTGCCACAAAATTGAAATACAGTCTCAATTTAAAAGCTTCTCAGATCAAAAGCTGTTAAATCAAAGTTAGGAAGGTTTGCCCCCAGGTTTACGTTTAGTTTCCCTACTTACTTGATCGTCTTAAACAGTGATGTCCACAGGCTGTGTGGTGACTGTGAGGTGATGGGCAGTGACACACTGGTTCAGGTTTCAGTGGTTTGAAATCAAATTTAGGTGGTGTACAGGTACAGCAGCAGGGCCACATGCATGGCCACTTGCACTTTCCTGGTGGGGTCTTTTCTTTACAACATTCACAACCAGGATTGTTTACAGTGGCGCCAAATTGACAGGGAAAAGTGAGACTAGGGCAGCAGCCGGTGTTACATCCTGAGCAAGTGACTGGGGGACCGAATCCTCCTTTGCAATTGGAGCACATGGTACCAGGGGCACACCAGTCGTTTGTTCCGCAACATCCACCACAACCACCGCATCCACAACTTGGTCCGTAGATGCCTCCAGGTGCTCCACCGCAGCCTCCTCCCAAGTAATCACAGCCACCAGAATCGAAGGCATCTCCACATCCACCACATCCACCACATCCACAACATCCACCACAACCGCAGCGTTTTTCTACAGGAATCAGAGTAGCGAAGAACGTCAAAAAAGAGAATAAATTTCGCGAGGGAATGAAATGAACTAGGGGCGTCTTTACTTTAAATTTATTTAAAACATCTTTTAGTTTAATAACATGTAGAAATAAGTTCTATTTTTTAATGTTTATTAAGTTTTATCGTTGAGTAGTTGTTAAATTCTTCTTTAGGCTATCATTATATTATTTAAGGAAGTATTTTAATTAATAACATTTACTTGGATTTAGTTTGTTTTTAACTTAAAAATACATTTATCATAGTAATAGTGAGATCCACGTACCTTAGATATAAGATTTTTGGCGAAAACATTACATCAAAACTTCATTAGATACTTCAAAACTTCAACAGATATTTACATGTCCCAAATTGTTTCTTTATTGCAGCAATGATTGATTTGTAAATGTTTTCTAACTACATTTATTTAAAGATCTATAACTTTAACACCCTAATTAATCAAAACGTTTTACTATTGTCCGAAATCTTAAATCGAAATTAATGTATTATTCTGTGATATGCCGTTGCCATCCTTCTATAGGGCGTTCTGCAGAGAGAAAAAAAAAAAAAGGAAACGTGAAGTACCTGATCGATGTTAACATCCAATAAAAAATAAAGCGTCCTTCTAAAAGTAGACCCTACGCTTTAATTTTTTTAGTTAACGTACCCTTTACGTCCTTACACTGCTGTCTGTTTCTTGTTCCACAAAAAGAAAGCATGTGTTAATTAATTCCAACTTTTCGCTCGAAAAGTAACCGTCTATGATATATGCCCAACTGCAAAGCGCTGTTTTTTCTTTTTTGGAAAATTAGTCGTATTTGCATGAAGTTGGTTGGAAAAAACTCATTTCGATCACAAACTATTCGCATCTGCCTCGCTGTAAAGCAGTCTTTGACTCTGTCTTAAATGGTTATTATTAGTATCTGAAGAACCTAAGAGTTTCCACTGACCGTCCTCAGAAGTAATAGTATGGATACTGCGGCGGAAATGGCACCCCATAGTAGAGAGGAACCACGGGACTGAAGAAATATGGAAGCGGTTGAATATCTGTAATGCTCGGGGGAATATGACATCGCTTGTAATCAACTGGAAAAAAAAAGTTATCTTTGCTAGCATTGTTCGTTAATCTGTCAATCATTTCTGGTCACATTTTAATATGGTTAATCCCCTGACATCCATATGGGTTGATCATAATGATGATATTCTGAATTGAGCCATTCTCCAGCAAAGTTATGAAATATACCAGAAAACCGTAAGCACAAACGGAATTACAAAACTATGAAATTGCAAAATGATAGAACGTAATCTATCCGTGGAATAAATTATTTCGAACGATTTTTGGTACATTTAGTTAAATTATACCTCCACTCTTACGGCAACAATGGCAGCAGTGACAGCAACCGCAGCAACCATGGCAACCATGGCAGCAAGTATGGCAATCCTTAGGGACAGCTTTAGGCTTCAAGGGCTTCAACTTAAATTCAGGAACTTTGCACTCACAGCAGCAGGGCCACATACATGGCCACTGACAGTGACCTTTCTTCGGTTTTTTCTTACAGCATTGACAACAAGGATTGTCAACACACGCTCCAAACTCAACTGGGAATGTTATCGATTCGCAACCATGGCCGCAACATCCGCAGCAACCGCCACAGCAACCGCCACAGCAGTGATGACAAACATGAGGACATCCGAAGCCACCGCAACAATTGCAACATCCACAAAAACCTGAACGTCTTGCTGTCAAGAAGGACGAAAATCAGCACGTTACCTTTTATTTCCCTTAAGTTAATACATTTATTAAAAACATGCTGAAGACATAAACGCAAGATCAGGCCAGCTTCGTACTAAGAGATGCTTACTGCCTTAACAGTCACGGCAGAATACAGACATGCCTTGTGGGAAAAAAATGCTCCATGTTGACGAAGCTGCCCTGTCTGTGGTTTTGTCAAAGTCAACAATCGAAAATTTGTAAAGGGCAGATCGCAAAAAAAGATACTCACCAGCATTAGTGAAGAGAAGCTGGCGAGTGGTAACCACACTCAGCGTCTTTGATGCAACGAGACATTGTTAGTGCACACATATTTCTTCCTTCCTCCAGTAGATACATTAAAAGACAAGAAGGCTACGAAACTTAACCCTTCTTCTAGTCAAATTAAAAAAGTCTCGAGTTGCGATAATGCATTTCCTAAACATTGTACGAATGATTACTGCTTTGACTAAACGTAGGCAGGGCAGCTATCGCCAGCTTTCTTTAATCCAAGGTATGTGCCAAGGTATTGATCGAATTTTCGAAAGGCGCAGAAGCTGAAGAATCAGTCATCTAAGAAAAATGATATTTTTTTCTCTAACCGGTCTCAGGTTTTCAAACGAATTTAGGATAAGTGGCTAATTTTTTCGAATCTAATTGCAACTGTCGGCAATACGGAATTCAGCTGTAAAAATTATCCGCTTTCGTTAATATGTGGAGAATGGTATCAGTTCAGACGTTAGCATGTGATGTGCAATTGTATTTGAGTAGGCAGTGGAACTGGTATCTAGCTGAGCAAAAGAAAAATAAACAGAAATAGGTTGGACCAATTTAGTCCCAAAAGCTACTACAGTAACTTCACTTTTCAATCTAACACTGGCTCTTTTTCTAAATATCTTACCATTTAATGATTTGATAATACTTAGTATGGAGTTGCTGACTGTTACATTCTATAATGATGAACGGGTTATTTTTAATAACTTAATTAGCAAAGGAGTATTTAAGAGTCGAGGCTCCGGTCTCTGTGCAATGAGCCTGCCGGACTGCCTCAATTATTGGATTATGTAACTAAGACTGTGCGAATGGTAAAGGACAGTAGACACCACAAAATTGATTTCTTTTATTTACTAGCATGCATTCACGCGAGTTAGTAAGCTCATGCAGGACGATGGAGGGTATTAAGGGTATTTGTATTTTTCAAAAATAGTTTCGTGTTTTGACACGCTTCTCTCTGGAAACGACTCTGTCTTTCGTAATTGATAATCATTACTTTGTCTCATTGGCGAATATTGCTTTGTTACAATTTTTTTTTTACATGGAAAAATAATTTCGATTTCGAGACTATCGCTCATTTTAACAATTGTCCAGACAAGGCATGCGTCGAGAAACAACTCCTCTCAAGATGACATTTTGCGAATGATCAAGCGACCTGTAAGATAGAAGAGGAAAGGAAATGAGTCATGATTCTGCTAATAGAGTAAGTCCAAAAGGGGGTTTAAAATGAAAAAAAAAAGCGTCCTTTCGCTTTTATTATGATTTACAACTGAAATCCATCCTAAGTTCACAAAGAGTGATACTTGCTTAACTTTCCGAACGATGTATCAGATATGTAAGGAACGTCGTGTAGGGTAGTCTCTTTAACCACTGTTGATTTTAAACTATATAGAATTGGGGGAAAAATCCTCAGAGCACTCCCAAAATGTGTTTTCTCCATTCCAAGGCAAATACAAAAGAACCTTAACATTAATTATTCACCTAGTAATATGGAAGAGGGAAGCCGCCGATGAATGGACCAAGACCGTGAAAATACCCGCCATATGGCCCATATCCATAGGGCCCATATCCACCGAAAGGTCCATAACCAACACCACCATATCCGTAGCCACCATATCCATAGCCACCATATCCAAAGCCACAACCGCAACGCTTTTTGACATCACTTCTTCTTACAGGACCTGATAAATGTTTAGAAATAATAAACACTAGGTTTTGTTTTTGTTTGTTTGTTCTGTTTTTTTTTTTCAATTATACTGCTAACGTTCCTTTCATCCATGAAATAGTACTAGAAAGCTGATTGAGTTCGATATTCCAAGTATCTAGCGTGATTTATAACGTTTCACGATTACTTGCCGAATTAAAGCAAACACAATAATCTTCATTAGAATCCCTTTTAGATTTATCGAAAGACCCTTGAGATATTATTTGTATTTCGAGGTGTTTCACTACCCAAAAGAAAAGAAATAACGAGACAAGGAAAAGTAAAACCTCGGATTCTTATCTTAAATGATGTCTTTTTGGGTGATAGATAACATTGTATTTTAAAAAAGAAAAAGATTTCGTTGCCACCTTCCACGACGTGGATCCATTAAAGGTGATACTACTTGCTTCCTTGCCAAAACGGAGTCTAAAAGTAGCTATTGTTAGATCCTCAAAAGAAGGTGATGGCAAATTGATCATGATTTAACGTTACATGCAAAATAGATCAGCTCACCTTCGCTCTTCTTTCCACCGCAGCATCCATGAGAGTTAGGACAATGACACATTGGCTTGGGCTTGAGCGGCGTGAATTTAAACTTGGGTGGATCGCATTCACAGCAGCAGGGCCACATGCAAGGCCACTGACATTTTCCCTTCGGTGGTTTTTTCTGACAGCACTCGCAGCACGGATTGTTTACACATGCACCGAAAGTAACGGGGAAGTTAAGATGCGGGCAACAACCGCATCCACAGCCTCCACAACTATGGGGGCATTCGAAACCGCCACAGCAATTGCCGCAGCCGCAACCTTCACCTGGTTCGCCCCAGCAACCACAGCCGCACCGTTTTTCTTGGACTACTCATGCAATTGGTATCATGTAACATGCAAAAAATAACATGCAAATACTATAAAGTTAGTTCATGCAAGGTATTTTTAATCATAACCTACCTTTGTTAAGCAAGTGTGGGTTTCACCTATTTGGACAGTTTGGTCAGATACACTTATAAATGCCATAATGGGCAGTCAACTTAATCATCTATTTACTCCAATTTTCCAATTATTTATGATAATTTCTATTTGACATGTTATTTTCCTTCTGATTTCTTTCTTCTGAAACTTAAGCATCCGTTCAAGCCGCTTGGAACGATAATAAAGCCGAGTACATCGATTTCAATCCTTTTTCTTTTGTTGTAATTTTCCATCCATTTTCAGACCTGATTAGCGTCAATGTGAAAAGGGCCAATCAACGAAAGTTGTCTATGAGACGGTGGCTAACCTATGTAGTGATTAGAGTCTGATCTATTTTGATATTTTCCATCTACTTTAATAAGTTAAAAATAAAGTAAAACTTTGAGTTCATCATTTCTGCTCGTTGGATACAGGTGGCTGTTCACCTGCAACCCTTTCACGCCTCGATAAGCGCAGCGAGGAAAATTTTTTTAGCCGTAAAATCGTGAAAAATTATCGACACTTTACTTTTGTCATCAGGATAGTATTTTGTACTTTTTTAATCGAGAAAGTGATACGTGAATGTCAGTCCTTAAGTCAGTAGACATAACAATCATAAAACACTAAAACGTCATGAAAAATTCATGATTTTGTCTTCGTGACTAAATATTGTTCTCGAAACCAAAATTCTAAGCCGCGATCATAGTTTCATTTCTTCCTCTTGTCGGAGACTGAAAATGTGACGGCTAAACCAAGTTGTAGGCTAAGTTGGGAAAATCAAGGTGAAATAGACATTTATTTTTTAAATTAAGGCTGGTAGTTTCTAAAGAAACTGTTTGGGGCTGCGTCGGTGGGTGTAACGAAATAATTTGAATATATCAACAAAGTTGAAATGGTAAATTGTCCACTGTTACGATTATAAGAGCTGACGTTTCGAGCGTTAGCCCTTCGTCGGAGCGAAAGGGATTTTTGAAATAGCCTGTCTTAAACATGGGTTCTTAATCGGTGATAAGTATTTCAAATATACCCTCTAGATAATAAAAATAAATGATAATCGGTGAACAAGATTAAAAATTGGAAGTAATGTTACCTTGTGTGCTCTTCACTGCCTTTTTGTCATCGTCCACGGAACGCTTTTCGGGTTTGTCCTTCTCTTTGTCTGAATCTTCAATCACAACTCCTTTGATTTTTCCACTACCGCTTCCTTGAAGTACTAAATGCTCGGAATCCAGATCTACATTTTCCTCTCCAGAAGAGTCTTCATCGTTCTGTTGGTCATTGAGATCAGGTTCCTCTTCTTTGTCGTCGTCGTCTTCTTTATCATCTTTCTTCTCTTCCTCGTCCTTTTTATCGTCATCATCCTTATTTTCTTCATCTTCCTTCTTGTCATCATCATCTTTCTTCTCCTCGTCTTCCTTTTTGTCTTCATCATCCTTATCTTCTTCGTCGTTTTTAGCTTCATTTTCTTTTTCTTCATCTTCCTTGGTCGCTTCCTCATCCTCTTCATCCTTGGCCTTGTCGTCGTCACTGGCCTCTTCAGATTCCTCCTTAGCCTCCATTACGTCCATAAAATTTTCATTTTCTAATTTGTAAGATGATGCTACAGGAACTGCTGTTGCTTGATAAAGGACCACTAATAACGTGAAAACTACCAAGAGCCAGGTAGTTTTCATCATCTTCCACTGCTGTTTTTCCTAAACCTTTGGCGCAACTAATACGAGTATCGTAAACAACAACAATGTAACTAACTCTTCTCGCCTCGATCTATTGTCTCATAAACTGCCATAAAATGACTTGAAATTAGGTAACATTTGAAATATTTACGTCGTGAATTTTGGTTGGCCAGGGTGCTCTATTGTGTGATTACTTCCTCTCCAATTCCATTGGTTAGCAGGTAAAGGGTAAATTAGGTAACACCTGATTTTGCCAAATTTGGAAATAACTGAGGTCAAGCCTCCAGTTGGTTTTTGCAGTAATTATTGTCTGTTTTGTTTGTGGAAATCAAAATTTTTCATTTCTTTTCTAATATTATTTCTCAAAAGAAGGATTAGTGAAATATATATTCCAGCGTCCTCCATGGCATAAAACGCCATTTTTAATTTTAAAACTCCTATTAATTTTTCAGTGCTTTTTTTTCTTGCTAACTCGAGCATTAAATAGGGCACCTGAATGGCTGAATGCACCACCTATCACCAGCGTCGAGCTTGAAGAGACATTCATTTATTGCTTTTTGTGTAAAATTAATCACGCGTGACCATTTTGCCACCAATATAAGTTAGTAAAGTTTAAACCACTGTTTGACAAAAAGGGGTTATTCTGAGACAGAAATCCTTTTAAGAAATTGTAATTGATCAGTTCACAGCTTATCGTGGTCAGCAGATAGAGATGCCTGAGGAAGTTTCAACTGAGCTATAGGTTAATGGACTTGCAGTTAAAATGCAGAAGTCTAGCGGAGCCCTGAAATAATTTAGAATCCAGTGATAAGAACTAATGTGAAAGTAAAACGTCACAGTTTTAAAAATAAACAGCTGTTTTTGTTTGTAAATTAGTCAATAACTATCCCCACCTTTCTAGCTAAACAAATTAACAAATATTGAAACACTTAAATGACAAATGCGAATTCAACATCGAATAAACGCTAATTGTGGAATGTTTTTCGAAAATTATCCTGACTTGGTAAGAAGTCATCCGAAGTGTAACTTGAGATTGAAAACCCTGTACAGTGAATAGTGCCCTTAATTCTCTCATTCACCTCAGCAACTTCCTTGGAAATTCGTGTCTTTAACATGTAATTTTTTTCATATACATTCACATTTATTGGAGGTAGTTGATTCAAAGTTCTTTTTAGTACAAGAATATCTCCTTAAAAATGGACCAGGACGTCACTTGATCGTGATGAAAGTGTCGCCGTTAAGAATATAGCAGTTGCTACTTTCTATAATACATACTTAGGGTACTTAAAGAGAAAAAAACGGCGAGATATATCGAATTTCTCTCAGCTGATGATGATTGAAAGAATATTTCCTAGTATTTGAGTTTGTGAATTGAGTTCTATTGTTATTTACATCAACAATAGACATAATAAGTCCCCATATAATATTCACGCGTGTAAAAACAGAATGACCCAAGTCATCGACTGTGTCCAGTGCAGGTACCTGTAAGAATTAATCGCTGTCACCACCTGCTGTCAACCTTCACATCAAACAACCTTTAGAGGCTAATTTCAAATTTCACTTTTTTTACTTTTTTTTTTGCTTTGCTATAAAGCTCATAAGGCCATACAGTGTAATGAATCTTTGAATCTGTAGGGTGAAATGATTTTTAAAAGTTCTTTTAGTTTCTTCAAGTAATCGCTTTAGTTTATACAAACATTTGGAGACTTTAAAATGTATGTGTTTGTTTGATGTTTTGAGCGATTTTCAAACAGAGAAAGTTTCAAGAATGAAATACTTGGTGAAACATTTTTCACATCCAACACACTGGCTTTAAATTTCTGTATCGGTAGTTAATCACAAGTCCGTGTGGTTTCGCCAGGAATCGTTAATTATCTGGCCTAGCTGTATATTTGAAAAATTTCGAAAGGAAACTCGAACGTTCGTACCCTCCTTTTATTATGTTGAATTTTGACTTCTTGAGTGATCAAATTTATAAGTTTATCTGCATCCATCAAAATCAGAACCCAACGCATTGTTTCTTTTTTGTTTTTCTAACAGAACCGATTTAAGAAAAAAGAAAAGGAAGGACAAATTTTAGCCGGAATTCGCGATAAATAAAATAGTGAAAACTGTCTCGTGATGTGTTTGTTTTAGTCTAATTTCAAATTAACTATATATCTTACAGGTAGTTATCCTATTACCGTATTAGGAAATGAATCCGTTGCAGAACTTATGTGAAACTTCAGATAATTATTTCTGAAAATATATCGTCAGACATATGAATAAAACTAGACAAAAGTATAACACAACTATTCCAATTTTTTATTTTATGTCAACCCTTCTGCTACACGTGATCATATATACAATTTTATGATGATATTGTGGCACTTAAGCAGGTTTCTTTTTTGATATTTTGTTATTAATAATCGGTAGACTGATATGACCATTCTTAGTGATGTTGTGGCTTGGAGTGGGCAGCAGCGATCAGCGGATTAACAACAGCAGGCATCCGCTCTGAGGCATTCGACTTCTTACAGCAACAATGGCAGCAGCAGGGACAGCAGTGGCAGCAGTGACAGCAGCATGGGCAGCAGCACTCGTGGCAACAGCAGCAACATGGCTCGCAGCAGTGGCAGCAACAGCAGCATGGTTCACAGCAGTGGCAGCAACAGTCATGGCAGCAACAGTCATGGCAGCAATCACAGCAGCAGCATTTCTTGGACCCTTTTCCCTTTCTTACCGCTTGACTTCCATCGGCTTGCGCCATTAAAGGTGCAACAGCCAGGATACCTGGGTTGTCTGACACCTGTGCTGCTACAGTTGAGTGTCCTGTATTTGAACGAGAGTTGCATTTGCAGTCGCATCGCTTCGTGGTGTTTGTCTGACCACTGCCGCTTTCTGCATCTTGTCGATTCTTGCATTTGCAGTCTTCTCGCCTGAAATTCTTTATCGTTTCGCTTGAAGAGTCACAGTTACATTTCCCTTTGTCTCCCTGACATCTTTTTACGTCCTCTTGCAAGCAATCACACTTTCCGTTGATATTTTTTTCCTCTTTTGCTGGCATTTCACAAGTGCATTTATTGGCATCTGCCTCTTTCCTTTCATCTAATGATCAAAGAGAAAGCTTCCAGGTTAAATAGATATTATCAACTCCATACTAACAAAGAAAATGTTAACAAGGGTTTGACGTTATTTTTCATGGAGAGTTAGTCGATCCTCTGGAGGGTATGCGAAAGAACTAGGTGCTTTCAAAGGTGCTTTCAAAACGAAATCGAGGAAAGCAGAATGGTGTTAAATGAGATACCAGTAAATCTCTTTTCGAGTGTTTAAGTGTTCTATTGTGTCAACACGCTTCGAATCTGACCCAGTATAATATATTAATTACTTTAACAAAGTTTGAATAAGCCAATGGCTTATTCAAACTTTGTTTTCTTATAAATCAGGTTTAAATTAGCTTATTTTTTTGTTGTTCCTCAAAATTTGTCCTGTTTATTTTTTAAGACTTTATAATGTTTTTGGTTGCTTTCTGTGAACAGCCGCACTAATTGTCGCTGTAGTTCACTTCTTTTCTCATGATCGTTAAAAGAAAATTATTAGCAACGAACCCATTTCCCTCTTTTATTTGAGCACCAATAGTAAGTCGACATTTAAACCTCAAATTCAGTTCACTACTGCTGAGAATGATTTCTCGATGGATTCGATTAGTCATCAGAAACAAACCATTGTTATGAAGCTATCCTCGATCCCACTTCAAACAACAAATCCTTACCGTGATTTGTCTTGATTGATTTTCCTTCCACAGATAAGGAAACACAGCTTAACAAAGCAAAACAAAGAAACGCCGTCGCCCTCATAATGACGCACAACACAAACTAGAGAAAGAACTCGGTGAGTCCAGTAATTGAGGTGCTGCCTTTATGATGTAATTTACTCTCAAAAGTTCAATTGAACTGGTGACCTGTTGTTAATTTCGTGATTGAAATACGATCAAACATTATATGCGATTTGTTCATGTACAGGAACGTAGTTTCATTTTGTGAGTTGACATCTTTCGGGCAGAAACAGATATTTGTGGTACTTATTTATATCATCAAGCAACCATTTTAAGGCAAGTGAGAGACTTTAGTTCGTGCTATAACCTGTAAGGGTGTTCCAAGTTGCGAAAAAAATTGAGTACATGTCAAATAGTCACTTCCGGGAATGGTGCTTCAACGAAATAATTTAATTCTACCAGAGAAACCAGAAAAGTTGACTCAGTTTTACCCTAACTTAAAAGATTAAAATGAAAGCAAACGTTTTAGAAACTATGGCTAAGACAGACAGCTGGTCATATCTTTACAATCTTTACACCCTTTAACATACTAACCGAAATGACTTGTGTTCTCTTCTTGGGTGCTCATGCATCAACTGCAAAAAACACCAGATAATTTCAACTAAAATGGCATATGGGTTTTATGAGATCCAAACGGTTCTTTTTTCTCCTCTTTTTTACTGTTTGAATGTACATCGTAATAACAAATGTTACCAACATTCGCGCTTGCCTTAACAAAAGGAAAACACCTCACGAAAAGAGCAGATAATGTGTGCCGCTTCCATATAAATAGGAGGATTTTCCCCTTCAGAGTTGCGTGGTAGGCGTATCTACTTCCAGTTCGAGGAAAGCTAGAAGAAGATAGTAGTGACTTGTCCCAGAATTGTTTTCTGGTCTCTTCTGAATTTTGGAAGTAAACAAATGATTCTCGCTCGTTGGGCAGTGCGATGAAACTTTTTGCAAAGTGACAAAAATAACATTGCATTTTGACAGAGTCGCTGCTTTTGTTAAAAGAAACTCCGTTGGGGTTCCACACGCTATTGCATTTGAACGGTCAACTAACTGATTAACCAAAGGAAATACTGAATGTATTAAAGATCATAATGATTACTTTGTTACTTGCAGTCTCCTGAAAAATCCTTGGAAAATATTACTAATTTTGAAGTTGTGCCAAATATTACTGGTAATTGAATAAAAGTTATCGACTCAGTAAGAACTTTCAAATTTAATTTCACAAAAGTTTGAAAATATTTAGCAACTCTACTCAGTAAATGTTTCATGCTTCTTCAACACAGTCAAAATCTTACAATTCACGGTATTGATCAATCCATTTTATTTCAATCCGTATTTCATTTCAACACTCGTACATCATGCCACAAAATATCCTCACACTATGCACACATCTAATTTAGAAACAGAGTCAAATTTATCGTATTCAAAAAACGTTGTAATAACTTTTATTCATTGTTCTCAAGAAAAATGATTTCTCTGAATATCGGAAGAGGTGTCTTAAGTGACGCTTCCTGAACTGTTTATGCTGCATATGCCATTGTAACCATATGTTTCTTACCGTTCCTGACGTGCTCACGTGATCTTAATGTAGAAAAATCGCTACAGGCTTTTTTTCTCGATACAGTTCATTCAGCTGACTCTTATAAGAATGTCCTTTAGTGTAGCTATCACCTCAACGGATAGAAGATAACATTTTTTTTCAAATTTTAAACTAATTTTCTGATCTAATTCTTTACCAATCTCCTGGCTTCCCCGACGTTTTACCATCATATAACTTCCATTTTGGTACGATTTCACCGGCAGCGGTCATTATTTAGCTTGTGCTCTCTGTTGTGGCTTCAGATGCAATGTAGGCAGGGGAATACGAAAAACGATGGTTTACAATCAGAATAATGACTTTAAGTTTTGTAACGGTACTTTCGAGTTAATGGTGGATTGGGCGGGAGGCGGCTGCTGCGGCAGCAGCGGCCAATGCAGCAGAATTGAGTTGCTCCTGGGACTTCTTACAGCAGCAGTGACAGCAACATGGTTCACAACAGTGGCAACAGTGGTGGCAGCAGTGACAGCAACATGGTTCACAACAATGGCAGCAGCAGCATGGCTCACAACAGTGGCAGCAACAGCAGCATGGCTCACAGCAATGACAACAATCGTGACAGCAACAATCGTGGCAGCAGTCGTGGCAGCAGTCACAGCAGCAGTCATGGCAGCAGTCATGGCAGCAATCGCAGCAACAATCGTGACAACAATCACCGCAGCAGCACTTCTTTGAGGAATTGACTTTTTTGCCGATACCAAGCTGAGGCGATATGGAAGACAATGGTATTATGGCGCCTCCTACGGCGTGGGGTGCTGGTCTTGGAATTCCTGCCTTGGCTTCTCCTCCCTTGCATTTACATTTCTTCTCACCTTCAGATGCGGCAACACTTTTGCATTTTTCTGCTTGTGACTTACAGTCACATTTTTTGGGTTGATCTTTTTGCTCACATTTTTTGGGTTGATCTTTTTGCTCACATTTCTTGGGTTGGTCTTTGTGTTCACATTCCTTATTTTCGGCGCACAAACTGCTACATTTTTCAGGGCATTTTGATTTCTTCGTCTCCTCAGTACATTTCTTTTTAGGTTTTCCTCTGCATACACAAGGATCCTTTACTTTTTGCTCTGCATGACCAGAAAATAAGTCAAATCAATCCTTTACCCTTCATCAAGTACGATCGTTTTGAAAGTTATTTCAACTTTGTCGGATAGAGCGATGAGTCAAAGGGGGTAGACGCAAACCGCCTGGCTAGTAAAGACTCTATAACACAAAACAAACTTGATTCTAGGGGATGAAGTGCGAAAAGAGAAGGTCTGCATTCAAAACCAGAAAAAACGTTTTATACCACAGCTGGTTGTGTCTGAGTGAACTTTCAATTCATCAAAGTTTAGTATGTTTCCATATTTGTTTTCTTAGATCATCGTCAGTTTTGAGCGACCCGAGACTTTGCAAAGAAGCATGCTTTCTTAATTTCTCCAAAATTAAACGGTTCGGCCAAGTTTTATCCTAAGAACAATTATAGCTTCTGGAAGTCTATATCTTCTCTTTGTGTATCTAAGAGTTTTAGACTAAATCAGATAGTTAAAGAATTCAAACGGAGGAACAAAGAAAGCTGAGAAATGAAAGATTGTTTCATCAGTGTGGGCCTTTTGCAACACGGTCCAGTTATGTAAAAGTGTCTTGGTCATGTGGAATACTACAAAAATGTGATGTAATGATCTATCTAAGGTGCAATGTTGAAAAAGACTTTTATCGTCGGTATCACTAAACCCTTTACGAGAGAACACAGCCAGTCTTGATTCTTTGAAGAGTGTACCGCGTAGCTTGACCGAATCGCTTACCTTCTCCAGAGTCGCTCTTTTCATTTGCGGATTGCAGCTCTACCATGATATTATTTTGTTCTCCTTTTAGATTTTTCCCTGAATTCTCAACTGAAAATTCCAAAATGTAATCGTTACTTCTCATCAACAATGACAACATCAAAATGTAAATATAGTCATCCTCACCATTCTCCTTGTTAATAGACTTTCCTTCCACTAAGGCCAAAGAGACGAATACGAGGCATAAAACGGTTACTAGCTTCACATGCATATTGCCAGGTGAAGAGGAAAAAACTGCGAATGAATCTAAAAGAAAAAAAATTTCTCTAATGGTTATTTGATATGGAAGGAAATGAGGAAGTATTACATCACAAAGAGGAGGCAGTTTGACAAATGATTCAAGGGACTGTCACTTTACTACTGGTAAACTCTCCCCCTTTTGTAAATCACGCCCACCCTTTGGATTTGATTGGCCGCAAAACGCGACACCTGATAGTTTCTCGAGTACCACCTACCGCACAGCGTTAAGGTCTTCTTCGTTGCCAAGCGTATTAACCATTAATCACGTATTCTCTTCTCAGAGGATTGTCGGAAGCTTTTGAAAATTGTGCCTGAGATACTGCTTTTTAGGCCATGCTTCTTTTTCCTTCTATCGATTTTATCAACATTCCCTCGTTTCCTTGGAGCCCTTAGTTTGCTTGTCCCAAGTTATATAACAAACAAAGATAATTGATAATTCAATATGCAAACTTGTTGTTACTAAAGTACAATTTTTTTTATCAAATCTTCTGTTTCCCCTTTCAAATTACAAGTAATGATTTGTTTATTGTTTATTAACCTGTTATTCATAAATGAGCCACAAAATCTTGCTCTAGCTCCTCGTTTCATTGTCAGAACTTACTTTTCTTTACTTAGTAGGGGTCACTGATTTTGAAGTTCTATGTTGAAGTCACACAATTTGCTACTCACTTGAGGATGACACATCAATATGAAAATAAAACTAGACACCGAATGTCTGATCGGATTCTTTTTCTGTTTTAGTTAAACTACCTTTTTCAAAAGAAAACTAAGACAAAAGGGAGAGTAAAAAACGCCACATTTTGATAGGTAATTTTTATTCGAAACATAAACGTGTTATATCAAAATCGTAGATATCGAGAGAATTTATGGCACACTTCAAAGTCAAGATTATTATATCTTGACAAAGTGCACTGTAAGTGCACATGCGTAACAAAGACGGTAAGTTTCTATCATGTCCCCGCCGTTTTTGAACCTTATGGCTTTCTGGTACGTTCTATTTTTGCAAGTACACTAATCACTTTGACCTGTTTTATTACTCCGTATCACTGTTCATTGATTTTATCTGCTCGTAAATGATCAATAACTTCCTTTGACGGGAAGATAACTTTATCCATTTTTCTTGTCAAAGGGGACGGTAAGGAATCCTGCAATCTGACTTGTTCTTAGTGCTAGCCCCTATGAATTATCATTAGTATTACTAATGTTGTCATTATTATTTTCATAATTGTTAATGTGATTCTTTGTTTTCATTTAATTATTGGTTGAACATCAATTCGTCAATACATTCTTGAATCATCTTTCTCTTGTGAACGGATACTCGTAAATATATGGGATGCGGCAGGTGTGAATACAAATCTTCTGCCACACTACCTTCTAGTGTCATTATACGACCTTTATTTTTATTCAGTGCTTTAAAAATTGTGTTTCATCTGTAGCCGCATGCAATATCACACTGTCTTTCTTTTTAAAAGTGTCCTAGCGCGTTTTTTCTTACGGGCTTTCTAACTGACAAGAGTGAGATTGTGACAGATACTTGTTAAAACTGTTTCAAAAGTTGTTTGTTTGTTTCCAATTCCGATTGCATTTCTAGTGTTCTGATTGGCTCACTCAACACCAGTTATAGGCTCATATTCTGTTCCATGGACTTCATTTAACTGTTCAAAAGATAACTAAAAGGTTCAGGTCTTGTTAAAACAAAAACTAGATAGAAAGGGCGCGGAGGTAAATGCACATTTTAAAATTAAAACCTGACCTTGTCCTTCCAAAGTCTTGCCAACGATGTGTCGCTCTCAGATGTGGAGTGCGATATTTCGAGTACACATGGTTAGTCGTCTTGAGGAAGTAAGGTAAACTGACCACAATTCTTTTGCATAGCATTGTGGATAGCTGTGATTGGATGGTTTTTAATAACTGTGATCGGTGCATCTCCATCGCAGCTAAATCGTTTCTTCGGTAATCACTGTCGTACGGCAACCCTTTTGTGTGTGCGAGTGTGTGTGTTTGTGTGTCTGTGTTTTCCTATCGTTCCTAGTGATGGCCTTTGAGACTAGTCGGAATGATTGCTTCAGTCTTTGAGACAGTATATCAGTGAGTGAAACTAACTGCAACTGATAACTCAAGAAGATGGATTGAAACAAATATTTAACAGATATCGCGTTCATTTTTCAGTTTAGGATTACCACTTAAAGTGTTAGAAAGTATTTTTTTCTTTCAGTTTACGAACAGGGTTTGAGCCGAGTAAACGTGATTATCATGCGGTAAGCCACCCAACTACAACTTGAAAACAATAAAAAGGGACACCATAATAAAAAAGATTCTTCCGACGATTTGTCGGATATAACTGGTAACCTCCGTGGAAGCGTGGTTAGGGCCACCTGTACATGTGTCACTTTGTGATTACTTTTCATGACTTTAAATACAGGAAAACCTGGCCTTTATCACGACATTCTAATGTGTAGAGGTGTACTTATAATCTATGTAAATGTAATCAGATATGTGCAGTAGTACTCACTTCAACCTCCTCTCAATGGAACAGACAGTTTACTGTCTCACATCATTTATTAGGGACTTTAAGAAACCACGACGGCGTCGCCAAGGAAGACTTCGATTAAAAAATGAATTGCTACTCTTAGTTAGAATTTAATTATTGGTTGCAGGAGCTTACTGTCTCATATAGCGCCACAGCTCAACTTCAGCATGACGTATGAAGTAGCAGTTGAGTTCCAAATGGAAATTAAAATAATTTGCCGTCGCGGTTTCGGCTCGCAGACGACGCAAATTTTGGCGATTTCACATTGCTGTTTTGCATAGGACGGCTATGAAATGTATAAAGTTTCAAAACGCACGTGCTGAGCTACTGTTCTGCCAATTAGATCTCTTGTTTTTCCACGTCTTCGTTGCCGTCGCCGTCGTGGTTTCTTAAGGTCCCTATTAAATGAGAAACATTCCCTAAATGTAAAATGCACGTACATGTAACTTGGATAATGAACTCACACTTATGTAATTACTTGTTCATAGCTTCTTCCTACCTGATTGTATTCTATATCTGTGTAGATCACTAATTTTAAAGTACATGTAAATGTATTTTGGATAATGAACTCACACCCATGTACTTACTCGGTCAAAGCTTCTACCCAACTGATTGCGGTCTATATTTGTGGAGATAAGTGATTGCCTTTGATATCTTGAATTGCATCAATACTTGATAGAGAATAGAGAAAGTGTTATGTTACGATATTTTTGCAGATGAATATCTGAAAATAAAAGTTCGCTGTAGTAATACCAATATAAAGGAATTAAAAACAAAAGACGTAAGAGTTTTCATAACATAGTTTGCGAATGAGGAATTTGAGCTCTTTCTTAAAAGAGATCAATTGGCCTGGAGTAATGAACCGATTAAAATTATGAAAAGGAATTGTGCCTATGTGAAAATGCCTTGTGTACACAGTGCAGATACAAACCTTCAGGCGACACCTCCACGCGCTGTACCTCAACGCATACTTGCTGTTGAGGTACGCGCTGTACCTCAACTCACTTGATTACGTAGTTTTGCAAACGCAGTTTTAAAACAGTGAAGAGGGTAAACGGATTTGGGTTAATGGCATAAATCAGTCATCTGTAACACATCACTATAGTTGATTTAATACTTTATTTAGGTAATATAGGTTCCAAGCGAGTTCGAAGCTTGACTAGTGTTAAAACTCTTTGCGCGGTTCCCTTCAGATTGTGAACTTGAAAAAAGGATGTTAAAAGTCTGTTTGCTCTTCGTTACGAGTCGTTTTGTATACTGGAATCCAGGTACACGGAACTGAACCGTGACGGCGACCTGAATAAATCCACCGAGCAAGAACTCCTCCTCTCGTAACGTCTACCGACACGGAAATGCATTTAATAAATGTTTTTCCTACGCACCTGACAAACATTCTTCGCTTTATTTTTCCTTTAAAGGAATACCCTTACTCAAAGGTTAATTAAAAATCTTTGGAAAGAACTTCGTAAAAGTTTATGCTGGCCCACAGTGGACGTATGCTTATTCCTGGCCATCGCCGCCTCAAGACCAAGCACAGGGGCCCAGGGTGCGAAAGGCCCCACGTCGTAAACTGAAGAAATATAGCTAATGGTTAGGCATTCACTACTGTTAAGCAGACAAAGTGATCTTTATCATCGGGTTCCTCTCGTCACATTGAAAGGTTGAAACGTTACTTTGGATACATCATGTGATCATTTAAGTGTAAAATTAGCCAGGATTGATAACCAAAGATGACACTTATTTTACTGAAACGTAATTTTCTTTATTAGTATTTTATATTCTTAAAAACGGAAACACGCAAAATACACGCCATTCTTCATTGAGTTTAGTAAATGTTTCAGGCACCTTTTTATCAGGGTGACTGAAATCCCTTGTCATTCTATTTGTGTTTATTTTTTCGCGGCCATGTTGGCTAGTTTATAACGTTTAGGCGGATAAACAGTGTGAAGCGACGATCTACTCGTAGCCGTAAAATTGATTTCTTAATTTATCCAAACTGCACCCTTAAAATAACCATTTTTTCGACAGAGAGTCCAGTCCACATTGGGGAGAAAAATAGAGGATGGTGGATCTCATGTTATCACGTATAGTCGAGATCTGGAATTACGCCAGCTGCGGGTAGTTTGAGACTCCATTAACACACTTCTACATCATTTTAGTTGATTAGTGCATCTCGAGGAACGCGACGATGCAAACCTGGAGGTGAGTATGCAGCAATAACTACATCTACAACTCATATCATACAAATTATCATCCATCAAAAAGCCGTTATCGAGCTTTCTACCGGCTTAGTGAACGCGTAATGGCCCATGTTGTAACAGCGACCATGCGTCCTTTGCGTTAAGTCCACTGATTGAAGGATAGGGAGTAACCATGTACAAGAAGAGAGGTCTTCTTAAGAATGCTGGTGATAACGGCCCTTGAGATCGTTTGCAATGGCAACAGTGGCAACAGCATGGGCAACAGTGGCAGCAGTGGCAGCAGTGGCAGCAATGACAGCAAGGGCAGCAGTGGTGATGGTGATGATGAATATGATGACAACAATGGTGACAACTTGGAACAGGGCAACATGGGCAACAACAAGGAGAGCAGCATGGCTCCTCTGCGGGCTTCTTTTTAGGGGCTTCCTCGGCACCCGGAATAGGACACCAACAACCTAAAGGATGAATGGAGTATATACACAATAGATACGATATACACAATAAATTTTGAGCAAACAAGTGTTTGACTGACCCTTACATTAGCTACCAGCAAAATAGGACTGTCAAGACCTTTTTTTGTGTACGAAATGTTAAATGTTGAAAGGGCATCGTGATGCCGTCGGTAGCCTCACCACATCGTTGCATGGTGCTGCTGTGTGACTCTCCGTTTTTTATGCCGGAGTCGTGTTGCCTTTAGAAGTCCATGGGATGGTTGCATACCCCAAATATCGCATCATTCCTCAAATTGACTCGTTAATGTTGGAAATGTAGCATTAGGGGAGTATCTTTTTTTGTGGTTCGATCATCTGACTCAATGTATCTTGATCTTAGCTTATATTATAGAGTAAATGGTACCTTCTCTTTTACATATCAGGCAAACGTTTTGACCAGCAGCGAGCTATAAATTCAAAATGACGACTTTGTGATCGAGTGTACACAGTAAGAAACTAAGTTAAAATGGTGTACGTCACATCCTTCTACTGGGTGTAAAAATCATCGTTTGCTCTGTTACCAACTCAATTGCATTCAGTAAATGAAAAGCATCACAAATTTTGCATGAAGCAGTGCATTCCTGTTAACTGCTAGTCAGACTTGGTGTCTATGAATTCCTCTCTATAGTTTCCAAGAGTAGTGTCAAGTTCTTTGACATTGTTTCATTTTTCAAAGCTTATCAATTTCATGCCGCATGCATTCAGTTAACCCTTATTAACAGTTGCACTCAGTGGCCAATCGACAGTAAATTGTAACAATATTCGTCATGCGGATAGAAATTGACAAACCTTCATCGCATTCATGGCGACAACAGTCACAATCGCAATTTGGCATACAGCCGCCAACACAAGGCTGACAACCGTGGCAAATACAACATCCTGAAAAAAGAAATTTATCCTTAAACCAACAATTTTATTAGCAGGTGAGAAAGTATTGCAGTTCGACTATCCAGATCCTAAAGGTACCGCGAATGGTAGTTAAATTTACATAGAAGCAACCACAGTTGCATAGAATTTAATTTTCTTCCTCAAACGTAATAAAACTATGAGACTATTGCAGTGGACATTTTAAAATGAAAGTTCACTTAAATCTTACCACATCTTTTCCCTTTATTTTTTCCTACATCATTGCTTTGTGGTGCTTTAGGCAGGGACTCGGGTCTAGAAAAAGAATGAAAAATAGCCTTCAGAATGTTGTTAAAGATAAATCATAACTGAATGATATAAAATCTAATATCAAGAATACACGTACCTTGTTTCAGGGACGGAATAAAGGGGTCACAGCTTTGGGGGACACAAACATTCGTGTATCACTGAGCCAAAATTTGGTTTTAAATGATGAAAAGGTAATTTATTTGTGGGAATTAATGTTCAACGATGCCACAAACCCCTGTATTCAAGTAAAAAGTCACAAAAGGGATAGTAAATGATCTATATTATTTTTTAATTAAAATCCAACTTGAAATGTCTCTGTAGCAAAAATCCTAAAATATCTTTCTTCGTTATCGTCAACACGGTACACCATTGTATCCACATCAGGCAGAGACATATTAGCTTCTTTCAGATGACTAAGAGCATCGTAGCTCCATCAGGGACGGATGTTTGTCGATCTTGGGTAAACATACAGCTGACTTAATCAAGTCTCTGGCAGTTTACCATAACCCATTTACATTCTTGTAATGGGGATATTGTGAGTGAAGATTTTCTAAGTCAAGAGGCTTCACTTCTATCGATATCGGCCAGTTTTCTCAAGCTCGATCAACACATCATAGGACTACTGCCTTCTTGATTAGATTCCATTCGAGTATTTTTCCCCTTGGCTTAAACATTCTACTTATTGCACCACAATCTACCGATCACAGATAAAAAGATAGTTCTCCTTCTTTCTCATTTTGCGTCATTGATAACAAAGAAGAAAATATCTGACTTTTCGAAAGCCTAACAAGTTGCCTTGTGTCTTACAGGTCAGTGGTCTCAGTGTCTTCAGTCGTTTGATGTTAAATTTGTTTGATTTTCTTCATTGTTTAGATATAACATGATGTTTTGACTTCGCCTTCTTTAAATTTTGTGTTCGATTCAAAAGACATTTCGAGATTTGTTGTCACTCTTCTTCTGTCAATGTCATGTTACCTTTCTATTTAGTCTATAAAGATTTTAAACTCGTGAACCAATGACAATAAAATCACCCACCTTAACAAACTTCCTGCCACTGGTAGTTTCCTTGATGTCCTCTTTGAGGAAATCCTATGGCCAGTTTTTGGCTGACCATATTTCTTTCCAGTCGTTCCTGAGTAACTACTCGAGGTACCCTTATCACTCCCATTAAAAATTCTTCCGGAAATTACGGCGGTGTTGAATATGACAGCAGAAAGTAAAGAAGTCACTATAATATTCGGTTTCATTTCTTTTTAGATATGTCCCATGTTTTGGACAACCGGGGATCTATTCGAGAACATACATCTCGAAAATTTTGTTTTGCATTTGAATTTGTTGTGAGGATTCTTATCCTTTCGAGTAAATTATAAATCTTACATCACAGCATCATTCAACGCCAATCTCCTCCTTTATTTTTAAACGCTTCAAAAGACCATGTCATGGAAATCACAATATAGTGAACGCCATTGGGTTATTTTGAGATATTTGCCATATTCATTTCTGGTACCAGCGAACACAAGTTCGCTTGATGTTTTCTCCTCGTGAATAATAACAAGAGTTCTTTCTGTGATTCACTAAACCAAAACAAATCACATTAAGAATTTTTTAATTTTTTTTATTTCTAATTTTTTTACTGATCCCAGGACGATGATAGAAGTAGATTAGACGTTATTAATTAAGTGTTTAATTGAAGAGGTGACGTTTACAGATGGAAGGTGACAATATTACGCTGCCTCCCATTTTTTTTGGTATTTTATTGCTATTTAGGGTGAATCTTCTCCTTGTTCAACGCATATTAAAAAGTAATATTTCGTATTGTCCTCGTTGCCATGGGTAATAAAAAATAATTTCCCATCCATTTTGGGTAAAGGTTGGCCACCAACTAGAGCGTTTAAAGAAATTGTTTTTAGTGCAGCGTTTTAATGCCAAAAAAAGGAAGAAAGAATTAAGCGAAATAAGATATTTGAGGCCGAGAAAGAAATTTTTCATTGTTACCTCTGAAGTAACAAAATTTGAGTCCTCAATCAATGATTTAGCGCCGCAATTTGTTCCAATCCAAACCTAGCAGGTTATTTCCTAGTACTGGTGTGCGCACTAGTGCGTCTGGTAAAGATGTACAGTACGCATATTATCAGGAGGAAAATTATGTTTAATGTTATTTATTACAAAGAAATACGCGCCGCCATCAATAGTGGCGTCGTGACGTGATTATACAGCAAGAATTTAATTCATCATTTTATCTGAAAAACGTCTCTTTTGCCGGAGGACCATCCTTTGCTGCTCACCAGAACCATAAACGATACGGTATCAGTCGAGTGTTCAGGCGTGCCATCCGTCGGTACATTCGCTTAGAAAAGGGAACTTTGGTCCTGTTGGTTTAAAATAGACATATTATGGGGGAAATCCTTCACAGTCTCAGCTCAGATCAAAATCAAAATAGTTGTTTTTTGATACACAGTAAGATGAAAGTAATATTAAAAGGAACACCCTTCATTTGAAATCGTACTTGTTCCTAGGACTTAATGGCGCTGACAAAAACGGAGATTAGATCGGAGCAGACCTATCTAGACTAGAATAAACAGAACACATAAACTAGTGTTTACTATCCAGTTATGCAAACGTAGTTTTTCCAAAATTTGGTGAAAAAAAATCCCCTAACTTCGATGTGCATTGAGATAACTTTTTAATTATTTGAATTTCATTGCAGTTTTCACTTGCCCTGATGAATAAAACGCAGTTTTAAAGTGAATTGTGACTTTAAAGATACCTCTCGAAATTCTCGCTCTCTAGAGAGGTAATGTAGGAAATGAGAAAACTCTATATTTAAAAGAACCAGCAGAAAAATAATTGTTGTGCCCTGTATAGTTGCGTTACACTAATACAACCACACTAACAAGATAGTATGAATCAATTCATGCTTTCCAGTGTTAAACCCTACATTTATTTCATAGGGAATTTAACTGAAAATGGATTGACTAACCTTTTAAGGGAACTGAAGGATTCTACACGTCGAAAAGCCGGGAAAAGGTAGCCAGGTGGAAGAATAAGTTGACGCCGAGCTGCTTTCTCTTCCTCCTCCCCTTTTAGTTCTTTACTTCTTTCTAGAATGCAAAAAAAGGAGCATAAAGACTGAGAACAACAATGAATAGTTTACGCTAAATAATACTTGAATTACCTTCTTTATAAGGCAAAAGATAATTTTGATCTCCAGCATTTTCATTAGTGTACCCACAGCAGCCACAAGGTACGGCCTGGAATGGGCATCCAGGGCATCCACATCCTAATAACCCACAGTTACAGGGAGTTTGGAGGCCACAGAGACCAGCACACCCATGACAAGGAGGCCCCGGGATCCCACAACTGCACCCCTGACAACAGCAGCCGCAAGCTTGTGGGCAGTCGCAAGTTTGTAGGCAACCGCAAGTTTGTGGGCAGCCGCAAGCTTGTGAGTAGCCACATGTTTGTGGGCATCCGCAACAGCATGGCTGGGCGCAGGGGCAGTCATGAGTGATATGATGCACGTGATGCACGCAGCAATCGTGATGCACGCAACATTCGTGGTCATGTTCGTGGTGATGGCAAATGTCTTGATGACAACAAGTGCAGCAGCATGGCTGACAACAGCAACATGGCTGGCAGCAATAACAGGGAGGCTGGCAACAGCAGCAGCAACAGCAGTTTTTGTCCTTGTTGTTTGCAGTCTCTCCATTCTTATTATCATTATTTGCTCCACAACAACAGCCACACCCACACCCACACTTATTAGTGTTAACCGTCTCGTCTTTGTTCTCCACGGCTTTCTGTTTCTGCTGATCACCTGGTGGCGTCATCTTCTTTGGTGGCTGATCATCTTGCGTGAAACTCTGTAGTGGTTGATTTTTGCCCAAGGGCATGAATTTCGATGGAAATGAATATTGTTGTGTGGTTCTGTAATTTTGAGTTTGAACGATCTGTTTGGTTGGTGAAGACGACGCTGAGTTAACATTTTGATCCTGTGCGAACTTTGATAAGGGACGTCCAAGGCTTGATGCTCTTAAATCTCGATTTCCATTGGGAAGAGAACGGCGTTGTTGATTATTTCCATATATTGGATTTGGAGCAGCAAGAATGCCTATTATCACAACGTTACTCAGGACGGCCCAAATCCAAAAGGACAGAAACGCCATTAGGAACGTTTTCAAAGCAATTGTGTGAAAAAGGGGATGTGCCTGTCAATTAAAATCAAATAGAAGAGGCGGGAACTTTTGTATTACCTCATAGATAGAACAACCTGCAGAGTCAAAACTCTTGAGATACTGCCTCAGCTTGTTCGCATTTATTGTTAAACAATCGATCATAAGCTGTCAACTTCAAAAGCCTGAAACAATATGAGTGGTTTACAGGCAGCCATGCATATATTTTAAATTCTTTACTTGGTCCTTACCCTTCAGATAGCTAAACCGAAGGAAGTGAACAAAGACAGTAAAATTATAATCACTACGGTAAGGGAAAAACTGCTTACCAATAAGACTATTCAAACCGCTATTAGACTTAGAATGTATCATTTTAGTAGACGAAGCATTGTAGTTGTATCAATCCTATCATATACGAGCAGGTATTTCGTTTCGGTTAAATGAATTGTAATTTTTCTGAGTGTTCTCCCTTTCATTAAGCGTAACCTAAGCTATTAATCCATCCATATCACAGTAGTTGTATACAGTAAATAGACTCTTGTATGGTATACTAGATATTGCTATAATATATATACTGTGCTATGTAGTGTGATATGAGGGTTCGAGTCCTCCACCCTCTACTCGCTGGATTTGTTCTCAGTTGCCCCGAGTTCAACTCCTCGGCTGCACTCTGTAAATAGCCTACTGCATGGTCTGCCTCCTGCCGGTGGGGGTTTTGATGCATTTTATGTTTATATGAAATCTTTGTTTGATTTATTTGAGGGCCACAAGTTCAGCAGTTGAATTACTGTCATGTGTTACCCTCCTTAAATAAAGTTGTTGTTATTATTATTACTATTATTATCATTATTATTATTATTATTATTATTATTATTAGCTGACCCTTTTCGATTCCTTAATTTGAATTACTAAATTATGTTCCCACACGCAAGATTAACAGTGAGTCATCGGTCATTAAAGGATCATCGCTGTGCATTTGATAGTGCCAAATACTTTACAAAAATCATAATTTTATGGAGCTTAAATTTAAGATGCTTGTACTTTAAAGTGATATTTTTTTACAGTTTCTTTGCGATTTCCTCAGCATAAGCGGTCAACTAATTTGGAGCAAAAGTGACAAAATTTAAAGAAGCTTTCCTTATCCTTACTCACCCCATTTACGGGACACGATAGACACAGTGTTCCCAACTCTCCAGAGAAAGATAAAGCGTTCAAGTCTTGCCCTTATTATTATGTTGTGTATTTGCCATGACAGTAGACAGATAAGGAATTAAAGTTAGATGCTTCTAGAAAAAGCTTTAAAGCACTCTCTCTGTTTCTATGACTTTTTTTTGACCGGTAATCAGGACCCCCATACATGCATATGTTGAGCCCGGAAACGTTTATTTTTCTGAGGACAAAAAATTAATTCCACCTAGGCTTTAATTCTTTGATCGATCCTTGGGGAATAACCCAGGTAGATTATTCACTATAGACGTAGTTCAGGCTACCTAGCAGCTATATTTGCCAAAACCGTGTTAGCAACCAGGTGGGACTGACACATAGTTTTCCATTTCAGTTTAGGGCTATCCTTAGATTTTTGGTGGACAGATGTACTCTTAATAACCCCCGACTTATTCACCAAGGAAAACTGACCCACGGAAAGACAAACTGGAAAACTCCCTGCACCCGTTTAGTAGGCGGAGCCTTTCCGACGTATTTAAATGGCGTAAAATTATGATATTTCAAGTTGTAAGATGGAGAAGAACTGCGTCTTGATGTTAATTTTAAAGAAAAATTCGGAAAAGCTCTTTCGGATGATGTCTTTCCTCACACCTTGGAAGGTACTCTGTAATTCTCAAATGGCATTTCCGGTCGGATCCACGAATGTCTTATTTTCATTTGAACAATTCTTACCTTACACGTTGTGTCAGCTCACTAATCAAATATTAACAAAATAAATCGCAAGAATACGAGTTACAAGTCAACTATTTGCCTCGTAGAGAGAAAACTTGCTCCAAAGTTTGTGATGTTGCCTTTACACCGTGGAACTCGAATTAGTTTCTACCTTTTCCTACTAACAATACATGCAGATTTCGCACATAAACTCAGCGCATTGTTAGAGGGACATGACATCACTGACAAAGAGAACAAAACTAAGACTGAACACCTTTCAAACCATGGCCTTAAATACCAACGTATTCCTCACGGTTTCTCGTCTTTCTCAGATTGCCTTTCTAAACAGGGAATGGTATTTCTCGGAGGACCCTGTGGTGTCATGCCGGCAACATCTTGCGGGGGTTTTAATTGTGCCTCTGGGATTGGATTTCCTATTTCCCCAGTTTGCTGTAAGTAACTAGCTATTGTCGTTATCTCATAAAAACTGACATTGCCTACGTGCATCTAAAAAACAAGGGTTCACCAAATTGCCTTTCCTTGCGAATAGTGTGAGGAAATTGGAATACTATGGTCTAATCTCCTATTCTTTGTAAGTCCGAATTTCTCGAAGACAAAAAAACGCCTACAATCATAATTTTTCTCCCCCTATATTAAAATGTGGTTGGTACTACTTTCCATGACCAAAAAATAAAATGTTTCCACATCTTGAACAGGTTCCTTGGTAGACTGCAGGAAAACGAATCAACCTAGCCGAGAAATCGATACTATTAAGCGGTTTGACATCACAAGCCTACCAGCACATCCATTTGCACTTTCTTCGAAAACGCCCGTAAAGCCCTTCAAAGGTAAACGAATGCGTAAACACAAACACCCCAAACCGAAGAAATACGATCACCAGTCTACCGAGGAAGGCCCAAACATAGACGTTAAATTGAAGCTGAACGATGAACCAAAATCGAAAGCACAAGACGAAGCACCAGCTTTTCACCCTCAAGTTGTGCTTGGTCAGCCATTACATCTTAGACCTTGGTTTCCTTACCTACACAGGCCAATTTACCCGTTTGACATGCAGTATCATTCTCACTTCTCTCCACATTGTCTGCATCATCCTATGAGGTTTCAGCATCCATCTTATTGGACATTCCAAGGATATTTCCCTCATTTTATGGGAATGAGATCTCCTTGGGCAATGAATCCATCAGATATGTCAAATGTCCATCATTATCCCGAGTATCAGTATAGCGATATGCATTTTGTCCAGTCCAATCATCCTTCCAGGTATAGTCGACCACCGTTTAGAGATTTCAACGATTTCAGCTCTGACCTAAAACTTCTGGAGAAACCAGAGAGACTTCACGATCTCTGGACGCACAGCAAAAACAAAATAAAGAGTCCTAACGAGTATGATGGAGTGCATGAAGAGGATCGGAAGATGGTCAATAACTCAGAAGACCTCAGGGAAACTGTCAAATGGGGCAACTATCAGCAATGGGGAACTGAACACGAAATAGAACCTAGTTCTATTGTAACAGAAGACCAAGGTATGTTGCATTTCGATCCGTCGGAAAAGGAAGATGTTGATACCAATTATCCTGAGTACAAAAGCGAATTCAACACAGAGCGCGTCTCGCGGCCTTCCGTCGAGAGTAGGCGAGGGAAACTTAACCGCCATTTAAAATTCCACAAATCATTGAAAAAAGGAAATGGCTCATTGAGGGGATTCAACTCAGCTAACCAAGGATTTCATTTGGATGTAATATCTACTTTCCAGATGAAAGGAAAGCAGAAAAGAAAGGAAAGACAGAAGGCTGACCTACTCAGTCCCAAAGAAAGTTCTGTAGTAGGTGCTATAGGACTGAAATTGGATCCTGTAATTATCGCTAATGCGATACATGCCAATGCTTGAACTTCACAGAAGTAAAAAAGAAAAGGAATCACATGCCACAAAGTTAAAAAAGAAATCGGGTTAGATAACAGAGGGCAAATATCGGCCTACATATCTAATCTAAGAGAATTGAAATAAACACGAGAGGATGTCTAAGAATTCAATGAAGCTGAAGGCGATGTTTGTAAAGTTCCAAATAAGGGATTAGCATCGATCCAATTCTATGGAAGCGACTTGACTTAAACAGAACATGGTGGGTTTGACGTTCTAACATCATTTTGAATAAGTACATACATGGCTAGAAGCATACGTTTTTAACTCTTTTTAAAGACCCAATAATACAGCAAATTAATCAAGGCTAAATGAGGGATGTTCCTCGAGTGCAGGTTTACTTTGGAAAGTTAACAAAGTTTCTATTTGCCTTGCTTAGGCTTTACTACTTATCTAACAGTTAAATTAATACATAACATTATTCCATTTAAGGTGAATTACACTTTGATTCCTATTTTGGTCTGTACTACTTTGATCCTTGGGAAGAATGATTTTGGGCTATCATAAGCACTGAAGTCTACTGTGCGTACACTCAGTCTCAGAGGTTCTCCACGATAACTTTCAAAGAGCGTCCAGGAAAATTTTTTCTCAGCACATGCTGTTTCATAAGCCTCGCTCTGTCTTTAAGAGACTTCAAACGGCTTCTTAGCACCGAGGCGGTTGGTGAATGCAGTCTGAGGTTTCTTGAGGAGTCACGGGCTGTACTACCAGTTGATAGGGTCCCCAAGGTACCTTGCGTGCCAGTGGTAGGTTGGCTACTCGTAGGGCTTGCGGAGCCAGAACTGCCTCCGCTAGGGCTGGTTGGGTGTGTCTTAGCCTGTTTTGTTTCCTTTGTAGGCTGATTCCCGCCGGTGGGTGGTTCGGTCGGCTTACCTTCTTCTTTGCCACTTTCTTCCGTTGCTAGTGAAAAATAAAAATTCGTCAACTCTACTTCTACTTCTACTGCAAGGATCGTGCATCTTACGTATCTATAACCGCAGTTCAAAATATATGAACTTCATATATTCATCGTATCTGATTTATCATCACGGGTTTATTACGAATCAACTTAACGGACTGCTCCCAGTTGGCTTGTTAGCTCAATTGGTAGAGCGCTGCACTAGTATCGCAGAGGTCAGTGGTTCGAATCCCGTACAGGCCTGATTTTTTTCAGGTCTGATTTTCGCTATTGCATAAATAGCGCTCTCTACTTCTACATGCCAGTCAATAGCCTGCGGAGAACACTAGCCTTACGTTCTAAGGTTTGTGTTTTGTAATGCCTTATCAGTGAAAAGATGTGAAATAGCCAAATAGGTGCAGGAACGTTAACTCCTTTTCAAGCTTTGCAAAATAAAATATAGCAGCTGTATTTCTTTGACTGCTCAATATATTGTTTCATAAGTCAATTAAATTGATTTCACATCCCAAATTATCTATCAAATATAATCCTTTAAGTTCAGCATGAATGTCTTGTTAAGTACACGAATAATACGTACGACAGCAACAACCACATCCAGGAGGGAACCATGGATACGGTTGACTCCACGGTCCACCTCCTGGCAGGGGATAGCCACATCCGTCCATCCAGCCGTATTCTGGCCACCACGGATCAGGAACCGTAGGCCAACTCATGCCTCCACATGGGTAGGATACCGCGGGTGGAGAAAAACCGTATGGGTTGACATCAAAGCAACGCTTTGATATATGACGAGATCGTCGAGCTTTGAGCTTTTGAGGAGAGAAAAAACATGAGACTCTTCTTTTCCCTCCCTTTACCATTCTTGGGTTATCGAGGTTCAGATTATGGTTTCTTATTCTGCCTCTCAGAGCGGTTATTTCATTATGAGCGTCTTCCTTCTTTCTCTCGCGGTGGACGCCTTCGCAAGTCTCCGTTTTAAAGAGTATTAAGAGGAGAGAAACAATGAGAAAAATCTTAGTAAAAATCATCTTCTCTTCTTCCCTTTAGACATCCCTGATATCACAAAGAAATTATGACCTAATGTTATGATACACCTTGAAGACTTGATACATGACATCATTTATGTATCTTGTAAAATAAACAACTTATCAGCCTTATGCCCTCTAAACCCCATGGGGTAGTTTAAGGTAGTCCGAATCGGTGCTTCTGATAGATGAAAAAAAAAATCGCAAGCAGCAGTTATCACTAATGATGTTCTCTTTTGCATCGGAGTGAAGTGTTAAGATGAAGTTTTTTGGAGTGAGTGCTGATATGTTTGCTTCTTTTTTAATGGTGCACATGACAGGAACGCCCACTTTTTTTTTTACAAATCAACTTAGGAACAAAGACGACATGCTTGTGTCCTTGACAACATTTACACGCTTCATTAGATAGGGATGTAGCCATTAGCGTTAGGGGATGTTTATACACTTAAAAGCCTTTTATAAACTATTATCCTTGATACTCGTGGACTGACGTTTCCTAAATCTAATTGTCGCATTTCTTATTACTACACGGCTTTGGCCTCTTTATTCTAAATAGTGAGTTGAACTTGAACAGAGTTGTATGATATGACAAGCTTATATGGCAAATACAAACATTTAAGCACTCTTCAAGAGCTCAGAACTGATGATTTAAGTGCAAGGATAAAGCATATCAATTTATATCTCAAAAAGCTCTCTTAAATTTGCTTTAGCTTTTTCAAAGAACTTCTTCACAAGAGCACAAGTTGAAAAAGACAACTTAGAGCAGTGTTTTTCTTTAATTGAGTGTAAGTAATAATCCTGGATTGCTTTGCTTTACTTCGCTACATGATTGGTCCAAAAAAACTTGCGCCACTCTCTCAACCAATCAGATGCAAAACTAAAACCAATCGCGACTTGGTCGCTCGCATTTTCCTGCGCTCTAGGCAGTTTGGTCGGTTTTACTTTGAGCTCTAATAGACTATTGATGGCAATTCCCGTCTTCTGATTGGCCGTTGTGATTACTTTGAGCTCTAATAGGCTATTAATGGTATTTTCCCTTCTTGTTTGACCTTTGGGACTGCTTTGGTTTTGGTTTTATCACACTCGATCGAAAAGCGCTCTATATGAAAATCTATGGAGGACATCACACAGGGGTGCGTGGACGCGAATTTTATCGAGAACGCGAGAAAATTAACTCATGCCCAACAACGAACGTGTGAACATCTGTTATTATACAGATTTATATGAAATATTTGAGGTGAAGAAATTTATGCAATGAATTTCAAAAGCGCAGAATGTGGAGTTCACCCACTTGAAATCTCAGCTCTTGTTCTCTAAAAAAAAAAACACAACAACAAAGTTAGCCTCCTCATCGCGGAGGCAACGCCTTGCATGAAATGCCCTAGCACAAAAATGTACCTTGCTACCAGGACGAGATTAACCTCCACATGTGAAGGATATAAAAAGTATTCCTCAGCGTATGATGAAGACATCAAGTGTCTAAAACAGAAGAAACACCGGTATTGCCTTATTTTCCATTTGATAACGAGGGATCTATTCATTCTAATTTCTCCTCTTAGTCTGCATTTTGTAGTTGCTTTCGTTTGTTCAAGTTCGTCATATAAGTGAGTGCGTTACCTGGGAATGTATCGTGAAGTTTGACCAAAAAAAGCATCGTAATAATTTCTTTTTTCGGATGCCTTAACCACGATAATCCTCATAATTGCGTTTTAACCCTGTGTACCGCATAACTGATAGGTAAAAGGATTGTATACCAAAGCTTTGGTAAACTTCCCTTAGAAGCCTCTGCTGGTAATGTAACACTGCATGCAGGAGTGAGATTTTGAAAATGTACAGTATCTGGTACTGCTTGACCCATTAACGATGGGAAACGGAGTTTTCGAGTTAGCAAGAAATAACTCTGCGGTTATGGTCCCTGGAACTTAGCATAGGATCCTAGTGGCCGATTTTTGGCTGAAGAAACACTTCCAACATAAATTGCGTGAAAATAAGCAAATTTTATTGAGGACGTACAGTTTACACGAAGTTGACGCTCTTATGAAGCTTATTTTGTAAAACTGTTACTCTCTTTAACACTTTTAACATAACTGTGGATATTCTATCATATTTGTAAAATATTGTTAACTGAATCAGTTGGAATGTGCAGTTTGCAGGTTACTCATTACTTTACCATAAAATGCTCTGATGCCTTTTCTTTCCGAGGAATGCACTAGGTCTCAACTGGAATTTGTGCTTTCAGTCAAAATAGAAAGAACAGTTCGTAACCGTGTCTGGAATCTATTTCATGTACCTGAAGGAAAACTTCACCTTGTCTTCTTAAGCTAAGAATTTAAATATCATGGTATTATCTTTTATGGACTTGTGTCCTTGTTGGGGCCTTTCCACGTAGTTAAACCTGCAGTTATGGATTTTTTTTCCGTCTCGTAGCTGGTTTCCCTATATTGGCTGGTTTAGCTGGTCCCTTAGGTCTCCATAGGAATAAACTACCAACAACCTTGTCTAACGGGCAGTCTGGGCACGTTTGCTGAGTTTGCTGAGTTTGCTGAGGAACTTGCCAGTTACCATAGGTTCCCTGGTAAGGATCTTGATATACTGATGGCTGCCCCCATCCATACTCATTTCCCCATCCATATCCATTCCCCCATCCATATCCGTAATTAGGGGTAGCACCGTAAGTGATCTCCTGCCTTCGATATCCTCGTTGAACGTTTTTGCCCTGTGTCACTTTAAATGGACCCTTAAAATGTACTTTTTTTCCAAAGAAAGGATGAAAAAGTGTCAGAGCCCCCCCTTGTCGAGGTTTCTCGTTGGATGAAACATCGTCGTTAAATTTCGGACAATCATTGGCACCGCCTTCACCACCACCTTGACCACAACCTAAACAGTAGTCAGTCAGCGAGATGAATATGTTTCAAACTTAATAAATATGTTCAACGAAGTTACACTGATGGCCTGTCAGCGATCGTGTTGCTTTCCAAACGTACAGGCTTAATGGAAAGCTTGCATTTTTATACGTCATACGTTACTCCATTTAAGAAAAAACAACATGGAAATATATAATTAGAGTAAAAACAGGCTTTGAATTGACTTACAAATCCAGCCGTGGTTATTACAGCCACACGGGCAACCAGGAACTCTCCAGGGACCTCCACAACCGCAGTTATTACATCCAAATGGACCACCGTGTCCAGCCCAGCCGCGATGAAAATGCGGTCCATACTCCGGGTACAGAGGACCCGGACCCCAACCCCATGGACGAGAGCAGTCTAATAGTGTGTCTTCGAGGCCACCAGGACAATCATAGGGACAGCCTAGAAAGCACCTTTTCTTATTACGGACTTTCTTGGGATTTTTGAAGCGTCGATTACTGTGGTCATCTAGTTTTGGTCGGTTCTCTGAGTCCGAGGTTTGAGACGATTTACTTGATCCTAATACTTGGTCGTCGTCAATTGACTCTCTGTGTGTTCTCATGAAAAATGCGTGAGAGTCATCGAGAGCCATTGTAAAACCAAGTAGGCAAAGAAAAATGTTTAGATGAGCAATTCCAAATCCCGACATATTGGCGATTGATTAGATTGCAATCGAAGTCTTGGATTTCTGGTAGCTGAGAGTCTTACCTACAATGGTATCTTTGAGGTCAGACTTTCAAAATTAAAACCATGAAAGGAATTTTTTACTATCAGCCATCCACTCATTAACAATGCAAATCGTGAATAAGTTTAATTAAAAATATAGTTGAAACACCTCAGATCTATCAAGATTTGGCTCATCTTTAAAAATAAATTTTCGCAGATTCAATTTGTGCAGCCTCGGAGGTAAACTTTTTTATAATTTTTAGGTTTACAACGAATGAAGAACGTTTGGTAGCGACAGTTTATGAACCAAAGTAGAACAATAAGTTGCTTGTGGTCCTACTATGACCATCTTTCCGGGAAAAGCCTTTACACGCTCATAATTACATGTGTTAATTATTCAATTTCACCTGACATAACAAAACATATCATCAAGTGAAGACGAGAACGCGGTGGAGATTTCTCCGATCGAATCGTTTAGTTTAAATATTATTTCTGTAGTAAATTTCACCCAGAGGCAAATATGATCAGTAAAAAGAAAAGCACAGCAACTGTGTCTACAACAACACAGAATTTTTGCGTTCTATTTTCATGCGACATTTCCATCGACGCTTGGTGAACTTAAACAAATATACAACACAGCAATTATACAATTTCCCCAGCATTTTTATCTCTGGAAAAATTTACGAGAATGTGGTCATGTTGTTTAAGTTGTGTAGGAGGTTTACTCCATTTAAGCACTGTCGTTTTATCGATCTTTTTCTCGTCCCCCCGATCTAATAACGTTTTTCCTGATCAGGCAATATTTATTATTATGCGATCAGTGTCTTTCTCCTCCTGTTGCGTAGGCGTCTTGTCAGGTTTCACAGCATCAGATTCCTTGTTGGTTGGTTCGTCTCCGCAACCTATAAAACAAGCAATTACCCTCACATAATGTCAATAACTTCATTGTTCTTATGTTTGTGCCTCTTCGAGAGGCTCAATCAGGTCCCGAGTATTCCAATAAGTTTTTGAAAAAATAGACTTGCAGTTATAGCTCTTCAAAGAAGCTTGTGTGAAATTGATTCTTCGTGAAAAAGCGTGCATTTTTCAAAAATATATTTCTATTGAATGGCAGTGGCTATTACGTAATTTGCGCAGAAAAAAAAGACACTATGGTCTATTTAACTCCGATAATTTTCTGACTGAGATGATAATGTAAATTTGCTATCGTGAAGAGTTTCTAAAGCTGGCTTTTCAGTAGAAGGTTAACCCTTCGTCTGTACTCGAAAAATTTCGAGTGATGGCACTAATCTTACAAACGAAACAATTCTCCTACACTTTATCCGTTAATAAGAAAACCATGATAAAAAGCAGGTCAACCCAGGCCGTTAAGAGAACTCTAATTTCTACTCACAACACCATCCTTGTTGCATACACGGACTTGCATCATGCTGAGGTCCCGCCTGGACATTGTCATTTAACCTCTCTTTCCAATTCCAGCCGTAAACATCTTGCTGTAGTTCGCCATCATAAGAATCTTGGAGCCAAGCCTGTTCATCTCCAATGCCAAAAGGTGGACCCACTGTCGGCAGATTAGGAGGCATAAGTGGACCGGTTAGAGGCGCGTCGTTCCAATGAACCTGCGTCGCAATGAATCCGTCTGGGCAACTATAGCTTCGTGGAATCCCACAGAAACAATGTCTACGCTCTTTTGGACTGGCTGCACTTTCTTCGTATTTACTCTTCTTGCTAAAATGTTGGTGAATGTAGCCAGGTTCAATTGGTCTCACTTCCCGCCCCTTAGAATCAATGTAGTTCCCGATATCCACTTTATCAGCTTCCATTTTTCTTTTGACTTCTTTGTCACTTTGTTTCAAACGGTGAATTGTCTTCCCCGAAGATGAAAGAAACGATGCAAAAAGAAGAAGTAACAAATGTGTGAACCTTTCCATAATTTACTCTATGCTTTGCGGTCGGGGTTTATTTTCTGATGTTGAAGCGTGAAATGAAGTAGGAGATGCCAAGAACCATAGTATGAGCAGATGCGAGTTTTTAGTCAGGTCCGAATTCTCTCCATTTCACAAGCTTATCACGTTAATGAAACCAAAGCATTGTTTAGCTCCGAAATAACCCAGGTATGGCATATTAGGCCGCGATGTCGTAGGAGAGATTGACCGTAACTCGCTGGTATTTTTGGTGGCTTTTGACGTTTCTCCGCCCTTTTTTCCTTCTCCGCCCATTAAATAAGTTTTGATGAAGTTAAAGGGGGTAAACTAGCAAGTTTCAGAGTTTTTCAAACACATGTATGTAACTCGTTGCAAATTTTCTGTTTTCTCTCAAGCAAACATTTTCTAGTGTCTGTTGAATTACCTGTACACAATACCAAACTAACGGTAACAGTTATGAGGTTTATTATTTTAAAGCCTCTTACTTAATGACTGATTTATTATCTTTGGTCGTCATCATAAGGTTTAAATTTTACGAAAAATTCATTTAAAAAAAGTTATATAGAAGAGCAAGGATTAAAGGCAAATTTTAAATTTTCATTTTATTTTTGATCTTGATGAAAACAACAAAAAAGTTAAGTTGCTAACACTCAAATAAAGGATACTGAGATATTAGTAGTGTATGGTTTTTATTCAATTCTTCATTTACGTACTTTTTTAATTTACATCTCTTGGAGACAGGATTTGTGATTTCAAATTCTTAATTCTCGTTAAAGAAATACATAACTTAGTGCTAAAAGTTTCGCGGGACCAGCAACGGAGAAGGAATAAATCTTCTTGTTCGGCCATCTCCTGTGAGAACAATTAATTATAAGGTGACATAATTTACCTGGGAAACTTGGATTGTTAAGCATTGTAAAGGATAATTAAGTAACACTAATACTTAAAGCTAAGTTTTACTATTAATTCAGTTTTCCCTGTTGAGAGGCATTCATGTTCAGGTTCACTAGAATGAATTCAATGAAAGGAGCCTTAAAGTAGTAAAATCTGAAACAGGGAATTTTTAGCCTTAATGCCAGGGTATGATGGACTTAATATAATCACAAATAGTTATTTTATTACACCATCAGTTATCACTGTAAACACTTCATTTTACACTTACAAGGACATCGTTCTGGTAACTAAGGTGAATGAAAAAACATTTGAAACATTCACGGTTTATTTCACTTACTCAACCAAACGTGCTGAATACGCCCGTCGCTAAACAGCCGCGGGAAACGACGACCACCCGGACGAAATATTCCACCATAGAATTTACCGTATTCGCATCCATCGTAACCGCCGCAACATCCACCACATCCGACACACTCACCATAGCCACACCCAGAGTCAAATCCATCCCCACCAAAGCCTCCATCACACATGCCACAATTTGAGCCGTATACTCCGTGTGAACCAGCGTAATCCCACGGTGAGATCCATCCAGGTGGGCAGACGTTAGGATGAGAACGTTTCTGAGGACTTTTTTCTTGCCCTCGTCCCTTTTCGGTTGCTCTTTCGTCGTCATCGTTTAATCTTTCTGCCTTTCTTCTTCCAATCTTTTGTTGCAAACCCTCGACGCCCGAGTCAGGACCCAGCATCTTCTCTACATATTCTCTCTTTTCGATATAACTGCTTTGTTCTGTGGATTCCATTCTTTCTTCGTAGTGAGGAAGGTTTGTGCCTTCCCCTCCACCGTGGGAAAACGTCACTTTGACAACTAGCAAAACTAGTAACAACCCGAAAACAGTGAAAGCTTTCATGACGAGAAGACAAGAGCTCTTCACCCCTCTTATGAAGTAAATGAATTGAAATCACGGAATCTCAAGATTAAGGAGCAGGTGCCGCTTTCAAGTCGTCCATAAATTCCCATTGTCGAGGAGACAGATGGTAGCGATTTCATTCAGGCATGAAAAGTGATGTATCTTGCAAATTAGTTTCCAGACGGAAAGAATTGTCAGTTCAACACAGAAGTGGAATTGTTGTCTTTTCAAATAAAATAAGAAAAAGAGTCGTCAGGGTATTTCCGTTCTTTTTTCTTTTCAGAGAATGGGTGTGGAGCTGTTTTCTGGTACCATGATTGTAAAGGAATAACGATGTTATTCCTTGTATATCCTGATACCCGACAACTGACCTTATCACTTAGACGTGCGAGAGGGCTAAAGTGGATTTCAAAGCCTAATTATGAGCTAAATTTTAGAAGTTCTATATGTGACAAATGAGGCTTAGTTATACAGTGTAGAAAAAAAAAATTTTTTATACTTTGATTAAAAGGTTTTGACCGAAATAGTTATTTTAAAGTACATCCTCAGAGTTAAGGAGCCAATTTCTAGAGTATAAACATTCAATATGCTTTGCTTGCTTCGAAAAAGAAAGCGTTTCACGAGAAAGGTTACGTTACTTACATCATAAAAAATTTAGTCAATTTTTCTCATTTTCGCCTTCCTTAACAATCCTTGTCCCTTTTTGAGTTTGCTTTTGCTCGTGGGTGTTTTTTTTTTTTTATCATCGACCGTTGTCATTTTACAGTTTCTTTCATCCAACGTCAAAAGCATTGCTGCTCCTCATCAAAAACGCTTCGGTTGAGGTGAATGCTTGAGCACTGTAAACAATTTACTTATCTACATCCTGCCATTGTTTTGTGTGTAAGTCATATTCCATTGCACAATTAACAACTAGCAAATATAAGCAAATGACTTTAGCAATTCAGGGGGTTCTAATTGGCATAGCCATTATGGTGCATCAGCCATTTCATACTTACGCTAAACCGGAAGTCGCCTTTTGATCATGTTTCTATCTAATTGTTGTTGTTATTTATTTATTTATTTTATTTTTTAAATAGTAAATTTGACGACAGCCATCATCATTTTCTGTTGATTTTAGCACAACACTTCTTTGGAACGCACTGGCTGAATAGGAGGTGATTATCTATTGTGACCTTTCCAGTTCGCACTAGTGCTTGTAATAATATTTTTTAACAATTCCGTTTTGTCGTGACAAGAATACAGAAATAGATTGATTGAACGTCCTCTAAGTCCTTAAGAAGAGATCGTAATCAATCTAAATAACGAAACCTTTTAACTACCGTTTGTAAAAAAATTTAATCGGCGTAGTTCCTACAAATGGTAAAGTGCAAGAACGCAAGACATCAAACTTACGCTTAACGGCAGAGATTTGTGCCAAGTAAGTCGAATACTTATAAAGAAAAGAAACTATAACTGAACAACCGTCAGAATTTAACTTCATCAGGTTTGATAACATTATCGATCAGACTGCACTCTTGAGAGCTCTTTACTTCCGTGTCATGCAAGAAGCTATGGTGTCAGTTTACCATCAGGAGTGGTAACAACTTGTCTTTCGTCGCATTCGGGGACCGTGAAGAGCGCATAGATCCAGTCCTGTCATGGTCGTATTAAAGAACACTGTTCCTGATTAGTTGGAGAAATGTGTTTCCTATTAAGTTGTCTTATTAAGATCATCCTCTTTCCTCAGTTCAACGATGGTTGGAAACATCGAATCGATTCAACAGAAGGGTCGCATGTAGTTTGATTGTCCAGGTGAAGGTAGCCGGTGACGAATGATTTGTCAGTTTTGCTACATCTTTTGCAATTAGACTCGAGTTGCTGCGTCAGTTCTGAAAGACCTTAAAAATTTGACTTGAAACAAAATAAACGAGGAAGTACAGAAAATAAATAAATCATCTTCACTTTATTCCTTAATTTCGTTAATACTGAGAACAAATATATTACACGGCCCTGCGGTCAAACCGGGCTTTAAGAGTTCAGTCCAGATATTTTTAAAAAATTTATTTTCGTATTTGCATTTTTTTTCTTTTATTTTGGATATTGGTGGCTAATTCGATTTACGAAGTGCCTCATGGACGGCCGGGCTTCTCCTTTCTGACATGACGTGGCTTGGCTGGAAAGACATTGCGGTTGTCTCTTTGAGGTTTGGGTTGTTCCCCTTCCCCCTCTTTACCATTCTTTTTACAACCTGATGATAGTAAAAAATTAAAGGCTTGAAGTGGCAAAAACACCTGTCATAAGTCTTCCCCCCATCCATTTGTTGACTTCGTTAGAAAAGCCCTCGTTAGCTTTTTACTTTGGCAAAATAGAAGTGGCTGAGAGAAGCCAAAAGGAGTGTATTGAATGGTATTATTTTGTGTTGTCGGCTAGCTACTGCACTATCAATTATACACTGTGCGAAATATAAAACTTAAGATCGAAATTTCCGCTGTCGTTTTTTGAATTATTGTCCCAATATTGTTAGAGCTAGACTGAAAAGTTTTTGAAGCAAAATTCTCTGATCGTACACTCCCAACCGATTAAAAAAAAAAGTACCACCCTCCAGTTACAAGACTCTCCCAAGAGAAGCCCCCTGAGTGAAAGACCCGCGGATTCGTTTGCGTTTTTATGTTGCTATACTTTGCTGTATACTAAATCTAGAACTGAGTAGAAAAATGAGGTAGCGCGGAGATAGTTTTTGTGTTTAAAGTAACGTCGCGTAAAGTAATTAAAAGTTGTTAACCACCATAATTATGGTTCTCTCTACCTACGTAAAGGATATCTCTCTGTACCGTATAAGAAAAGAATTTGACAGTTTTCTGGATTCTTTCCCCTTATGGTCGTTATGGTCTCGTTTGTTTGTTTCTTTTACTTTTCTTGTTGTTTTTGTTTTTATGTTGAAACAAGTGTTTCATGGTGAACATCACATGTTTCCTTTAGCCATTTTGTCATGAATGAAACTTCTTATTACCGTCTTCATGCCTCGGTATCATTTAACTCTTAATCAAGTTATTTATTCTTATCTATCATCGATCATTTCTTAAAAAATTAAAAGCAGCACTTACAGCACATCACGATTGGTGGATGTCCACAGCCTCCTCCTCCCCAGCCACATCCATTGCAACCACCGCAACCACCGCAGCCCCCACACCCTCCACACCCAAATCCATATCCACCGTATAAGGGGTAGCCACCCCATCCTGGATGAGGTATCATGTCATAAAAACCACCAGGGCCACCGTAACCGCCGAAGCCTCCACATCCAAGACCGGGCCAACCACCACCAATGCATCCACCACAAGGAATGCTGTAAGGTCCGCTGCAGCCAATCACTTCATATGCGTGCGCTGGTCCACAAGGTAATGGACACATACATCGCCTTCTGACTTTATTCATTCTGTTGATGGCAGGCTCAAATGGGGTTATCTCTATTTTCCCAGCAGGACCGGCGAAATTCAAAGAAAACGGCTCGGGAGTTTTCACATTCTGAGATGGGTCCTGAGGCTTTCCTGGTTGCATTGCAGTGATAGTGAAAGGTTGTTGGATTCCCAATGTATTTTGCATCTGCAGGTCTGTCTCGCTTTTACCCTTTGGACGGTCACTTTTTAGCAAGGATTTGTCTTCTTTGCTAGTCTGTCCTTCTTTTTCTTCAGTTTCTAAGTCATCTCCACTGAAATCACCACTTCTTTCGTCATTTTCGAGCTCCGTATTATCACTTCTCTTCTGCCTCATTCTTGGGTCTTCAGTGGTACTTCCGTCTTCTTCGTCTTCGTCATCGCCATCTACGACAGATGTCTCCAACTCATCGTCAACGTTGGATTTATTGTCGGAAATGAAACTACCTTCGCCTTCGCGTTCTTTGAATGGCTTGCCCGGTGTCAAGTCTAACAGGGATAATAAAACAGTAATTAGTAGCAAAAGTTTCATGTTTACTTTCTTCTGTCTTAAAGTGAAAAATATTTTGTTTCGGCAATTTTTTTGTCTATTTGCGATTACGTAAAGCACGTAATGTTATGTCATTGTAAAATTTGTTCAAATGGCGTGAAATGGCACCTGCAGAGCCCTATCAATTGCTCGATTTTAGACCTGTTAGTATCAGAATTAAAAGATTGCTAATGTTTCCGATATCGTCCTAAACAAAAACTCTTTTGTTGGTGGTACTGTATAAATTTGTGTAGAAATCGTGTTCTACAGGGTTAGCCGATCGTAAAACTCAAATAACTCCTACCTCTGTTTTGTTTTTTTCTTTTTGTTATTTCAGAGATTAAATATTCGTTAACTCTAATAAGTTTGCCCGTAGAAAAAGTCAGTTTTCTTTTGTTTGTATGTTTAATGAAAGAATACCCTGTACAAACAGCTTTAAGCTGTTCACAGTACCGACCCGTTTCATTGAATGAGGTATTGTATGAAAGATAGCTATTGGATCTCTTCTAAACTACACTGGAACATAATTTTCCCGAAGTTTCGGCAAATGGGAATTAATTTCTTTGAATAGTAAATAGCCCCTAAAGTCGATCTTTAAGCTAACCATCCCCTCTGCTAACTATCAGCTAAGTTTGCCAGGCTTTTTTAAGAATACGGCTCTTCTCACAATAAAATGACCAATATTTCCGATACGCTTCAAAAGAGCAAGAAAGAAGCTCTACGTACTGGTTGGGTGAGTTATAAATTGGCGATAATGACCTTATTAAAGAGGTTACTCAGGCTAATGTCCATAAACCAGGAGAGAATGGTAAAATTGCTATATAAATTGATCACTGTGAAGTTATAACAGTCCAGAGTGATTTTTTGAATTACTATGCAAACTCCACAAGCTATTAAGTGTCAAAGTATAAAGTTTTAGTTCAATTATCCTTTCATTTCTATTCTTCAGAACCCTCAGACTAATTGTGTTAATCATTTATTTCAAAATTTGCCCTAATAAAAGAGTCAGACTTATCTAACCTGATCCACACTTGTTTGAAAACCCACCATATTGGTAGATGAAGCAGTTGAGGAAACCTTAAAACTACTTTAAAATTTAATTGTTGTTGAATACGAAACGGTCTGAGACAAAATAATTCATCCGCCATAGTTGTTTTCCTTTCAACAAAAGAACCGCTAATAGTTATTTTGACAGTAGCCATAACGAATTAATAATTTATTCAAAACAGATCAAAAATTCTCTTAGTTAACAAGTCAAGTTTTGCAGTGGACCTGCGCTGGTGGAAAACCAACCAATAGCCGAGGCGCTAATTTTTTATTGAACCAACGAGGCCTATTGCCACGTTAAATTGGTAAACTTATTGGATATTCTACGCTCACCAAGAAAGTCCTGAAATCGAGAGTGTTTGAAGAAGCTTCTTCATCGTGGCCTTCAATTTCAAATTGGAAGCCTCTAGGGGAAGTTTGCGATCATAATGACAGCCTTGGCGTCGAAAGTGCTGTTGTTTATTGCATTCCTTTGCGTTTACATCGGTGGAATTAGAGGAAGACCAAACATTTTGGAAGATACGGCCACAGTAGAAAATCAAAAAAAATTTGAAGAAAGCGATCTGTTGAAAAGATCAAAGGCAAACAGTGGAGGGCAAGGCAAAGGTACGACAAGTATAGGATTGTATATTGCGCAGTGCAATATGAAAATATGTTTCTCGTTCCGTAATTTAAGTTAAAAATTGTTTGTTATTCTCACGTATATCAGGGTGACAAAGAGGAGCGTCTTTTGCAGTAATTTATACCATTTGAGATTAAATATTTTCATTCTAAGACTAAATAATAACAATAATAACAATGATGGATTATTGCTTTGATCTCTAAAGGCATTTTTTTAAATTTCATTCCAGATTTCATTTGGTGCATCTCAGCTTAATTAATATCAGCACGTTCCTTTCTATGATTGAAGACAATGTTTCCATTGAGCAATAGATATTACTAGCTTTCAAGCTACTTCAAACTTAAATGGTTTAATCCATTTTTCAGCCTTAAAAGATCATAGCCGTAAGCGATGTTGTGAACCTCTTGTGGTAAAACAGTTGCATTCGTAAACTTAGCTATGGGCAATGTAGCACTAAAAAAAAAGCGACGGATCACCCGACCTTCTTGTAAAGGACAGGGGTACCAGATTTAAAACAAACATAAACCCAATTTCTTTTATTTTGGAAGTATCTTTGACAAGCTGAAGACAATCATACAAGCAAGAGGAATATCCATGGAAAAAATTAACATAAATGCCACCAGTTTGAAGTGTCGCACGATGTAAAATCATGTTGACATGAAAGGGTGGCTGTTTTAAAGAAGTCAGGTTGGATTAATTGGTTCAGTGGTTTCTCGTATTACTGGATCAGTCTCGAGGCTCTCTGAGAGAATGTCACTTAACGATATGCTTAGGCGGCCTACTCCGAGGAAATAGTGATATTTAGTACATTTCATCAATTCACTTATTAAATCCAATCAGTGAACTGACGGCATTCGAGGGGAAAGTTGGTTATATTATAAGTAATTACTATGATTAATTGATAATTAACCCATGCCTTTATTTCCCTTATTGGTTTCAAAAGACCACAAAGAAAACAAGGGAAAGAAAAAGCAAGTAATAGATGCTTACCACCTCGGGCCCTACCACCATGGCCACCCTTGGGGTACTGTCTCACAGTGGCCGGGATTTCACTGGGGAGGACATCCATCCCGTCATGCAGGATGGACTGGGTATCCGTCACTTGGAGGATGGCACAAGTCTCACATTTCCAAAAAAAGTCCTAAAAAGCCAGCGCAAAAAGCACTCTTAAATCGTCGCATGCTACCGACATTTGCCTTTCCAGCTTATGGTTATGCTTATCCGTCTTTAGGGTTTGCTGCAGTGCCATTTACGCCCACACCTATTCCCTGGGGCCAGGGATACTACCGTTCCAACATCTCTGAGAAATCATCAGAAGGACAAACCAGATCCTCCGTGAAACACACTGAAGCTAACAAGAGATGGTGGCCGGGATACATGGCAGGTTGGGGTGGATGGGGATTAGGAAATGAAGGATATCCGGGCTGGGGTGCTTTAGGCGACTGGGGGCGTGGCTATGATTTTGGAGGTTTCGGTCATGGATGGGGCATGTTGGGTTCTGGCCAAAGCTATCATCCTCTTCTGAGAGCAGAGATCCCCGGAAAGCAAAGCAAGAAAGATAAAGCAGAAAAACGTTGGTGGCCTGGCTACATGGGTGGTTGGGGAGGTTGGGGACCGGGAAACGGTGGTTACCCAGGATGGGGACCATTAGGCGGCTTCTGGGGTCATGGGTATGGGTATGGTCTAGGAATTAGACACGGTCTTGCTTTTCGCTCAGAAGTTCCTAGTACAGACGATAAAGAAAAGAAGAGCCCAAAGCGAGAATTCATACATGAACCATTTGCAGGGATTGACTTTTCCTGGTCAGGCTATGGACCATTTACGGATTACGAATATCCCTTTTTTGGTCATAGTCAGTACATTCCTTATCCTTTTGCACTATATGGGGATTTAACACCATTTTACGGGTTTGGCCCGACTCCGGCCTTAGGATATGGCTTCCCTGGAGACCATGGGTTTTTTAAGTCAAATATTCCAAATGGAAAATCTAAAAAAATAGAAAAAGAACTAAAAAAGGAAGAGAAAGCCACTGGCAGACACTTTGTAAATAATTTTCATCCAGGTCGAATGGGATGGGGAGGAGCACTGTACCCAGGTCACGGTTACCAGGCCGCCTTTCCTTTGTTAGGTGCTCATTCGTATGGCCTGTATGGTGCAGGCTTTTACGGACCGTATGGTCCTCCTCATGGGGCATTTGGTCCTTACTATAGATCAGGCATTCCTGGCTCTTTGGATGAAAATTCTCAGAGTAGGCAAGTGATAAACTACAATCCAGGCTGCTGTGGATGGGGGGGATGTGTACATCCCGGTTGTGGTTATATTGGTGGGTGGACCTGGCCTCTTCCATGTCATTTCCGTCACTGTGGCTGTGGCTGCCCATGCTGGACACGATCAAAAACTCCCAAGAAGCAGGCTCTAAAAGAAGAAAAAGGAAAGTCTAGACAAGAAATAGAAAATCCAGGAGAGGAGGAGAGTAGCGATAGTAAAGAAGATCCACGAACACGTCCTCATCTGGAGGGCGCCGACCTGCTAAACTCAGAAATGCAGAGCTTGGCTATGGGATTTCCAGGAATTGAGAAACTTCAAACACCTATGGGATTATCAAATAGCCCAGGAGTCCAAGGTTTTAATGATCAGGAAATGGAAGCTAATGGAGAACACTCGTCACCCGAACCAGCGGAGACAACTGAAAGTTTGGCTGGTATGAGTCCTGACGAAGGAGCAAATGCCCTCAGAGCAGCTGCAATGGGCAGCATGGGGCAGCCACAGGAAGGCCAACAGCAACCGTCCGAAGATTTGATGTCTACTTTCAGCGCGAGTCCATCAAATGAGGGCGAATCACCCATGGAAGCCTTTGGAGAAACAGGTGAGCTAGCATAAGAAGAATAGTGCGACTGTGGTTACGTGATACACATTTTGAGAATGACAGTGAAGATTAACTTCCTTCTGAAAACTTTTTGAATTATGCTTCATTAAGGAAATCCAAACATGTATCCTGCCGAAGCGGAGGAGCAAACCACAGAAGCAGCCTCTAGAAGAGCCGATATTCCTGGTGAGATGGCGAAAGAGCTAATCAAGAAGCAGGCTGTGGCATATCCATTCCACTACCTCTACCCAGGATACATGATGGCTCATGGAGTCAATCCATACTACCATTACACCCCACTTAATTATGTAAGACACGCCTTTTATGACTTATTATTACTTTCTTTAAATCCTCACAGTCAATGTTTGATTAATTCATGAAGGATGTGTGATAAATCACCCCATGAACATAACCATTTTTTTTTCTCATTCATTAAAATCCCATTATGGACTCTTTCACTTCTTTATAGTTCATAAATTTTGATCTTTGGCCTCATAGCAGGCGACAGCAATAATTTTTCTATAGGATTTCTTTCGTATAGCTGCTGAATTAAAACAATGCGTTAAAAAAAGTAGAGTACACTTTATGAAAGACCTTAACTTATAAGTTATATATTTGAATACTTTCCACATATGCTCCATGGGCCTTCGGGACTATGGAAAAAATCTGCTGCTCCTCTTACTGAGTATGCTAGCATTAAGACATGGCTCGTTTTCTATATGTATATTTCATATTTAGCCCCAACACGTAATGGCTTACCCTTCCACATATCCATTGGCCAGTACTTATGCGTCGCTTTATCCCGCGGCCCATGCTGGTCTTATTCCACAAGCACAAGAATTACCATTCCGCGATCGTCCCTCTCACTCCATCCATGTTGGAGCACCTAATGTTAATGTCGATGTCCACACGACGCGTGAGCATGTCGCTTCCAGTCCCGAGAAAGTGGTAAGCTGTAGCATTCGTATATGATACAGTAGTCTGATTTGCTTGCCATTTATTCAGTATCTACATCTGAGCCAGTAATGCGATGATTGCGAATCATTTTTGAGCAAGATAAAGCTAAAGGACCACAAAACAATGAATTTTTGATAGCTAATTCTACCTTTGTCAAAACTTTTCTATATCTCAGTAAAGAAAAATGTATGTGAGTTTCAAAGTTGAAGATCACTATTCTTTTGCGCCTTTACTTTTAGAAAAGAGGGAAGCTGAAACAATTGGTTGGAGAGTTCTCGACAAAGTTAAAATCTAAGAGCAGACGTCACCAATCATCTCATGGGAAGAAAGTGATGAAAAGGCAGATATCGCCGTTCATATCTCCAGTCATGAGCCGACCAATGGGATTCCAACCTCTTAGGTCCTCAACTAAAATTACATATAAGTAGTTCTCAATTTGATGACGAATCCAATGAACTGTGTCGTCGAAAAAGAAGCAAATGACAGATAAGCAGTTGAGGAAATGTTGCCAATACATAACCCAATAGTAAAGTAAACCAAGATACAATTTTTTATGAGTCGTCAGGAGTTTGTTGCATGATTCACGTTCATGTAATTTTGTAGCAAAATTAAATACTTTTGAAATGCCTTTAAGTCTGATATTTTTCTAAAGAGCACCACGTAAAAGTTTTCGATTAAAGGCATGTGTTCGGCACGCTTGAAAAATTCGGACGACATAATGTTAAATAATTAGCAATACCTTTTGACCCATTATGTTCATTGCGAGAAAAGGAATGTCGCATGCCGTTCTGAGTCGAAAACCTTTACAAAGTCTATAAATAGCCAAGTAAACTTGCACTTCTCATTACTCCTATAATCAACCTGCCATTCCGTACGGCTTACTTGTCCTGAATGCCCATAAAAGTCAAGCAGCTACCTTCCCCTACGCCGAGCTAATAGACTATATGCGTCCTTCCATTCTCGCAGTGAACGTGTGCTTTTTTTGAGTCAAAGACTGGTGCAAATTGAACTGATCAATACAATGATAGCATTATTAAACAATGATGCAAGATAGCATTCTGCATTAAATATTTCCCAATTGAATGAGATAGGCCTTAGATAAAGTTGAAACAACGATTGGCCACTTGTGACATAAGTTACGAAATAAGTGTACTTCAGTGTACCGTGGCAGTGAAACTGTATGCTTCAGAACACTTGATATGAAAAACTACATTTATTTACTCCATGTTGGCTTTTTTTTTTGTCATATCACAAATCGCTCAGCATAGACGAAGATATAAATTAAAAATGACCAATTTGAATTTGGCCGAGTTTTTGCATCAGAAAATGAATGTGTCTGCGAAGGCGCGGAGTACAGTTTGTATGATTGAGGTCTTCTAATGTTAAAAAAACTTACGAACTATCGATAGCCACAGATGCATTCAAATGACGTTATCTTCAAGCTGCACCATTATTTGAATCAAAAGTATTTCATCAGTTTTGAATTGTTCCTGACTTCGACCCTTTCATTATAGATACCCAGCATCCAATGCGCAGCCAGGCCTCACAGGAGCAAGGTAAGTTACTTTATCTCACGCCTTAAACCAAACCTGTCGGTCGATTTTGACACCCTTTGTGAGCTAGAATCAAGAATTAGGAAATTACCAATCACAAAAACTCATCGGTCATCTCTCAGTCATACAGTCAATCAGCCAATGAAACATTCGATACATACATCAGTCATCTAATGATTTAATGATTCATTAATGTTTAAAAGAATTTAAAAAATTCATTTTGACACAAACGAAAGGTACAGGCTAAAATGTGACATACTTCTGTCATGATTTTTCATGTGCTATAATTTTGTAGACAAATACCTGTAAGCTTACAAATCAGAGTTCGAACATGTAAAAACCAGAATTTCGAAAGAGGTCTTTGGTGGTTGTACAAATAAATTCAGTGTAAATGAAGCTTACAGCTTATTTTGATGAACCGCCTGCATATATCAGAGACTTTTGATATTTATCGTTTACTGAAGAAGAGTTACTGAATGATACTGGTTGTTAATGAATTATTACTTTTACGTGAAACTTTCTATCCCTTTCTTCAAAAGCTCTTTGGAATAGTTGGTGCAATATCTGAAGAACTTACAGTTTATCACAGATAACAATTAAATGCAGCTTCAAAAAGTTCCTTGAATCATTATGTTATTCAAAGTACCTCTTTGGAAAGGAAAACAGTCTTCCTAGTATTAATTTTTAGTACCTCATTCCTCAGGATGTTTCCGTCTTTACAACCATCACAACCGTTCGACATCAGGGCCATGAGTCGCTCTGGCCTTCCTGCAATGTCATCACCTGCTATAGGAATGTCTCCATCGGGTTTCCCAGCCCCTAGAGTTCCTCAGATGCGCTCTTCTTTGACGCCATCTCAAATGGCCTTTTCTCGACAACTGTCAAGTGTTACTGGTATCAGCATTCCAATTGCTGCACAGCCTGGAATGGGAATAGTAGGTAAGTTAAATACATATGGATGGTTATATTCAACACCAAGTTACCAGAACAGAATCGTCTTCGTTTGATCATGACATAATAAGCCAACGGACTCAGTGAATGTCTAGCCGAAGGGTAGACACCAAGAGTTGAATGGGAAGAGACTAAGAACTTTATTGATGAACCGATTCGAAGTTTTCATCTCTTGACAGGGATGGCTTCAAGGAAGAAACGATCACCATCAAAAAAGTCTTCGAAGAAGAAGGATAAAACCACAAAACGACAATTTTTGGCGGCTATGCCTCAAGCGCTTTCCTCTGGAGGTTTACCATCGTTCGGTTTACCGGAATCACCGTTTTCAGGTGCTGCTTTTCCGTCATTGCCATTTGCACAGCCTCAACAACAATTGAGTTTTAAGTCATCCATGATGCCAGCTCTTCGTTCCAGGATGGCTCCTACCGGACTTTCGGCATTGAGAATGGCCGGCTTACAGACGGATCGTATGCCAATTCCATTATCACCCTTCAGCGGTTTCCCATCACCCCAAAATAACCCTTTCTTCAAGGTACCTCGATTTCAGAGTGCAAATTTTTTCAGTGGTACACCAAACGGTCCCTGGACTCCAAGCTCTTCAATGAGAGAGCCCGTGTCAGAAATGCCAAGTGCTTTAATGAGAGAACAAATGTCAGAAATGCCAGGTATGGGTGACAAGACGTCAATCAAATGTATACCGTTACCAGTATCTTAAAAACTAAGATTTTTTATTTTTATCATTTGGTTGAGATATTTTGTTATGTTTTAGCAAGTGGAAATTGGTTCAAGTTTTTGAGTATATTGCTTATTGCCAGCATTGGTATCTAAAGCTGGTGTAAAGCTATAGTACGTCTTACATATCTATCCCTCTTTGATGACTAACCACGCGTATGATCGTTAAGATTTGTTACCTCTCAACTCTCGCATAAACGGAAAAGTTTTAGAGAAACTTGTAAGCGGAAGGTAAAGCAACTTGAGCTATTTAACTGAGTTACACCACAAATAATTAAGGCTAATTTAGTTTTTCTCTGTGATTGGCACAGGCCTTTCTCAACTTCCAGAGAGACGACCAGAGCCCATGATACCAGAAACACAGCAAATGAGCGGAGGTACTGAAATATTCTTTTTAACTGAAGACTCTGTCGTCCACACCTTCCCTTGTTATACTTATATAAAATGATCGAGTTTTGCTTTTAATGTTTTAGAAAGCAAACATCAGAGTGACATGCAACTCCAGCAATCTAGATAACACAATAATGATCAAATGAACAAGAACCAAAGTTAAACTATTGCATGTTTGAGGTCACTGACTCAGTTTATTTTTATTAAACATCTGTGCAGAAATTTAAAGTAACTTAGAATCAGCCAGTTAATTACTGCCAAAACCACAACCAAGTTACAAACAGGGACAATTTTAGAATATTATAAGTAACCACTTTACAAATTCACGCCTCATTCGGTTTTCCGTGTCATTATTATCGTTAACATCATCATCATCATTATTGTTGCCATTATCATTGTTATTGTAAATATCATCGTCCTTACTATTATCATAAGTATCACTTGTATTACTATTTTTTGTTCTTGTGACTCACAATTTTATTTTTGAGCCGATAGTGTTTCAAATTCATTGAAAAGATATTTGACTTATTTAACCCCTTGATCGTACCTGCGGATCTTTTTTGTTCTACAGAGCAATTTGCAGGTTTTAATCCTTCTAGCTTTGGTGTTCCTGAGCCACAACCATCAGCCATGTTTTCCCAAGAAGGAACGGAATCTGAGGGATCGCAACTTCCTATGGTGCCCCAGAAGGAGATGGCATCATTTTTCCAAGTCCCTGGAGGAGAAATGATGGAGTCGCGTACTGTAAGAAAGAGGCGCATACCTTAACTTTATTACAGCTTAGTAAACCTATGTCAACTCGAGCTAGAACTTTCTACTGGAAACGGATTTTTATAACATTCTTGGCAAGCAAAGACTTGTAAAAAAGCAACGTGCAAAGATGAAGCCTTTCAGACAGGTTCTCCCTGTACATTCTCAGCCATGCAACAACTTTCGATATCAAATTTAAAACCTACAGGGCTGGGAATAGTTAGCTTTCTTGTTAGCCTCCTGGTAAACACTTAAAGATGGCCACTGGATCTCTCTATAAGATTTTATTCGGATCCTTGATGGTTTCTGTTTTAAGTAGTCATAAAGTGTTCTCGGAATCGGTTAGACTAGGTGACCGATTCCGAGAGCACCTTCGCGACGTGGAAAAGAATGACAAGGACACATCGAAACCAGTCGGTAGACACTTTAATTTACCTAACCATTCTAAGCAACATAAGGTAATCTGCTATCTTTCCTTACACTTAGGTAGCACGGAAAGCCGTAAAACTCTTGAACAAAAGCTCATCTTTCAAACCGGCAGTCTAAATCCCACAGGGATCAAGGAACGCTTTTCATTCCACTAATTTATTCGTGTTTTTCTCGTTGCCATGTTCCCACCAATAACGTAGTTCCATTTTCTGCCTTTTAAAGTACACACAACCCACAATTCCTCTATTCGCTCCGACGAAGGGCTAACGCTCGAAACGTCAGCTTTTGTAATCGATACGGTGGCCAATTTACCATTTCAACTTTGATGATATATCTTTACCCCCACCGACGCAGCCCCAAACAGTTTCTTTAGAAACTATCAACCTATATAATTTTTTCTGTATATCGATAGTACCATACCCTTATAGCTTTTTTAAGCACATTTAAAGTTTTTATTCAACGTCATAGCTTTTGTACCCGTATTGTGTAACGCAATACGGTCTCTGGCTGCGATTTATACGTTGATTAACTGATATTTCCTATGTATCTATCTTCTCTATCCGGCTGCTTTGCGGCGTGAAAGTTGGGGATGTTCACTTTCGTGATATCAAACTTTTCTCACCTATGAATGACCATCACATCAGATGCATCAGTATTTACTATTGTTATGTGACGTGCATCATTTTAATTCATTTTATTTCCAGTTCAACATGCAACCTGGTCTTGCTGCTTTGAAGAAATCTTCTGTTCCAGACAAAAAGAATAATAAAGAAAAATCTTCCAAACCTCGAGACAAATAACGTTATAAAGCAAACAGGTGATATTTCATTGTTCAGATATAAAGTTAAGTGGCTGGTGAGAAGAGCAGGTTGTGCATAGACGATCCTGATTTAATCCTGTAAACCCTAACAGTGACCAGCATCTAATTTCTCCTTACAGTATAGTACAGCTGGGTCTCTCACTGAGGTCATGAGAATAAAGGAAATGATCGTCAGCCTAACAAGCTTTGATTTTTATAACAATTCTCTTGGTCAGTGCCAAAAGAAATGTATGTAGAGGAGTATGGAGAATATAGCTACTGATGTTAGGGTCTAAAGAGTTCATTAAAGTCTACACTGTCACTTCAAACATTTTCAAGAAGGGTTTCTGCCATCCTTGATAAAAATCCCAACTTTGTTGCTCAATATTGTATGCAAAACGTTGTCATAAGCTTATATAATTCAAACGTGCTGTGTGCATAAGCAAAAATAAATAAGAATACATATCATGCCTCACAATAAATAATTCCGCTTAGCTGAGCTCGATGCAATTAACTCAGATGACGATTTTTATGTTCAAACCCAAGACCAGAACTCTACATATGCTTGTCCGATTGCTATAGTTAAAGTCTTAGGCCATATTTCACCCAATTTTATTTTTCTTACATGTTACTGAACACTCTTTCTTTCTGATTCCATCAAAGATAAATCAAGGAGGTCATATGCAAGGAAACTCAACGTTGGCGCTGTGGATAGTAAAGATCACTGCAGAGGGAGAAAGAGAGAGCGAGAGAGAGCTCTCATGATAACTGGTTAATGAATAAGACTGAAGACTTGATTTTATTCACCTGATTATTTGGCAGTTCTTATTTTTAACGGTTGTCAACATGCATGGAACCCTAAAATGGGGATTTATCGATCTATATCTACGGTCGTGATTAAGGCCGCCCACTGCCCTCACTCGCAAAGTCTAAATACACAGATGACATTATAAACTTCTTCATAACACAGGGAACATTTTTAGATTCTGATTTTCTATCGAAAGCCTGAACGACGTGGATTAGAAGATCTCCGCATACTTAAAGAAAAATTAGTTGTGTGCATTGCTAGTTGAGCGCTGCTAGATCATAAAATATAAATAGAATGTTTCCCGAGGCAATTTTGAAGAAAACACAAAATAAACTAAGAACTATGATTCGGCGACTGCTCTGTGAAAAGCTTGAACAATTTTTGTGTGGATCCGGGGAGTAATATATCTTGATCATGAGCACTCTGCCCGGATCAACACTCTGTGCAGGATGTTCTATTACATTGTACAATATTGAGAGGCATAAGGCGTACACTGTCTTATCTATTAAGAAGGGGGACAGGGGACAGGGAGGTCACAATCTCCGACTTCCTGTACCACGAAAGCATCTCTGGAAACTTTTTGTTCTCAAAACTCTCCTTTTCTGGTATCGCTGGAGAAGTCTCTTTTAAAATAGGTGATTTTGGGCGAAATAATCGCTCAGCGAGCGGCGTTCATCAGCACTCCCGTGATGATTGAGTTTCTCCCTTTTTGGCTTCCCTTTCTTCATTCATTTCGAATTTCTCTATGCTATTTGCAACACTTAGATAACGCCCTACTCTCCTAGTCATGGCTTTTAAGGGGGACATTGGAGTTTGCGATGTTGCGTTGTTGACCCTTTTCTTAATGGGATGTCAAAAGGGGAGTTCAAATTCAAATTTACTTTTGCGGCGAAGACAACTCGCATAGCGATGTTGCAGAGATCTCAAACCTCACGGTGTACAATGTTTGTACCGTAATTTCAGAATCGACAGTGTTCTGTGAAATAAACCATTTCCGGTGTTGCAGTTTATTCCTTAACCCTTTTAAAAACTAGGTTTTCATAACCCGTCGTTAATTACCGAACTCAATAAGTAACACATCCAAGTTAATTTTTAATAAACATTAGCTGATTAACCCCAGGCAGTGTTCGTTAATATTTTACTTGACCTCTGGACCTCCATCACACGCCGCGGCCAGCCAAAGACTAGGCGCATGGTAAAGATGAGTGAAACCAGACCAGGTAAATCCTGAGACTTGGGCTATATCGCGGTGTCGGTGTATTGATAATATTTCTTGCGGTGATGCGGTGTTTGCCGGTTCTATTTTGTTTTCGGTGTTGCGGTATTTAGAACCCCCCATGTCCCCCTTTCTACTGCCTTCCATGGAGGCGTAGCCATAATGTTGTTCTGATGAGTGGGTGAGTTTAACAATAGAATACGAATGACCTCTTAACCCACAACGAAGTCTGCCGAGTTTTACCCGATATTCCACGCTCTTGGCTTTTGTTTGTTTCGGACATCTTCGGTCGTTCGGCCGATTTTGGATTTTGGACACTGGCGACCGATTTCGGATTTTGGACACTCGTGGCCGATTTTGGATTTGGACACTAGTGCCCGATTTCTGATTTTCCGCTTTCTAGTTTTCATTACTACTACTATTTGATATCAAGTGGGATCACTTTGATATTTTGGCAAAGGGCAAAACAGGCTGCCATTGTAAAATCAAAGAGTCCTTACCTATTCAAGAACTTGAGCCAGCTTTCAACGTGAACGTCGGAAGTGAAAAGCTGTTGCTTTTAATCTGTTCTAGTGTTATTGTTTATTAGAACATAGCTAGCAGAGTCAAATTCATTATACGTAAGCGTGCTCAAAATCCCGATAGTGTACGCTGATAGCGTCAGCAAATCCGACTTCGCCAGAATTTTTTTTTTTCGCGCGAGCGACCATTGCTAGTGCGGGGAAAAATAATACATTTCGCGACAATAATGGATACGTATGATGGACGATCCTCGCAGTAGATAGCGCTATTTGAGCAATAGCGAAATTCAGACCTGAAAAAAATCAGGCCTGTACGGGACTCGAACCACTGACCTCTGCGATACTAGTGCAGCGCTCTAACCAATTGAGCTAACAAGCCAACTGAGAGCAGGCCGTTAAGTTGATTCGTAATGAACCCGTGAAAGTGATAAATGAGATAGAATAAATATATGAAAATCATATATTTTGAACTGCGGTATTTGATACGTATGATGGACGATCCTCGCAGTAGATAGCGCTATTTGAGCAATAGCGAAATTCAGACCTGAAAAAAATCAGGCCTGTACGGGACTCGAACCACTGACCTCTGCGATACTAGTGCAGCGCTCTAACCAATTGAGCTAACAAGCCAACTGAGAGCAGGCCGTTAAGTTGATTCGTAATGAACCCGTGAAAGTGATAAATGAGATAGAATAAATATATGAAAATCATATATTTTGAACTGCGGTATTTGATACGTATGATGGACGATCCTCGCAGTAGATAGCGCTATTTGAGCAAGCTAGCAGAGTCGCGCAATCAAATTCATTATACGTAAGCGTGCTCAAAATCCCGATAGTGCACGCTGATAGCGTCAGCAAATCCGACTTCGCCAGAATTTTTTTTTTTCGCGCGAGCGACCATTGCTAGTGCGGGGAAAAATAATACATTTCGCGACAATAATGGATACAAACAGAAACTCGGCCTGCTAGTCCGAAAACGAAGACAATGTTTCGACCTTTTCCCATGGGCTAGAGTTCTTAAATGAGGCAGAAAAAGAGAAAAACAAAGGAAAAGGAGACTCGGCATCAGCGCCGTCACGATTCGCTTCAACTGATATTGTTGTCCGTTTTTCGCGTCGCATTTGATGCACAATTCCACCGGCTATGTTCTAAAACAATTGGTTGATGCTTTCAGCTGTGCACTATCGAGTTATGGAGCACGTGGCAACTCTTACGCTTCTTTCGTGCTCTCGAAACTTCCCGCGTGCTCCATAACTCGATAGTGCACGCTAAAGCATGAACCAATTGTTAATTATTAAGTTTTTGCTTAATATTGGTTCCAGTCCCCTCACCTTAGTAATATATATACATAGCTTACTTTTGAAAATGCATGTTGAGTACATACGAAACGTCAAGTCATAATCAAAATGTGCAAGTTCAATATGTTTATCACTACTGTTTGTGTCTTATTTTTGATCAAATTACGATGGCCCAAGAACAAAAGTATTTACTACTGCTATTGTTATCACAATTATTATTATTATTATTATTATTATTATTATTATTACTATTATTATTTTTATTGTTGGTAGTTTTTTGTTATCATCTAATTATTGCAGTAACCACATTTTTTAATCATATTCATTTGGAGGAATATCGAAGAGGGTTCTCTCAAATATGAAGGATGCGGCAGCATATTTTTGATTTATTCCAGTCCGTATGACGTCACAACCGCTGGAGTGTGAACTAGAATTTGGGTATGCATATATGCAAATATATGCAAATATCGGCGTCTCTGTACAAACGCAGCACCACCCCGGCCGCTTTGTAAGAGGAAAATTTAGCCGAAAGTATTCCATCACATACTGTTGTCTCTTTTGCAAATATGGCGGAAGAAGAAGGAAAAGTCAGTAGATGTCTGAAGTACACTCTGTTTGCGTTCAACCTACTTTACTGGGTACGTAGTTGAGATTTTGCAGCACATCGTATTTTTGTAGCGACAGAGTTCTATTTTACATGCGCGATTTCCTTTATTGACCTCACGATGACAGTTTCTCGGTGGTTATTTCTAGTCCTGGGACTGATTTGTCGTGAGATAGTTAATTTGAGTGTTAAAAGACCTCTAGTTGGGCTTGCCTTATTCTTGAACGTCAAATAGATGACTATGTAGGCTGGATTCGTACGTGTAATTGTCTGCCATACCGCACTTGAACTTCAGATCAGAGCGCGAAAGTTACATCCTATAAGACATGATGAACCTTGATAACGGAACCGTATGTGCTCCTGTCGAATACTACTGTACATGTTTTTCCTCTAATAAGGTTTCTTTTAACGCAAGGTTTTTGATTTGACAGTAGGTTTAACTTTCTCTCAAACGATCTTAGTGCATGCAATGATGGCTAGATTGATAGGGAGCGCTGCGGTTTTATTTGGTTTTTTAAACTACAAGTCGAATACATTATAGTTTGCTTTTCGATAGGATCTATTTTGGAATGAGACAAGCGCCTTTTGACGTAACCATTAGTTAATGTAGCAGATAATGTGACTATCGATTGATGAAGTCAGTTTTCAGCAAGTTTTGGATAATATAATTATTTACAAAGGGGCCGTTAAATATTGGTTTCTGATGATGTTACACGGCAATGAGGTCATAACCTATTTTAAAGGTGACCTAAACATCTCTTTCAAATCAGCGGAGAGGTTTAGTATTTTGTGAAGTGTATAAGTTGTTACTAAAGGGTTACTCCATTCAACAACAAACCAACAACAACTAACAACAAAACGACTAAATTTATTTGTGTAGCAATTAAAAAAAAAAAAAAAAACATATCTAACGATACCTACCCACTAAATCGCTAAGCTAAGTGAGGCAGAAGGGAAAAAGCATTAAAATGAATTCCTCAATAACAAGTTTGACTCCACAGAGGAAGTGACTAGGAGAGCATATATATACACAAACAATGAAAAAACTATGATAACGTTCAAACAACACTAAGAATATTATAATTATTTTTCTACATTTATCATATAATGAATGGATGTCATCAAAAGTATCCTCTTGCATTTAGCAGCTGTCTATGTACATACATACATACATACATACATACATACATACTTTATTTGGTCTCGCAGGTTAAAAAAACTGGCAGCCATTGGCTGATGTGGACCTGGGTCACTAATTTACAATGTTTACATCTAAAAGAAAACCTAATATACTTTGTGCGAAAGAGTAAAAGTTAAAAAAATATCAGTAATAATAAGTGATCCGATTTGTTTGTGATCAAAGAGCTCTCCTTTTCAAAGGTGAAATTATTAATAAATTTGGAAAATAGTTTTAAGCGATTTATGAACGAAATGACATTATCATAGTCTTTAATGCTACTGGGAATTGAGTTCCAGATCATAGTTCCTTCGTGTCGAAAAGAAAGTCTGCCTATTTCTTTTCTGGGTCTGTCCAGTACCAATTGTTTAGATCTTCGGGAGTTAGACATTGTCGCTTTCGCAGGAAACAATTCCGTTATTTGTGCTGGGCAAGCATGATAAAAAGCTTGGTGGACGTGTTTTAGTATAGCTTTTTTGTACATGTATGATAATGGAAGCCAGTTGGCTTTTTGTAAGATGTAGGTGTTGTCTCGGTTGCGTGGTAGGTCATGAATAAGCCTGGCTGCTTTTATGTGGATCTCCTCTAATTTATTTAATACTTATATTTAGCTAAAGAACTCAAACAGATGGGAATAATATTCCAGATCCTTGCATCCAGTCTTGAAAAAGAATTTCTTCGTATGTTCTGTTCTTGAATGTTTAAGATCGAGAATGCCAACTGCTGAAGACTTTGTTTAATAGTGGTGTTTTTCTGAGGAATGACTAAATAATTCTGAAATGTTGGGTGGTGTTAGATTGGAGGCAAAATCATGTATTAAAGAACAGTTAAGAATAGATAACATGAAGACGAAGAATGTTTAACAAGTTAAAAAAAGTTACAGTGTGAAATCTTAAGGGTTTGAAAAATATGTGGAGAGCACATTTTTGCAAAATCAACACCTTTTCTCAAATTTGATTGGGCAGCTTGGCCCCAGATTGCAATCCCGTAAGACAAGTAAGGTTGAATAACAGATTGATATATGTTAAGCAGTACAGTTTATGGGACAATATGTCTCAATCCTGATAAAATGCCCAAAGACTTCCTAATTTAGATGGGATAAATGTCCTGGGATAAATCCTTTATTTAGATGGGATAAGTGTCCTGTCCAAGATAATTTTGATTTGATTATCGTAAGGACACCAAGGTATATTATATGTATTTTTATACATTTTATATTATACTTAACAATCGTGTGCCGAAGGCAAGTTGAATATTGTCGAATAATCCCGGAGAAAAAGTCGAGGAGATTATTCAACGATATTCACCGAACCTGAGGTGAATAATTGTTTTAGTATAATTTCAGAGCTGAACAACAAAGAAATTTCTAAAATCATAACATTTTAGTAACATTTATTAACATTTTATTTTAACATTTTATGTAAACCACGTGGAGCGGTTTATGTAGCATCATACAAGGAACCGCTCAACCAATCAGAGTCCTGGAAACTCTATGCTCAGCTCTGAAATTATACTAAAGATGCATACTAATGTACACCGTACTTCACTTCACTTCCTCTGCAAGGCAGCAAAACAGCTTCATTAAAAACAAACTATTGTAAAGTTATTGCTTTTCAGTTAAGTTTCTCAGGTACTGACACTTTTAATGCCTTAACTCTTTGACCTCTGTGAGTGACCAGCATCTAATTTTTCCTTACACTACATCCTTAATCACACGTTAAGGTCACCAAAATAAAAGAAAGGTCACCATCCAAAGGAGCTGTTGATTATTTTATAAATTCTCCGTGTCAGCATGTAAGGTAATGTATAAGAAACAGTGTAGAGAAAATCCATACTGATGTGCAAAGGTGCAAAGGTTGATTGTTTTATTTCTTTGCTGTTATTTGCAGGGTATTGGTGGTGTTATGATGGGTATTGGCTTCTGGGCAGTGACACAAAAGAGTGACTACAAAGAATTCTCCAGCATTTCAACTGATCCAGCAATTGTGATAATTGTTGTTGGTTTTTTCATCTTCTTTATTTCCTTTTTTGGTACAGTTGGTGCTCTAAGGGAGAACATATGCTTTCTCAGAACAGTGAGCTCATTTTATGTTGCATTTTAGATTCGCACGTCGGTCTACCAGGGCTGAACACTAATGGTAGTCAACTAGCCACAGACTAGTAGAAATTCAGTTTTGGCTAGTGGTTTTCAATTTCCACCAGCCGGTTTGGCTAGTAAACAGAAATTGCTTTACCATCTAAGTTGTCACTAGCCACTTGGTTAGTAAGTTGAAAAGTTAGTGTCGAGCCCTGGCTACATTCTTTATATTTCTCTGTGATTATGATGGCAGTAAAATTTTTATAGTAATGTATACTACTTGAAGCATGCATTTTTAGACATATGATTGTTACAAATTTATTTACTACATATGTGCTACATGTATCTGTATCTTGGTTGCACTGTACACTACATCTGTTGCTTTTTATAATGCCATCCCAACCCTACACTCTGTTATTTTTGTAACATTGTTAAAACATAAGCATGCATGCACAGTGTAATAGTGTGCTTGTGCAGAAAGATACCGTACATGGTGCATTTGCATGCAGTTTAAAATGGCAAAGGTTTTTATGTACATATTTATTTTTCTGGCATGTACATGTTGTTGATTACATACTTTTTCATTGCAACACTTATTATAGAGGTGCTAGCATTCCCTCTTACGTGAAAATTTACCCGTACTTATTGCACCATATCTGACTGTTAACTTTGATTTCTTTTCTGCTCTTTTTTAGTACATGATAGTCATGATAATCATTGTCATTTTGGAAGTGATAGCAGGACTGCTTGCTTTTGCATTTTGGCCTGAGGTAATTAACTTTAATAATGTTTTAGGGATTTTCTTCTATGTTAGAGTATTGCATGAGTTTTAAGTGCAAGTAATGGTTGTTAAGTTTTCGTACATGTAAATGCATGAGTGGTATGTAAGTGCCATTTAAAAGTTTTTCAAAAAGCTCACTACTGATCATACAGTATATTATGATATTCAGGCTCAGTTCATGCTGCTTTTTTGCTCAATATAATTCTCGATAAAGATCAGTTAATGTACAAAGGCTACATTTTTATCCCCTTATGCACATGACTTGAAACACTTTCCAGAGGTTTGAAAAGGCATGTATGTTTTTCTTGGAATCACATGTTATTGAAAATAAAAATCCTCATTTGTAGTTATCTTTGTAAGCATTCTTTCCAGCAGAGTGTAATGCAGTACTCCTGTCTTACAATCTGTATCCCTTTTATGCATGCCATGTTGACCAATTTGAGAGCTGACCATGGCATGCACATTGCATTTCATGCAATTTTTAATACATATATCTACTAATGTAAGTGCAGTCTTTGTACATTTTTGCTTATGAAGAATGAGGGAAATTATCCCTTTTCAACTTGTACGATCTACATGTACATGTATTTACATCATTCAGTCTTCATTTTTTTATCCAGTAACCAGTAAACTTAACCTGCTGTGGTACATTTTGTATCTCGGACTTATTACCCCCCAAAATCGCTTGGAATTCTTTAAAATTCAGCAAGTAGAAGGATTTCCTTAGATAACAGTGAAAATTTAGTTCACCTGTGGTACATTGCCAATGCTAGGGCTTGACACTAATGGTAGCCAACTAGCCACAGACTAGTAGAAATTCAGTTTTGGTTGTTGGTTTTCAGTTTCCATGAGCCAGTTTGGCTAGTAAACAAACTGAAATTGTTGTAACATGTAAGTTGTCAATAGCCACTTGGCTAGTAAGTTGAAAAGTTAGTGTCGAGCCCTGGATGCGCACACTGAATACAAACTGTAATGTTAATATTGATACCTGAAACAACAGGTTCAGAAATCTGTGGACAATCAGTTTAAGAAAGCAATTGAGAAGTACAGAGATGATCCTGACCTTCAAAATGCAATTGATGCTGTCCAAGAGGGTGTAAGTATATTCTACACATCTTTATATAACTCTGTAAACATTAGAGAGAAAATGTCTTTGTGGGTGCAATATCAAACTGCACTGTACATTGACAAATTTTTTTATGGCCGAGCATTCATTCATGCACATGTATGATGACTAGTACTTGGAGTCTTTCTTCCTCTCAGTGGTAACCAAAGAAATTAATTTTCTCTAGCTTTGATCAGTTCATTCTGCTGTTCATATTCTTTGTGATCAATAGCTAGTCTTTGATCCAATGTTATTTTGAGGGGGATGTGTTGTATCAAGGTGTAGAGTTTGGCTTCTACAGTTGTATTTTACTTTTATTCTTAATTCATGCCAGATTGTAGTATAATGGTTTCTTAGTTTCAAAGTGAATATAACTTTAACATTTAACTTTTTATTTCATTTTAGTAGTATAATTATAAATGGCAATTGACTATATTCTCTACAGAGATGTGTACTGCTATCTTTATCAGCATTATTATCATTGCAGTAAAGGGTTTGAACCCGGGGGTAACATGTGAAGGTGTAGTCTGATCGTTTGGGTGAGTGTAGTCCTGAGAAGGACTGTTGTCGGTGGTAGTGACTGACGTTTCGACAACCTGTGCGGAAGTCATCATCAGAGTCAAGTGAATGATTGTCGTCAGTAGAATGTTCTTATTCCAGTTCGTGTGAAATGATCGGTTGGTTTTGCCGTGATGTTATTGGCTGTAAGACTCAAGTGACGTAAGTCGGTCGTGATTGGTCTGTTTCGATCTGTCGGTAAAGTTAGGTCGTTCTTTTTCGGTCGTTTGTGATGTTTATGTCGTGAATGAGTCGTTTGTATGGAGCGGGTAGTTGTTGACATCTGTTTAGGGGAGTCTGTTCTAAGTTAGTAAACCTGAGCTTTCCAGAGTTAGTCGTTGAAAATAGTCAGTGCTGTAGGTGAGGCATTGGGCAGAGTCCCTGTCAATGTTGTGGTTGGTAAGTATTTCATTTCACACGAAATGGAAAAAGAACATTCTACTGACAACAATCATTCACTTGACTCTGATGATGACTTCCGCACAGGTTGTCGAAACGTCAGTCACTACCACCGACAACAGTCCTTCTCAGGACTACACTCACCCGGACGATCAGACTACACCTTCACATTATTATCATTGTTCTTTAAGAATACATGCATGGGGTATGTCTAAAACTAAATTTGTCTTGCAGTATAATTGTCGCATTTTGATTTGACAGTTCAAGTGTTGTGGAAGCACAGGTCTTAATGACTGGGACACCAATCGCTACTTCGTATGTGGTGGGCCTTCTCCTGAAGAGTGCAGTGTTCCTCACACTTGCTGCATACGTCAAGAAGACCAGGTAAGGCTATATGAGACATTAAAGAAAGCTATGCCTTTTTGTAAAGACAGGCCAACTGATAGGGTGCGGAAAAAACGGAAAGTTATGCGGAAATTTACGACAATAATTTGCGGAAGAAAGTGACGATTATGTGGAAAAGACGCCAGATTATGCGGAAATTTCTAAAACTTAATAAAGTTGTTCCTTAGGTTTTTCCAACGTATAAAATACACGTGAACGTTTTACCGAGAATTTAGTCCTTTATGACATGTTTGACCTTTTGCTGCCATTGTATTCGTGGACAGGTATGTCTTCGTTCAACGCACTTTTTTCATAGTTTTCGTTGTTGAGTTTGTCCGAAGCTTAGTAACCAGCCATTAAATCGGACAAGGAAAACTGGACACTGGAAGTCCCAAAATGTTAAAACAAAATTAGAACCCAGGCCCATCACTAGAAGATGCATGGAACGCCTGGCGGTTTACAATTGTTTACGAACGAATGGGCTATTACTATTGATTTCCGAAATCCATTCATGATTAGGAAAGAGTTTATAGCCGTAAGAACTTAAATTGCCACGATTACTAACACGTGCCTTGAGCACAAAATGAAAGAATGTTTGCGGTAATGTTTCTAGTTATGTTAAAACTAAATGGCAAGTAAATCCTTTAATTCCTTACAAAGTCACTCAGAACTTTTGTTTAAGTTCTCAATAATTTTTCAAACTCGCTTAGAAACTCAAGAGTCAAATCGGTCTTGATCCTTGAAGTCGTCGAGGATTACCAACTAAGCTTTGAATGGTAGTTACCTACAAGCAATATTTGAATGGTACATGTGCATAGAACTCATTATCCTTTCTAAGAGATATATTTATCAGTAAAGTGTGGGAGGAACTACATTGCTGTATGTGAAACAATCATTCATTTCTGTTTTGTTCAATTCTCAGAAACCTAACATCCAATGTGGCTGGCAGGTTAGGAAACAGCATGTAAGTATCGTCTTTTACTGCAATTTACCAAATATTTCCCTCAGGTTACTGAATTTATAAGGTTATCCTGGGTTCCATAAAGATGCAAAAAATTACTTTCATTAGGTTTGATTGTGAGTAAGTAGTTAGAATTGTTATTACTTAGTACAGTACATCAGACTTCAGACTACTGTTTTGCCCTCAGAGGAAACACTTTTTGAATTAAAACACTGCCCTCCCTATGGCAAACTGTTAGCCAGGGTCACCATGTGATGGAATGACATTCTGTGTAGGGCAACAAAGCAGTATGTTGAACAGTTAAGCTCCAGCAGGTCAGCCCATTAGGTTATAGTTTATAGGCTGACCTACTTCTTGTTAATCCCAAATACGTGTACATGAAATTGACCATTTTTGGGGTTGGATTTTGTAATGATGGGACTGTGCATACCAGGTATAGAGATCATAGCCCAGAGATAAAGAGACTCTCGACATGCTATACTACATATACATGTATCAGGTACATGTACCGTATTTACCCATGTATAATGCGCACTTTTTTCCTACAATAATAACCATTAAAATTGCAGTGCGTATTCTACACGGATTCCATTGTTTTGTCGCGTACGTCCTAATTTGCTTACGTTAAAGACACAACAAAAAAAGTAACACATTTAAAGCTTTGATTAAATGACTTATTTTCAATGAAAAATTATAGGTGCATATAAAGTTTTTACTCTAAAATCAAGAGGAAAGATAAAGATCGCTAAATATTTTTGCAAGTGTGCGAACAGGCACGTGGATCAGATTTCAGAGTGACTATACAAATTTGGCCGCGTGTGAAGAGATTCCATGTTAAGTGGAATTTTTCAATGAGAAGAAAGTGAGCGAGAAATATTTCGGGACAAAAGCTTTATTTAAAGCAGTTCTTGATTTGCTGTTATGAGCGAAAAACGCGCGAATTTCTTACGTGTATAAAGCACACGCAGTGGGATTCATCGTGGTTATATTGTTGTTTACTTGACTTGTTCTTAAAATACGGCGATATGACACAAAATCTTCAATACTTTTCGGACATATTGTTGCTCACTCATAATATTTACTGGGCCATGGAATCGTCAAATAAGCTAGGCCTCGCTTGAAGTCCTAAAGTTTGATTTCAATAATGTCTCAAATAACTAAGTTACAAAAGATATTGATGTCAACGATATAGTAAATTTCTAATTCTTGTTGTCTTAATAAATAATTTTACGAATATTTAGCTTGTCTTTTTGGCTGTGAAAACTTTTTTCCCCGATAAATTAGGTTAAAAACAAGTGTGCGCATTACACGAGGGCGCGCATTATACACGGGTAAATACAGTAAGCCCTTAGCAAGGAATTGTGTAAAAAGCTCATGTACTGGAGGTGGGCCATACTGAAAAGAAGAGAACAATTTAAGCATCAATTTACATAGTGTGTACTCTATTATGATTAATAATTTATTGTAGTGAAATGTTAACTGCCAAAAAAATAAAATTCCATCTCTAGACATTGTTTTAGTTCAGGAATTCTCAAGTTGAATGTACTCATGGTGTCTACATTAACCTCTATTGTGTTTAGCGCTTGGCTCTAAAGAATAAAATCTACATAACTGGCTGCTTGGATGCAGTGTGGGAATGGTTCAGGAATCATCTTGTAATTGTGGCTGCAGTTGCTGTGGCTTTTGCCTTCCCTGAGGTAAAAATCTCAAGTCTGTTTCAATTTGGTGCTTATCTCAAGATTGAAGAACACTTAGTCACACAGAGTTTACTTATGAATACAAGTGATAAACCTTTATCTCCAAGGATCTGTGATTGATAACCCTCCCATCATCCTCTGTATTTATCCTTTTTTATTAATAAAGATAATTTTTTGTGTACACTGTAACGCGACCAAACTTGTTGGTCTTGTCATATTCTCACCCTCTCTTTGTGAGATAAGTTTTGAAAATTGTGAGAATAACTGATGTTGAATTTGACTCACTTCTGCAAAATCGATAGGAGAGAGGAAAGAACTGACACACATTTTAGCATTCAGACTACTTTTCTGAAAAAAATCAGGGATATCAAAGTTTTGAAATTTTTAAAAGTTTTGTCTAGTTGGAAATTTAATAGGTGGGGGGCAAGTGGAGGTGAGTGGTTAAAATTATCCTGGAGGTGTTTAATGTGTATTTTTGTTATGTTTTGTCCATAGATTACCGATAAGCTTGGATTTTAGACAAATCTACACAATGCTCTTAGCAGATTATATTTTTCTTCCCTTGTGTGACAGGTTGCTGGAATTGTCATGACCCATTTATTCATCGGACAGATTCAGGAGCAGATTGAAGCTTGGAAAAACCCTCCAAGGTACAAGTACAGACCCAGTCAAGATGTGTATGGAAGAAGTGGACCCTTCTACTAGCCTATCCCTAAGTTAATAATGGTTTAAAATGCAATTTTTAGGTTGATGTACACGCTGCTGCAATTAGATGAAGAAAACAGATTTCGTATCAATGTTGTCTTTACAAGTGCTTGTACTTTTTATAAGTGCATGGACTAGCGAAATTCTTAGTCAATCACGGTACCTACAACCGCTCAGCTTTTTTATGTGAAAATTGCCAAACTATTTCTCTGTTGTCAGTGGTTGCTTGGTTTATTCAGCATTAACCTGGTGCATAGAATGTAGAGTGAGCTTGACGTGGACTCGGCGTGTTTGTCTCCTTTCCACCCCCAGGAAATTCGCCACTTCCCACCACCCCCAAGGGGGTGGTAGGAGGTGCAAAAACCTTACAAAATCATTTCTATGAAATTCTCTCAATTCTTTCATTTTCATGCGAAAGGTTTTGAGCGGTTTTGCATGTCATGTCATGTCATGTACATTACGAGATGTCTGTCGACGATGGGGTATATTTACGTGTACCTCAGTCTGATTTCCTTTCAAGTGACGTATGTCCGCTTACAATAGTCATTGTCGACCTAATAGTTTTGCCTCCCCTGTCAGACACTTTGTAACAACTGTAGAGCTGTGTAACCTTTTAAGAGTAAGCTTTACACTTCAAATCCCTTTTAAATTGATTCTACAACGTAGATAATGTTTAAAAAAAATGCGATTAGGCTCGCATTCAAATCATTCTTAACTTTTGTAACATTTACCCAATGTAGTGCCCAGAGGTGTCCATATTTTCATGTAATCCTTTAATAACAAGTATTCATGTTTTTCTCGTTGCCATGTTCCCACCAATAACGTAGCTCCATTTTCTGCCTTTAAAAGCAGACACAACCCACAATTCCTCTATTCGCTCCGACGAAGGGCTAACGCTCGAAACGTCAGCTTTTGTAATCGTTACGGTGGCCAATTTACCATTTCAACTTTGTTGATATATCCAATTTAATAAGAAGTAGAGCGATTACTGCAACAATTCCTTAATGTACTTTTAAACCTGGTGTAAAAACTATTAAAATTGTTTGCAGATCGCCTTGTTTTTAGATAACTGTCCTTCTTTGATATAGTTAGATTTTTTGACAGTCATTCAAGACAATACAATGAGCAATGCTCTTAACTTGTCAGTGTGAATTGACGACGTTCAAAATGTCTGAAAGAGACTATTGAAAACAAAAGAGTGGACATGAGGTCCTGGATAGGAGAAGACAATCAGTTTGTAATAAGCACAATTTGTATGTGAAATTCCCTTTGGTGTACTTATATTGACACTAGCGCAACCGAGGATACTTAAGAAAATGAATAATGATAGCGGAGCAAAACTAATCAGGAAACGAAAATATGTTTCAGAATTTTTGACACGTTTATCGACCTGCTAAAGGTTCCAGCACTTTTGTGGCGCTTTGAACACAGTAGGTTGCTATTGACACTTGTTGCTTAACTAGATCCCAGTCTCCTGTTTTTTTAGCCATATACAGAGCCTCTGTGATACCGGGAAATGTCGCCTTTGATGGGCTGATATTGTGAAAACCGAAGTTAAAAGCAACATGTCGGTCCTGTGCTTTACCAGGCAGGCCGTAAGGGTAAATGAAGGCCTTCTCCAGTTTCACCATTTGATCATTCATCACTCGCAACTCGTAGGGCTTTTGAAGCAAGGCAGGGTCAGATTTTCTACCCTCGAATTTCCGACAAGCGTCCATGAACCCGGACACAGCGTCTCGAAGTGCAGTAAGAGTAATTCCATTGGCCGAGAGGTCTGGGGACGAAGTGACAACATGGAATGAAAAGTTTAATGCGAACGCGTAATTTTGAACGTCAAATGGTAGCAAAGGTTGGTCTGCGAAATCCAGTGTCATTCCTCCACCAAACTGTGTCATGGCTCTATGAATTTGAAATTTATGATCAACGAACTTTTTCATCCAGTAGAATGTGTCTTGTTGTGTGTGATATACAGGATAGAGAGATGTCCTGTTAGGGTAACCGAACCAATAGCCAAAATCTCCACACGGCACACCTATGTACTGGTAAAAGGGTACGTAGTCACTTGCAGAAAAAAGGTTAAAAATCATTGGTTCTTTGCCATTGGTATCGGAAGGAGTCTTTTTCAACCAAATGTCGTAAATCGTGTTTGCACCTTTGGTATTATTGGGATCCTTGACCTCTTTGGCCCACTTGTGAATTATCTGCTTAAACAAAGGTGTCGCTCTTGCTCTTAAAACGTAGTCTCCGCAGACGGCAATATCTAAATTGATATACGCTACAGCACGTTCAGCAAGGATGTTAGCATTTTCCTCGACCCACTCCTGTGATCCGATCAAGTTGAACTCCTCTCCACCCCAACTACAGATCTTGATGGTTCGTCGCGGTCTCCACCCCTTTTTCAAAAGTGTTCCAAATACACGAGCTATTTCATTCGTTACCGGGGTTCCGCTTAACGCATCAACGGCGCCAAAGGACCACGAATCCCGATGGTTACCGACGATGACGTATCGGTCAGGCTCCTCCGTTCCGAAAATTGTACCTATCACGTTGTAGATTGACTTGTTTTCCGGTTTGTTGTTAACCTCTAACCTGAGTTTTGCCTTATTGCTGTTGTGAAACCCTGGCCCAGTGCGGTATGTGATGTTTAAACCACCTTGCCATGACTCGGGAGCTTCTGATCCTGCAAAATTGTGAATACGTTTAGTTAAAGAGAGCAGAGTGTAAATCAATATAACTTTCCTCTGAGATACTTCTACTCCAACTTATGAGGTGACGATCGTGTTTTATTCTTAATCATACGATGTAACGCATTTTTAAAGTAACGTTTGCTCATCCCAGCACATGACACTCCTCTCTAGTTAGTGCCCTGATTCTGAAAAGGTTCCGCAGACTTCGACCAAAGAAAACGACGTTACCTCCTAATCTGCGCAGTAGCTCCAAGGCATCGCCATAAGATATTGTCTGGGCTGGAATTTTTGGGAGTTCACTCTCGTTGACAGGTTTGCGATGTATACCCTTGATAGACGGAAGGAATGGGGTCTGGGGGTCTCCATTGTACGGCCCAAATAAAATCGTGCCCTCCTGCACCCCCCCTGACGGTAACCACCAACCATTAGGGTACACTTGATCTTGAGCGTATCCTTGCTGGGCAGAGAAGCTTGGGTCTGGGAATACCAGCGCTCCTATTGCTCCATGTTTTTCAGCATTGGAAACCTGAAGAATGAAAACATTTACGTTACTCACCTTGATATCAGATTACTCTCGTTACAAAAGAAGTTCTCTAGAAAAAAAAAAGCAAAAAAATTAACGTTAAAGTGAATTTGTTAAGAGCGAAAGAGCCGCTAATTGGAATTTGAAAACCTGACATGTTTAGAGCTATTTATAGGAATTTTCCTTAACGAGGAGTTGGCATTAATCCGCTTTTCAAATCTCTTAGTGATGTGGATTATTTACCAACTTCACCTTGGTAAACAATAGCTTCACTTTCTTGTAGGTGAGCAACAGTTTCTTTAGAAAATGAATCTTTTTTAATAAGCTTCACAGTTCGTATCAAATTGTCAAAGAAGTTTCCTTAGAAATTTATTAGCCTTCGAAAGTTGCAAACTACGGAGATATCTTCCTTGAAAGTCCTGAACTCCATTCATCGCAATTTATATGATCAGAGAGAGATTCGTCAAGTGATCCTTTTAGAGAGTGTTTTTCCCAAAGTAGAAAAAATTTTTGCAAAACATGATGCAATTGTCATGTACAAACATACTGAAACGAGTATGGGCAAAGTTAGATCAAAGGATTTTCTGTGATACTTACACTTCTGGATCGCATGATGACAATTTTCCCTCGCGCAGTAATATTCATTTCAGATAATTTTTCATAATCTGTATCTCCCCCATAGTTGACATAGACCAGATCACCTTCAACAGTACCACTGTGCGCATATGCTAGGTAAGGATAATGATCGAATGTCTCAGAGCTGGTTGGATCAGGGGATATCTAGAAAGCATCAAGGCAACATGTTTTACTGACGTAAGGAATTTTTAATTACCTCTCTAAATTAAGCATAACGACGTGAAGATTCATTGTGTCGCAGTAATCTAGCACAGATACTAGCAGACAAATATTGCTCGGCCAAAATGCCCAGATAAAAGATGTGTCACCATGCACTAAGAACTTTATTCTTCATGAATGGATAAATGAATGAATGAATGAATGAATGAATGAATGAATGAATGAATGAATGAATGAATGAATGAATGAAAGATTGAATGAATTAACCCTTTGCCCCAAAAGGTAACTAATATCTAACAACTGCTCACAATGTCACCCTTAAATCACACATTAAAGTCACGGGAATGGAGGAAATGATCACCAACTTAAGTAGCTCTTAATTGTTATGCAAATTCTCCGTGTCAGCACCTTAGGAAATGTATAGAGAACAGTGTGGAGAAAATTCATACAGGTGTTACGGTGTAAAGGTTTAATCGGAAGTGCACAAAAAACAAGATACTTAATTGTGGATCATAAGAGAAACGAGCCACCATAACCGCACGATGGGAAGGGGGGGGCGGGGGAGGGAAGGATTGGGGAGGGAAAAGGATAACTGATGGTGGATAGTGGACGGAGTTGCTAAATACTTCCGGTAATAAAAATGTGTCCCTAGTGTTTAGGCCAAAATTTTAGTTGCCTTATCTGCTTAAACTTTGACAATTCCTAATATTCACCAAATGGAAACCATCCAAAAGAGCTAAAAAAAGGGGGGGACACTTGCATAAAGTTGGAAAAAACCAAACTATTCTTTTATCATGTCAAGAAAGTGCAGAAATTGAATTGGAAATTTTAGAAGAAAAAAGAACGAACTTAACTTACCTTAATTTTTCCTGCTATTTCATAGATCGTTTTACCGTTTTCTATTATAGCGACCTTGTTCGGTTTGTTTGGTTGTGGAAAAGACAGGAGAACATTGTATTCGGGTTTCTCTACTTTGTCGAAACCAAATGATTTCCAATTTGTGGCAAGTGTATTTGCAAGCTCATGCTGTCTCGAAGATCCTGCGATGTGTGGCTGTGTTGAAAATTCCCTGTAATAATGAGTTAAGCCGGAAAACTCTGATTAAACCGCAAAATTTGTTCATTATTCATCATCACAGTCATCGTAACTGATCGCTTTCAGTTAAACTGTTTATCATGATTATTGCATCTATTTCTATAAGATAACTGCGGCTTTTTGCACACTTTTAATCTCCCTTGCTGTGACATATGTGTATTTGCATCTACATGGCTTGTGTAACTGCATCATCGTTCCTTATGGGAATTTTGCTTGGTAACTTTTCATAGTAAGTGAAACTTGAAAAAATCGTCATATCAATTTTAATCTTTCCGCAAACAACAAAAGAGGCTAAATGGGGCAGAATGAGTGTGTCCATGACAACCGCTGCGCAGTCGAGCTGCATGTCATCTCTCCGATTTCACTGAAACTTTACCAGTTGAAAGGGTTCTCCCTAAAACTTAAAAATGAATGAGTGTGTCCATGACAACCGCTGAGCAGTCGAGCTGCATGTCATCTCTCCGATCTCACTGAAACTTTACCAGTTGAAAGCGTTCTCCATAAAACTTAAAAACTCAAACTGGATTCTGTTTAGGTTATTCTTAGGGGTAGCTGGACCACTTCCTTGGTTTTTAATTTATTAGTTTTCCACTAAATAGCTTGGGAAGGCTCATGATTCTTGCACTCAGTTTCCCCGAGCGCCTGGGAAGACCGTGATACAGATTTGGCGAAAACGGACGGCTTGCATTTTTAGACTCGAAAGTTTGAGTAAGAATAGCTAGAAAATGTAGGTTTATTTGCTTTAATCACCGCTAATGACCCAAAATTGTATGATAGATGGAGTTGAAAGAAGCTTGTCACAAGTGCAGTTTTCAAATGACCTCTGAGGCCGAAAAAAAGCAGTGCTTAAAAGTATTTTCAATATTTTTCAGAGACAAAATGATGGATGAGAAATTATTTTAAATTAGTGTTATAGCTTTCTGGAAAACTGATATTTGACCTCAAAATTATCAAATGTTTCAAAGTCTAAAATTGCATTTACTTACTTGTCCAAGTTAATTAAAAAGCTGTCAATCAAAATGACTGACACCTTTTTCTAGCTTTCATCAGTGATATACTGATATGTGTGCAAACTTTCGTAGTGAAAAGTTAAATACGGTCGTAGTGGGAGATTCATACATTTTGCCTATATGGAAGCTACATCCTTAGTGAAAACCCAATATACCTGTTTCCCTCAGGAAATAACCAAGACGTAAATCAGCTTGTTTCTTTTTTGAACTTTAGGGTAGAACCTTAAAACTGGTAAAGTTTCATTGAAATAGTTGAGAAGGAATGTGGCACGACTTCCTAGTGCTCTCTTAAACATACTCTTAAAAAGTTTAAGGCCTTCACTTTGCTGCTTTCAAACCAAAGTTTCGTTTACCCTTATCAAATATTCAATTCGAATGATTTTACGTCACGCGAACTGCTTTCTTCCCCTTAGTTTGTACCGTCTGTCGCGTTACTCGCATACTTGAAAGAATGCTAGACTAAACAAAATGAGACAATATCAACTTGGTGACGTCTTTAGCCGGCTGCAGCTGTCAGCTTAAAAGAAATTAGTTTTTCGCCTTAATGCAAATGAAACACGTATTCTATTGGAAAAAAACTGAAGTGGGACTTGAAGACATTTATAAATTATTTTGGCACCCCTGGATGATAAACTTCAGTTACAATCCGATTTAAATTTTTTTTCGAGATACAATTGACTGTTAAGATAGTAAGGGATGATAGATTTTGACTCGTTATCCAAAACGTGTTTTCAGTTCAGATAAAATGAACAAGTGCACCCCAGTGGGTGCTGAAGGGAAATCACAAAATGTTAGTTGTTCAGATGATAAACGCTACACGAGGCAAAATTGTATCAAGAAGTAGTTATGATTGTTGTCGATGCAAAAGATTAACACGAGTTGCAAATGACGAAAAAATTCACGAATATTAAATGTTTGAGGTGCACAAGATCGGAACATTGCACTCGTTTGGCGTTATGGGAAGACTCGCTTAAACCATTTGCGAGATCTATTATCACCAGTTTGTCATACCTCATCAGAGATTCCAACTTTTCGGTCCTAATCGTTTGTTTAAACAAATCATGGAACTTTTGGAAATCACCCGTCCTCTTATCGTCATTGTCTGCACCTTGACGAGAACAGCTTTCACTATTCGATGTCTTCGTGACTAAGTATCCAATTAAGATACCAATTAGGAAGAACACCACAGCAACGAGGACAAAGCCCACTACAATTTGAGCCTTTCTTCGTTGAAGCTGAAGTGGCCTGATGCCTCCGAGAAAGCCACTGCCTTCAGTAAACTTCTCCTTACTTTCGCGGTTGACTTCATCCTCCATGCTATTGAATGTAAATGAGATCTTTCTGTAGTTAGCTGTGTGCATGCAAGATCCAATTGAACTGCATCACATCAGAAACATCTGTTGATACAGACAACTCTTAGTGTTTTTGTTTCTCATCCAATTAACATGTTAAATAGTCTGGGTTATGTAACTTTTTATAGGAAGCACGCGAAATAAGCAGAGGTTTGTATGTTAATTTAAGTTCCTTTGACGTTTCTTACGTAAAACGATTAACAATAAAAGACACACGAAACGAAATATTGTCAGTGTCTATTTCGCAAAAGAATCTTGCTTATCGATAAATATTCTAAGATGTCAAAATTCCAAAATAGGTTTGTTTTCTTTTGTTTTGATTTTAGATGTTTTGTCTCATTAATCTTAAACAGTGGAGGCTAATTGGAGCAATGTGCGTCACGTTGGCAAAGGTTAAATTTAATTTATAAATCTGACTTCCTTTCTGTCAGACGCCAAAATTCTTTAGCCCTGACATGATCATGCGTGAGAGAAAAAAAAAATAGTGTTTGGCATAGAACACCTTTAACATGAAAATGTCAAACTGGTCTTTACGCCGTGCTATTTAAGGGGGTTATGTGGTGATATTGCAAGAATAGAAAGGAAGCTTGTGAATATCCCACTGCGTCTTCCGTCGGTAGACGAGCAGATCAAAGTAAGCTTAATTGGGCAGTAAAAGATATTACCTATTCTTGACGGTAAAGCTCACTCCCGAACCAGAGTGAACTGGGCCTTGCTTTTTGTTTCCGTCGTAAGTAAGCTTATTAATTAGTCGATAAAAGACATATCCATTCCTGACGGAATAGTTGAATTCCGAAAAAGTTGTGGGAGTAAAAGCGAGCCTTGACTATCTAGATTGCTATTCAACCTTAACTAGAACGATGCAACAAAATAACCTAAGGGGGTTTTTTGACTCACAATTTGACTTCACTAGAACAGCGCAGATCCCTCTGTGCTCGTGGATAAGAACGGTCACGCGATAGAGATCCACCCCGGTTTTCGTTTGTTTGGCCTCATGCCGAAGGAAACTCATAGTTTGATGTGCTCCTAATCCAGGAGTGATAGCTGAATAGAGCCCCTGGATACCTTTTGCAGATTTACTGTGATTTGTTTTAAGTAAAAACAGGTACGTAGCCGCGATTATGATTGGTGGTCGGGAGTATTTGCGCAGGATAAGTGGACCTCCAAGAGATGTAACTGTAAAAGTTTTGGAGGTGCATAGGGAATTCTCACCCGCAAATCAGGCAGCAATAAATAAGCGTATCATTTTTTAATGACTCTCTCTGCGAAGAAAAATTTCGCTGGAAATAATTCATTACTGCGGAATATTCCAATGAAAGTAATATGAATGATTTGAAATGTTATTGTATAGAAGTTAGCGGAGCAAAATTTATAATGAGACGCTTAAAGAAATTGAGTTTAGCTGAACGTGTGACGATAATCTGATCAGTTAGGATTAAAAGCTAGGTTAGCTAATATATGGCACACGATAAAGGAAAAAAAAAAACTTCCCAATCGAATACTTGACAGTCGTTTGATTGTGTAGAATAGACTAGATTGTAAGACTAATTGGCTTTCAGCATATCCGGCTAATATGTCATTTGCTACCGAATTGTCTGATTGAAATTGTCCGATTGCCTGCTATAAGCACATCCAGTGGTTATCAGCTAAATCAAAGCGATAAATACGGCCGGTGTGGTAAGAACCAATATGATTCTAAATTATTCAGTTTGAAACTCCGCGGCGCTAACACTGTGGGAAGGGAAGGGAACTTTTCAGTCCAAACCTTACACAGACTAGTGGAATTTCTACAGTATATTTGACCGCGCCTTTTTGTTAAGTAAAAGTTATAATCAAAACGATAACAAAATACTCCAACGTGATTTGTTATGATCGGCCCAGTTTGAGCACTAAAGGGACAGGTTACGCGTCGTGTGCGTGCACTGTTGTCGCGCATTTTACCGATTTAACTGTTGTTTTTCATGAAAACGTAAAAATAATGGCTCGTTCATTTCTCAATATTTCTGTTATTGTCTTGATTAATTGGCAGTAGGATTTCGTGACAGGATTTCGTCCAATCTGGTTTTTAATCAAACTCGTAATCAACAAATCGAGCTCTCGCTTCGCGGTCGTCCGATTTTGTCACTCACATGATTACATATTGAATTAGTCTCCACTCTGTAATATTTCCGTCATTAATCTATGATAATAGAATAATCTGGATGGCCTGCTAGAAAGTGATGATTTCTCCGATACTTAATTAAATGCGATTAACTTTTTCGATGTCCATGTATTTTCCGAACCAGACGATCTAAGACTTTTTAACACCATCAAAAGGAACAGAACGACAGTTACAAACTGTGCATATTTCATCGGCTTCTGAAAAAAGAAATTTTTAACCTACCAGAGAAACATTACTGTAAAACTACCCCAAGAGTATTAGAGACATTTCTTAACTTATGAAGTTTTAACCCCCGAAATGTTGTCCGCCGGCTCCATTAGCCCAATTTTTTTTTTTTTTACGCCACACTGGATGCATCAACTACACATTATGCGCTGAAGCTTCATACTACAATATTTATTCGCCTAAAAGGATCTATGTTCTTCACATCAGTGTCAACATCGTTCAATAGACAACCAGTTCTTACCTGTAAATTTCTGACGCCTTCATCAGTTAGTCCACACTAAAGCTCTCGTTTAGTATCTTTGTTTTTTTAGGATTTAATCAGTACACGACTTGTAACACTATGGATATCGAGAAAAAGTGATTTTTGAAACATGCTAAGTCACAGAGTCTACCGCTATCAGTTACTGAAGTCCTTGCCCAGTCTGGTCAAAAAGCGCCACTCAACTCAGTCTTGAACTTTAGCGTCTAGAATTATTTTAACGCGGCGTTGCAGTCCTCTCAAGATAACCTTTCTAGTAAATTCACAGTACCCTATGCTATGCAATATGACTTAAAATTTAGAATCCTTTAGGAAGATAACTTCTCGATCAGATATTCTTCTCTCTGATTTCTCGTGTCAACTGTCGGATTTCATAGAGGAGTTTACTCTCCAATTCTTTGACCTCCTGTTTCCTGTTGATTTCCATAACGTTCATTTCTTCTCTCAAGATGTCAAGTTTCTCTTGTACATTCGTGTCCCACGGTATGTTTATAGCATCTGTAGGGCGCTGGGCCTGTTGATTATGTCGCGGGCACATCTAAATAAAATAGTTCAAATCTTAAGCACTACGATTGATTGGTTAATGGGTTAACATCGTGATGCACAAAGAATTACAGCATGCTTCAACAAAGTTCAAAACAGTGCATGGCGCGACGAGGAAGATGAGAATAGTTATCAAAATAGCCTCTCTGCATAAACTTCTAGATCTCGAGATTAAAGCGCTTATGATTGTGTAATGATATAGTTTCTCACGACTATTCATGACAAAGTGAGGACGTAAAGTGAAATATCTATTGTCAGTAAAAACCAATGAGATGCCCATAATTATTTCGTCCAGCGCTCCCAACTACGCTTAGTCCTAACTACGCTTCCAGTACGCCCATTTAGAAACGGAACGAAAATGAACACACCTTTGCTAGAACACGAATTCCAGTGTAGCCCATTCCAATGAAAGGGAATAGTTTAGTCCGATCAGGAATGAACCTCAGTGATGTACGTGCCACCTCTATGTTGTTCTTGAAAAACGTAACAGGGACTGAATCGTTTCTAGCACCCTCAAAATCTACTTCACAAGCCATAAGATCACCCCGGTAGGCCATAGCGTCTGTAAAAAAAATTTGATGTATGGATGACTCAGAACCACCTTTGACTCTCAGCGCGATCAGAAACTTCATTCTCATCTACGAGTACCTCATATTTTCTGCTTTATCGATTTTTAAAGTAATGGCTCTTCACTGAATGAGGATGCTGCTATCGAACAGATACCGTTTTTGAATAGGTCTCACGACAGATTAACTTAACATTTTTATAGATTTCTGGTTTGACCAAACCTCTTTCAGCAACAACAACAATCTTTATATTTCAAGAAAAAAGTGTTTAAGGTGACATTCTTTGGTCGCCTAAAAATGGAGATAATTATACAACCCTTGCTTGCGATAAAAATGACACTTTCCGAAAGGCTAGTTAAATCAATGACAGACGTGAGAGCGTAATTGCTTACCAGGAACTTCTTTTCCCTGTTGCCTATAGCTCGGTTCAAATATTCTTCCGTCATCAGCGTGATAACCAACGGTCCCGTTTTTCCACCCCGGCATGAAATGACAGTTGTAGCCTTCGTACACTGCACCGACTGCTACAATGCGCCTCTCACCGCTCTCTTGGATTAACACCTAAAATTCAAACAAACACAAGCGGGAAGGATAAGGAGCCAACTTACAAGTCTTTTTTGTTGTCATTTTCAGAGCTAGGGGGAATGCCTACAAAACAATCTTGAATTGAGGGGAGAAAATAACTCAATATTGCGTTGGTGAGACTTTACTTCGACTAATGATTGGACTAGAAATGAAGCTAGAAAACTCGCGCCAGTCCCTAAGCAAATCAGTTACAAAACTACCAATCACAAACTGCCTATCGGTGTTTTCCTTCGCTTCAGCGAGTTTAAATGGCTGGATTTTACTTTTAGTTGTGATCGACACTTTATAATGGTTGTCATCACTCCGGTGAGTATTCTGAGCCGTAGTGGATACTCTGGTTTTGGCTCGATGATACTAAATTAAGGAGCACTTATCGAATGAAACTCTTCTTAGTTCAATGTTTTATTATATAGGCAAACTATGAAAGCGGTTAAAATGACGTTAAAGGAGCAGAGTGGGGTAAGAATGGAGGGAAAGCGAAAAACTGTATATAATTTCTTTTAAGATGATCAAAGTATGATCTAGCCACACTCAGGTGAAGAGACTTTGACTATGCTACAGAATAGTTTAATACAATGATAGGTTCCTTCATGTTGTTTCTCGTACTTCAAATCTCGGCATTTCTGGAGTAAAAGGCGCCAAACCCCTCGCACCATGATGTGCCCAGGAAATCTTACGATTTTCACAACTGTAACACGAAGAAGAACCCTCATATGTCAGCAGGGAGCCTTCGATTCCAATTCCCAGAGACTCCCATTCCTAAGACAAAGAAAAAAGCACAGACGGCAGACTCATTAAATACAAAATTCAGTGAACATTTGCGCACTCTTGACCTGAGATGATCGTAATCAAATTGTAAATACAACTGTGTTTCGCCTCTTCAGTTTGTTTTGTTTACTTTAGTTTTTTCGTTCTTTCCCTGGTTCTCTTACTTTCAAAATTTGCCTGTTTGTAGGTAGTTGAGCAAAACAGTCTGAGTATTTGTATTTCACCAAAACCGCCAATTACTTCCTCCAGATATGGTTCTGTTCGCTCACTCTGCAGTGTTCTCAGTGCTATAGGTACTATTTTACAGTGAATGAATGAAGTCACCGTCTACATATGCTGTATTCAATAAGTTGCAACTTACAAATGTTCCATTCTGCACTATTGTCTGTCCAAGGCTTGATGGTTCGAACACTCTTTGGATGATCTGATTACACATTTTTCGATTTCCGTCTGTTTCGTGAAGAACTTCATCGATCTTTCCTTCATCTAAAGGTACAGATATTTCGAAAAGTTGAAGACACTTGAAGGGTTTGGGAAATAATAGTCGGTTAACCACCGATGTGGGGCGAGAAATGTTCTGTGATTTTGTTATTGCTATCATTACTGTTGCTAAATTTATGAACTTCATTTGGTGATCGCACAACCTACGATGCGAAAAATTAATTCTCCCCTACTAGAAAGCCAGCTTTCGATTCCGCTCCGCCTTTAAAGCTAATTTCTCTTAACCAGAACTATAAAGATCGCAAAGGCCAAAGAGAGCCATGGATAAATGCTACAGGTGTCCTGTCTTGAACCCGTGTAACCAAGTCACAATTGGTTAATATTTGCCTCAGTGACTGGCAGGAAAGGCGCCTTGTGCTAATTTTTTTTTAAATTCAACCAGTTGTGCAGTGTGGTGGGTTGACCAACACTTGCAAATATGGATTACTTTAAAAATCAATTGAAAATTTTGCTCAATACATTTAACAACATGATAACGACCAAAAGCATATAACCTTCATTAAGTTTTATGCTTCCGTATGGACTAAATGTGGCAGCTGAATGGTTTTAATTATTAATCACCAATGGCCATGAAAGTGGACCAACTCCTACCAGTAAGCGGAAAAGAATAGCCATATGTTGCAAAGTATGTCCTTTGCAGTTTCTCGACAAGTTTATCTAAAGCAGCATCCTGTCAACCAAAAGAAAACAATGAATGAGAAAAGGTTAAAAAAATATAAGGAACGCACTTGTTCTAGTCTCTTAGCCAAAGATATCCCAACAAGACTGACCCATTGTTTTTATTAGGACTGACGTGTAAAAAATGCAGGACTTTTTACGGTGACTTCGTAAAATGAACACCATCTTAGAAGTTAAGCTGACCAACCCTCGCGGGACTCCATATTCGCCGATTGCGGCGAAATCAATGCGAGATCATGCTAGATATTGGTGATTGTGTACGCCAATCCGGCGATCGGCGAAATCGCAATCGCTGCACAGGGCATACCTGGCGATCTTCGCCGATTGCCGCCACCAACACAAAAAATCACTAAATGTGTAGCTGGCAAAGGAGGGAGGAGGGAGGTTAAAGGGTATTAAACAGAATGCAGGGAAACTTGGAGAAATCAAGCGGTGAACATATGGTAACCGGTCGTTTCGCTATCGAGCAGTTCACTAACTTCTCATCGATAGTTTTGAATCATTTGCATAAGATAACTCTATTTAGTTCCCGTGCACTTTAGCTGTACCCTCGTTGGATCGTGAACGAATGAAAACCTCCGTAACTTTCAAAATGACGCAAGTTGTATCATATCAAATCGACTTTTTGTGTGTATCAAATGGACTTAGGTTTGACTTGAATCGGCTTGTATCGGATAGACTTTAAGTTTGTATTGAAAAGAACTGACTCCCCTGTGCCTTCAAGGTCGATAGAGGCCGATCAAGATCTGCCGATGGAATCTACAAGTCACCTCGCCCACAGCTAAGGTCGGTTCACCCAAAGGTCAATTCGCTTATAGGTCAGTTTCGCCCTACAAGTCATCTCACCTACTAGTCGGTTCGCCCTCAAGTCATTTCGCCTTCCGATCAGTTTTGCCTACAATTCGATTCGCCTCCAAATTAGTTTGCCCTAAGTTGTTCGCCCACAAGTTAGTTTCGCTTCAAGTGGTTTCTCCTACAGGTTCGTTCGCCCAAAGTTATTTTGGTTACAGGTCCCTATCTATTCAAGTTGTTTCAGCAAAGAGGTCGGAATTGATAAAACAAATTTCGCCACAATTGGCAATAATGTCGCAATCTGATTGGCCAATTTGCCGTTTTCGATATGAGTACAGGTAACACTACTCGCTACAAGGTGTCACGCAATTTCTCCGGCACTGAAAAAATCGTTTTAGTTGACGTCGACATTGTGGTAAAAAGCGAATCGAAAAAGGTGTAGCGTGGTCTGTACTCTTATCAACAACGATATTCATCATCACAGTGGTCAAAACTTTGTGGACGTACGTGCGTGCGTTCGTACGTACGTATGTCCGAACATACGTGCGTGTGCGTTTACGTGCGTACGCACGGGCCTCGTGAGTCTACAAAGTATTGACCCCGTACAGACCATGCTACGCACTGTTGATTTGTTAAAGGGCCCTGTACCGTTCCTTGCATTCGGATTAGTATAGAATCATAGGCTCTTTTTCTGAACATAAGTAGTTGGAAGGATCTGTGTTTAATGGCTATGTTTATAACGCGTAAACCCGAGATTTGGGTTGGCATGTTCTTAGAAACTTTTTTTGTATAGGTAATCACATGATTTCGAGTGCAATTTGGAATAAATAAGCACGAGTAATGTTTTTCAAAGACTAACAAAATTGCATGGGCCCGTAGGGCGAGTGCAAATTGTGGTCTTTGAAAAAATTTACAAGTGCTTATTTATTCCAAATTGCACGAAAAAATCATTTGGTTATCAATTAATAATATACATGAATAAATACGAGGTAGCTTCTCATAACTACGCAGAAGAAAAGCGCGCGCATCACGTGCAAAAATAATTTATTCAAACCCTGCAAGTGACATTGACCTTTACATTGACCTTGACATTGACCTTGACATTGACATTGACCAATCATTCTGACCAATCAGAATATCTGGTTTGTTTCTTTCTTTGCACTGAATTAACCCTCTTCTGCACTGAATTAACTCTCTTCTGCACTGAATTAACTGAAAACTGCATTCATCTTAACCAATCAGAACTGAGAAATTTTTTCATGTATATTATTAGCACTGTAACGCGATGATCTTTATATATTTTCATCCTTGTCGGCTTTTCTCCCGCTTGCATTCGATAGCAAACCTAAACCTTGGCCATGGAACGATCTACCTCTATTTATGTGATCGCAAGTCTTTTTCACGGATTGAAATTAAATATGAGCAGCAGTGAATTCCGCGAGTTTTCTTTCGCCAGAAAAGAACAAGATTATTTTCATCCGCTTAAGTGCTTATTGATCAATCCAGCTGCCGATGTTTGCACAAGATAATTGAATTTAATCAATCAACAAATAAATTTTAAATGTTCCATTTTTTACACCAGATCGCAAACAGTCAAAGCGATTCAGGGTTTGTGCTTGAATTAGATATTTTTTTAAGCAAGGGAATTTTGGTTTTATTTACTGACTTGATACTGTAAATTGGTCGTCATAAAGAGTTTCAAAGCTGACGTTTCGGGCGCTAGCCCTTTGTCAGAGCGGATGTTTCCTTAAAAACTTACCCCCTTTATCAATACGTTTTTTTGTTCACTGGAAAGGTGACACAATGGAATATCTCATCCTAGCCACTTAATTTGTTCCCTTTTTCTCTCAGAACAGGCCCTGTGCACTCATTCCACTCGCTTATTCAAAATTCCTTCGCTCCCCTTTACACAGTCAATCACATGAGTGACGAAATCTACAGTGAGAAATTCATGTTCAAATTATCGCCAAAGGTTTGGCTCTGTTTTTCATGGAATTTTGAGCAATTCCAAAGTAAGTAAGATTCGACATACCCTGGATTCCTCTCTCACACCAGGCATTTCAAAAGATTTCGTTTTGCAGAGGCATCGTTGACACATTCTGCACACAGCAATGAGGGGCATGGTGACAAGGTTAATTGGAACTGGTGCCGGATGGCATGTGCTGTAGGTTTTGACTGTTACCGCCTTCTTAAAAGACCACTCTTTTAAGGCGTTATTCTGTCGAAAGAAAGACCAGGAAACATTATCAAAGATATCCTTACGATGGACAAACATTAGCAGATGCGCAATCACTTTAAGCTTCTGAATGGAAAATAGGATGAGATGAGCTCCAAATTTGACTCAAGAAAAACATGGGTTCCAAGAATTGGTGCATTACCCTTAAACCCCTGAGAGTGGCTTCTATTTTCTCCTGAAAAGTATCATCCTCAAATCAAATGTAAAGGTCATGGGAATAAAGGAAATTATCACCAAATTAAGAAACTCTTGATTGTAACGCAAATTCTCCGCGTTGTTACCATTCTAGGAAATGTAGAGGGAACAGTGCGGAGAATATGAATGTTAATTTTACGGTGCAAAGGGGTTAAGGTAAATTTCTGCAAAGTCTCGCACCTCAAAGGACTTACAGAAAACCAGCGGAAAAGCTTCCAATTATACTATTACCTGAACTATTTCATAGGTGTTAGAGAGCAAAGCTATCATCAAGTTAATTAGAAGAATAGCTCCCACAACCAAGAACCTTATGTAGAGAAGATTAGCCAAGATGGCAGACGGACCGTGTTCCTTGTGGCTTTCCAATGGTGTTAATGAGGTCATTCCAAGTAAGGATCTTACTAGATCCCTCGCAATGTCCCACCAACTGAGAACACAAAAATGTCATTATCTCAAGTTAAGTCTACCTCAAAACGTTTTTGTTATGAGAGCAACAACCAATCTTTTTAATATATATCTTATAAATTCTGATCACTGTCAGTACAATGCAAGCCAACGTAACAATTGCAAACATATGGCACAAGAATTGGTAATCTAGGATGCTTATACACCAATGTATTTAAAACTTTAAAGAACGTCTAAGGTTTATAGCCAACAACCTTCTATAACAAAATTTGCATACGAACTTCTTTAAATCAAATATGACAACGCGTGAAACAATTCTTCATTTATCGAACACAACTCAGCCCAGTAGACAAACTTGAAAATATCATCTGATAGATCAAAGCTAATCAGATGAAAGTGCTTTTTCACTATGCAAAACCTCTTTAAAATGTTTTGTCGGAAGTTTGAAAAAGTATAGATTTCAGCATCTAACTTTGTACATGAAAGGAATTAACTGACTTACCGAGTGAAATCGTAGCCACTTTCAATACAGCACAAGAAGAAGAGAGAGGGATAAAAAAAATAATGATGGAAAAAGTCAATTTTTCTACCCGAGAGAGATGGAGAGAGGGAACCAAATTTAAGCTGGTTAAGATTTTATTCCAGGACACGCATGGGTTTAGTGTACAACAACACAGTGATGGGATGCCACTAACTTCCATAAAACTGAGCGCGTATCAAGCTTAGATTGCTCACTGCAACGTGTCTTCCGAGCAAAGCCTCTAAGATCTTTACAAGATCTTATTATTAATTCTCCCCTCTGACTATTAATTATCCCCTCTTGGTGCTACACATTCCCTTGTAAATTAGTTACGAAAATTTGGTGTTCGGCAAGATAACAGTTTCTACCTCATAAGCTCGAGTAATCTCATAACCAGTTTGCTGAATAATATATTGATATCATACTGAGAAGTAACACGTCAATCCCTTTTGGGAGTAAATGGATTAAAATGAACTGAAGCTAGTGGTTTAACTCTACTCTCTTTTTTTATCTGAATGTCGTAAAACTAGAACGACGGCCAGTCAACGCAAGAGTTAATGAAGGTCAGAGTCAAAAAGTGCCAAAAGTTTCCCACTATAAACACTCTTGAATACGGCTGGCCCAAAGCACGTGGAATGCGGCTGTTCAGGTCAATTGATTTCCATATTGCGCGAGACTAACTGAAAACGTGATGCAAGTTTCAGCAAGCTTGCAGAACGTGGCGAAGTAAAAATAGCAAGTAATTCCAGCTCAGTAATAACACGGGATTGAAAATGCCTCATCTGCATTTCCCTGGTTGTTCAAAGGGCGGATAACGCTATCCAGCAGATAAGGGGCCGACCATTTAACTTTTGAGGAGGGGGGGGTTGGGTGATTTCTGGTCATCAAGAAATTATTTTCTAGCAATCTGCTGTGCACGATATTTCTTTCCGTTCTAAATGCTCTTTTTTTTTCTGTTACATTTGGGCTGCATGCAATTTATTTCTTCCAACCAAGCGCTCGCAGGAATTTTTTTTTCAAAATCACCCCCCCCCCCTCAAGAGTTAAATGGTCGGCCCCTAAATCACTAACCAGCAGATAATTGTCTATAAAAATTGTGGCACTATCCATCGGATAGCGATTTATCCAGTGGATGGCGTTATCCACCTTTCGAACAAACGGGGTCAGATTAGCGGCTGAGATAAAAAACCGTAGCGTTAAGGTTATACATACCGATCCTTATGAAAGTTCCCTGACGAAATGTATGATGTTTCGACAATAATAGTCTTTGTTAGCGCCAGCGAGAACCCGAGAATCGTTGCAACAAACAGCCAAAATATCGTACGTAAATCTTTCAGAATGACAAACACAGCAATTTCTATGGCACCCATTCCCCTGTCAACCTCCATCACGTGACCAAAAGCACGCACCGTGAGAAACGAAGCGATTAAGCCATACAGATAGCCAGTGATGGCCAAGGTTCCATTGCCTGACACTGAAGAGGAGGAAACCCATGTGACCATGCGCAGAGTGGCTGTCATGACATACATGATCAGAATGATGAAGTCACACGCATGCCAACGATCACTGGTGAAAAAAGTTGTATGCCATAGTTAACTTAAAAAGGGTACGTTATTGATAGAAGAGGAAATTGAATTAGTGTGGCAAGCACCTTTGTCCTCTCTCTCTTAATGATACTCCACCCTTTGGCCTCTATATAAAATTCTCAGAAACACCTGACTGATACTTCATAATTCTTAACCATGTTATTTCAGATTGATGAATAAACAACTGCATGTACAGTAAATTTAGACTTTCCATTTGTCAAGATGGTGCAGCAAGCAAACTATTTTTATTTAATTAAGGCTCCGTGGTTGAGTAAAAAAGTTAGAGAGCAGCGAGCTCTGTACAAGAAAGTATTCCAGACAAACTTAGAATATCAACCCCCCAACAAAAAACTTCTGTTCCGAGTCTTTTTTTTTTTTTTTTTTTTTGCGAGACTCATATAAGGAAAACAATTTTCACCTACTTGCAGTAATTGACAAATTTTCTTAACACAAGTTTCATATAGGATGTGTCTGCGTTGAGATCTGGATCGGAACACTCTTCGTACAAAGTTGTCTGAAAGGATCTGTGTCGCTTTCGCGTCGCTTTCCTCTCAGTCTTAGTGGCGCAAATGAACTGATCAGCTACCACAACAATTCTTCCCAGAAAAAAAAGAAGTACAGCCAATTCTGTTTTGCTGAAGGCGATGGCTGACGGTGTCAGGCAAATGGCAGAAAGAAGGCCGAGTAAGGCGACTGCGCTCAATGTGTCGCGGAAGAAGATGAAGTAGGGAGTTGTAAAGTAATCCACGTAAATTTCTTTAAATAAATTAAACAATGACAAATCATTTTTATCGTATGCTTAGATTTTTTTTAAATAAGAAGTACATTCATAGACACAGAAAAGACTCAAAACCAGGTTCTTTCTCGCGTGCCTCTACCCTTTCTTTACCGGTCGTAGGACTAAGAGTTGAAGTTTGCATTTTTGTGGAGCAGTTGTACGCAAGTGCTCCGCCACATCATTTCTTGAAGTCTAATAACCTTGCACAATGCGTTGCTCTTATACGTATTATTCGTGAGACTACTTTATACTTGATCTTGTTCTTGTTATTCTCTTCACTCATTGGATTGGTATGATTTCATTCCACTGTGTATGATGAAACCGTGTACTGTGCCTTTAAGGGCATCTTAATCAACCGTGCACAAGAAGTGGATATAGGCACTAAAACAGTGTTATGTAACTTCTATTGCTTCACTATACTTTGAGTATCTGTAATTTTTTCTTGAATTCTTACCATAGACATCTTTTCCTTCCACGTCTACAAGAAAACAAACTCATTTAGAAGGTCTCATAGAAGCAGGTAAAAAGCAAGATGTACATGCGACTGAACAATCCTTAGGATAGTAGTGAAAGCACCTTTTACCTTTCCTTCCTTATGACAAAATGTTTTGAGGTTAAAAATCAGACGTATTGTTTTCAATCTAGGTATGTGAAACGAGAAACTGTTTGATCAAAGATGTTCATAAATGGCGAGGGTTTCGCAGATCTCCTAAGAGGTACATTTCAGTTCAAAGAGGTTCCTCTATACGCTTTTGTAAAACTCAGTCACCTAAAAATATCTGGCCTTTCCACGCACCAAGAGTAATTCAAGACTCTTTCACGTTCACGCGAATTTCAAGACAATCACATTAAATTAATCTTTTACTTTCCCTAGTCTTGACCAGTCTTACTCGATGAAAATGACGTCATATCTTATCTTATTTCTTCAAGGACCATTAAGAGGTCTGTTTTATGACTTTTATCCATCCATCTGAAGTCCATCTCCTGTCAAATCCCCTTTCGAGAACAACAGATGCATTTTCAAAACAATAAAATACCCGAAAATTCATCACACAAAACAAAATAACTATATTGCTTGTGGAAGGGAGAATGGGAGGAAGCAGATTAAAATAGGAAACAATAGAACATTATGTAGTTGCCTTGTACAATAGCTGTTCCTACAGTCCTTGCCGATTCAAATTCTTCAAAGTGAAGGGCATCCCGTTTTGTAATCTTTTCTAGTTGATTCAGATTGGCTTGGTCTCCAAACCCAACAGCAACGAGCCGAACATCCATTCCTTGAATTTCGCCGATTACGTCCTGGACACCCTCCACATTGTTAAGGTCATTTACGAACACGATGAGGACCTGGAGAAAGATATGAACGTAAGATCGACAAAACTACTTTAACTCCTTTCTGTTAACCGGGCATAAAACTCCATCAAGTTATCAAGATGAGAACCCCACCAGAGGGACATTTTATATGTTGGGCTGATGAGGGAACAACCCATAGGTTAGATGCAAAGTCTTCATAACTTGAGCTGAAACATCCTTCACTGTTGCTTTGGCTAGTGATTAAGTACGGTGTATTCGCGAAAATGAATAAATTCAGCTCCAGCCATCAACATCTTTAATTCTGTATTACTCTCCTTGTATACTGCTACTTCGGTTTGACATTTAATCTATATAGAGTGGGGGGGTGGGGAGGGGAGGTAAGTTTCTAAAGAAACTTTGGTGCTGCGTCGGTGGGGGTAACAAGGTAATTTGGTTTGATCAACTGAGTTGATAATACATATGATGCACGATCCTCGCAGTAGATAGCGCTATTTAAGCAATAGCGAAAATCAGACCTGAAAAAAATCAGGCCTGTACGGGATTCGAACCACTGACCTCTGCGATATATATGAATTTCATATATTTCATTGTATCTGAGTTGATAATGTGAATTTTTCACCGAAAAGGGTTCCAAAGTTGACGTTTCGAGCGTTAGCCCTTCGTCAGAGCGGGTAGAGGAAGGGCTAATGCACGAAAGGTCAGCTTTGAAACCTTTTACGGTCGACAATTTACATTATCAATTCAGTTGATAAAAGCAGATTACATTTAAAATATAGTTTATTGATTTATCTATTTGTTCAGTCATTCGTTCATTCGCTCATTCAATTATTCATTCCTTCATTCATTCGTACATTCATTTGTTCGCACATTCGTTCAAGGAAGGTCAAGTTACAGGCTAACTTACCTTTTTGCTTTCTAAGCGAACGCGAGGGCTTTTGAATGCATCGCGAACAACGCATAAGTCGTCATAAAGCAGAGCGCGAGTTGCTTTGGGCTTTGTTAATTCGTTGATTTTGTCAAATATATCTGTCTCTTTGGCGTCTTCAAATTCGAAGGTTATGCTGGTAATCGGAACATGGTCGTCCTGACGTAACATTATGCAATAGTTGGTTGAGTGACAGTCGTATTGATGCACTATGTAACTGATCGACTTCTTCACTAAAGCGAATGTTTCGTCCGATGCTGGACCAGACAGGGATACCGCAAAACAAACCTCTGTGGCTGAGAAATATGATTGAGAAGTATGAAAAAAATGATTGTGCTGCTGAAGGCTGCCTTAAATACAATTTCCTACAATTGAACGCCATATTTGAAGCTTACAAAGGCTTTAGGAGAAGAGCAAATAAGTTCCCTCCTCACGAGTCTTTGTTTTCTTCTCCTTTAATTTCCTCTACTATTCCTTTACTTTTTCCTTTGTCTAAAAGCTCGCTTGGCCTAGCTATCATTTTGCAGTACCACAGCTTCAAATCAGCACAAGAGTTTCCTATGTCCAATGAGCGAACAGCCATACATGAAGCAAAAGCTTTTTAGCGAGAAAATGCAAAAAATTACCTCGTCTGTGTGTCAGAATTTTTCTCGTGCACTTATTTGTGTCGCACTTAGAGTCAGCTCAGTATTGAAGCATACCCCTATTTCATTTTCTCCCGAGTATTCAACCCTTTGGAATCTCAGAGGACATAAACATGTCCGAGTTAGTACTATTGGATAACTAAATACCATCGAATATTCAAGCGTACCTGTCATTTTCCGTGCGCGGATTTTTATACTTCTAATGATGAAGAAGAACGCCAAAAGGAATGGGAAAAGGAAGAAATCAAATACAGCCCAAATATTGAGAAGGATATATTTCCAGAAGCGTAAACTCGTCCCAGAGCTTTTGCGCAGAGAATCAAATGAACCGTACCATTTAGCCTCGAATAACTTGTAAATCACTGGATGAGATATAAACTATGCGAAAAAAAAAATCAAAGAAGGCAAACATTTCAAATGAGTTTCGCCCTGACGAAGGGCTAATGATCAAAACGTTATAGCTCTCGTTTAAAAACTCTTGACGGTGGCCAATTTACATTATTAGTCCAGTTGATAGTCTTTGGAACAGATAGTCTCATATTTACAAATTTTTTTGAGTTTACATATAATAATCGAACCAGAGCTAACTACAGCTATAAACTTTATGTAAAAGTAGCCAACTTAAACTGCCATAAGAATTTGTTCTTTGTTCGGATAATTAATGCATGAAATAGCGTACCACTGCAGCTGTACACGTTGGATCACTAACTCTGTTTAAGTTAGAACAAGACTGGAAACTTTTATGGGCGTCAAGCAAATTTTAGAAAGCAACGGATGGCAGAAAAACATTTTCATATATCTAACTGCATCGCTCAATGAGTTACACTTTCCAACTATGTAATACCTTCTTCTGCTCTGTGTCGATGGCTTTTTCCATTACAGTTTCCAAACAGCTTCTAAAAGTGCTTCTAGCGTGGTCGTCAGCTTTTAAAGGATGTATTAAAGCTGCCGTGAACTCATCTACTGAGTTTGCCAATGTTTCAAACTCGTTCCTTTCTGCTCCACCGCTATCTGGAATGTCTCTGATTTTTTTCTTCACCTATCGCACGAAATTTTTTGGATCAGCATGGCTACTGGTGATGTTGCACTGCATATTCTCTTTGAAGGGTATTGATAACTCACAGCTCAGTTAGTTATAACTCTTGCCTTAGTTCCAAATATGGAAGTAATACCATTGTCGTTTGTCAAGTTAATTAGAACCTGTTCAAAAAGTTAATCGGAGCTTTTTAAGCTCTTACCTACAAAATGAAGTGTTCATGCTTGGAGAAGAGGAAAATATCTTACCTCAAATGCCTTGAATAATGCGTTAGTCTTACAGCTGGATAGAATCCTTGGATTCACGTGATCTTTAATCGAATCATAGTGTTCTCCTCTCAAAGCCTCATCAAGTTTTCTTTCAACATCTAAGAAGCGGAATTCATCATTAGACTGGGTCCATCTTCGTTCCTTCCTATTCATCTGTCTGTTTACCTGTCTTTCTGTCTCTCTGTCTGTCTGTCCGTAAGTCTGCTCTCTGCCTGTCTGTCTGCCTGCCTGCCTACCTGTCTTCCGGTCTAGCCGTTTTGCTCACAGGTCTGTCTGCATGCATGCCTGTCTGTCTGCATGCCGGTCTGTCTTTTGGTCTTTGTGTTTTTTATATGCATGCCTAGATGTCTGTCCGTCTATTTGGCGGTCTGTCTGTCTTCCTGTCTTCCTACCGCATTCCCTCTCTCTGTTTGAGGCTACATGACATATTTTATTGTAAGAGTTTCTTAGTTACCTCTTGCCTCTGCTTCTCCTTCAGCGGAATGAATTCCAGGATATTCGTGGTCAATATCTTGAAGAAAATTAAAGAGAGAAATTAAGTGTATCCTCGGAGATCGATTGTCAAATGGTTTACGCTGTTACAACATAATTTTTTCGATGAAGCCAGGATACATACCAAACTCTGAAATAGAACTTTCTTGCTCAGGTGAGTAGTCCTTTGAAGAGAAAGGTGTGCAGATCCTGGCCATATCCATGTCTTCTTCTGCTGTATCACGTTGCTTTAAAAAGGGTGGAAAACTGTCTTCATGCAATGGGAATATGTTATTAGGAATGGCTTGCATAAGGTCATCTTCTTGAACAACCACCGTTATCGTTTCTTCACTGGGTGATTTAACAAACCAAGAAAATCTGTCATGGAGAGACTTTTCCCAACTAAATCATTCGCTCTTAAATTCTTATAGTAATGTTAATAAAGGGTGAGTTAAGTTTGAGCCCTGCTGTTTTACCAGTACCGTCACTGTTTGCCCGTTCTAAGAAATTTATCCTTAATTCGACATTTTAATAAATGTTAAACTACTCCACTTTCACCCGTGTTCTGGGGTTGCTTTTATATGTTTTATGTTGAACAACCCTAACAAACGTTATTGTTTAATTTTCTATTCAAATGAAATTTTCCACGAACTTAAAGTTGTTTTAGAAGATAGCGATTCTTTCCTGTGAAAATTTATAAGGAATTAAAACGTTTACAATGCACTTAAATATGTTTTACTTACATGTCACCTGGCGTAGCTTGCTCCATTATCACTTTTAAAAAGATAACATTTAAAAATACGAAAAGAAAAGGGGGTTTTAGGGTTGCAACGATATTCAAAATTGCAAATACAAAGGTATACTGGCGTGTGAATTATTCATACACATGAAGTTGTTTAAATACATTAATATTCTGAATATCTTTAATCAACAAAATAATGCATATTTCACAAGGCCATACGGGTTTCAAAATTTTAGACCAAGAATTAAATATGATCCTTAAAAGGAAGGAAGAAGTAGGATGATGGAAAAAGGAGTTATTGTTTCATTCGTTTGACAGTATTTCTATTTATGGATGAAATAACTCGATTACTTTCTTTGATTCAGTGTACATATGGAGAAAGGGGTATTCGCTAGAATCGATGCCTCCAAAATTTGAACTTTGTTTTGTCACGAAATGTAAATTTCGGCTTTAAAGTTAATTAGCTTCGCGACCATACTGTCCCTTTGACGGGAATTTTCGAAAAGATTATGCGATGTTTCTTTTGTATTCTAAGAATTTGAGACGTTTTTCTTGTAATATACTGAATGATGCATTGAAAAGGTTATTAGTGAGAAAAAAGGAAGTAAAAAAAGATAACAAAGAGTTCCGTGAAAAGGAGGGAGATGCGAATTGCGACAGAGGAAGGCGGGAAGGTAATAAAAACACAAACGAATTTCAGAAAATGAGAAGTCAGAAGTAAAACTGACAACTAACAATCACGATTTAGCTGGATAATCATGAAGGAGACTTAAAAGGGGAAAAGGGGTAAAAAAAAAATGGAAAAAACAGCAAACGTACCAGCTGCTGATCACAACGTCCGGCCAATAAGACTTCATTCATGTGGTTGAATTCATTTCGGCCATTAATTAACAAACATTTATATTGTATGAAAGTTGTAAAAAGGACTATGTTTTGAAATTGAGTGCCTATCACTTCCCTAACACCTGGAACGGATTTTTCAGAACTGCCGTGGCGACAGTGGATGCCCAAGGCACAATATAATACGACAATAACTGAAAAAGCAGATTAATTCATGCGTGAATTGACCATAGAATCCGAGACATATAATAGAAGAGAGGAAAATAATACACTTCAGTTCTTAGTGAGGGCAGCGTACCACCTGATATACTTCCATCCGGCTTACAAAACCACAATGAGCATTGACCATTTGAAATATTCTACACTCACAGGTTAAAGTGCAACCCTTATTTTCAGCCAGGAAGGTTTCTGTTAACTCGAAGAGGCTGATTAATTTACAAGCTGTTTTGCCAACTCAGCTCTCTTATCCTTCCATTACAGTTTCCAAACAGCTTCTAAAAGTGCTTCTAGCGTGGTCGTCAGCTTTTAAAGGATGTATTAAAGCTGCCGTGAACTCATCTACTGAGTTTGCCAATGTTTCAAACTCGTTCCTTTCTGCTCCACCGCTATCTGGAATGTCTCTGATTTTTTTCTTCACCTATCGCACGAAATTTTTTGGATCAGCATGGCTACTGGTGATGTTGCACTGCATATTCTCTTTGAAGGGTATTGATAACTCACAGCTCAGTTAGTTATAACTCTTGCCTTAGTTCCAAATATGGAAGTAATACCATTGTCGTTTGTCAAGTTAATTAGAACCTGTTCAAAAAGTTAATCGGAGCTTTTTAAGCTCTTACCTACAAAATGAAGTGTTCATGCTTGGAGAAGAGGAAAATATCTTACCTCAAATGCCTTGAATAATGCGTTAGTCTTACAGCTGGATAGAATCCTTGGATTCACGTGATCTTTAATCGAATCATAGTGTTCTCCTCTCAAAGCCTCATCAAGTTTTCTTTCAACATCTAAGAAGCGGAATTCATCATTAGACTGGGTCCATCTTCGTTCCTTCCTATTCATCTGTCTGTTTACCTGTCTTTCTGTCTCTCTGTCTGTCTGTCCGTAAGTCTGCTCTCTGCCTGTCTGTCTGCCTGCCTGCCTACCTGTCTTCCGGTCTAGCCGTTTTGCTCACAGGTCTGTCTGCATGCATGCCTGTCTGTCTGCATGCCGGTCTGTCTTTTGGTCTTTGTGTTTTTTATATGCATGCCTAGATGTCTGTCCGTCTATTTGGCGGTCTGTCTGTCTTCCTGTCTTCCTACCGCATTCCCTCTCTCTGTTTGAGGCTACATGACATATTTTATTGTAAGAGTTTCTTAGTTACCTCTTGCCTCTGCTTCTCCTTCAGCGGAATGAATTCCAGGATATTCGTGGTCAATATCTTGAAGAAAATTAAAGAGAGAAATTAAGTGTATCCTCGGAGATCGATTGTCAAATGGTTTACGCTGTTACAACATAATTTTTTCGATGAAGCCAGGATACATACCAAACTCTGAAATAGAACTTTCTTGCTCAGGTGAGTAGTCCTTTGAAGAGAAAGGTGTGCAGNCAACTTATTGATCGACATTCAGCACTACAAACGTCGCATAAGGAAGATTCCGACCGCATTCCATTCACTCTCACGTTTCACCCTCACAACCACTCAGTTAAATCCATCATTCTTAAAAACTTTAAATTACTTCAAAACGATCCAGAGACAAGCACTATCTTTTCGCAGCCTCCGCTCATTTCATTCAAACGCGACAAAAACATAGGCAATTTTTTGGTCAGAAGTTCTTTTCAGACTAATGACCAACCAGGCACTTTTAAATGCGCTCGTGCACGATGCAAAACGTGTCCTTTCATTCACAACACTGATAAAATATCGGGACCTAAACGATCCATTAAGATCACCGATCACTTCACGTGCACCTCCGCCAATGTAATCTATTGCATAACTTGCACTTATTGCAAAAAGATATACATCGGCGAAACAGGCAGAAGACTAGGTGACCGATTCCGAGAACACCTTCGAGACGTGGAAAGGAATGACAAGGACACATCGAAACCAGTCGCTAGACATTTTAATTTACCTAATCATTCTAAGCAACATATGGCAATCTGCGGTCTTTCCTTACACTTAGGTAGCACGGAAAGCCGTAAAAATCTTGAACAAAAGCTCATCTTTCAAACCGGCAGTCTAAATCCCACAGGGATCAACGAACGCTTTTCATTCCACTAATTTATTCTTGTTTTTCTCGTTGCCATGTTCCCACCAATAACGTAGCTCCATTTTCTGCCTTTAAAAGCACACACAACACAAAATTCCTCTATTCGCCCCGACAAAGGGCTAACGCTCGAAACGTCAGCTTTTGTAATCGTTACGGTGGCCAATTTACCATTTCAACTTTGTTGATATATCCAAAATATATTTAGAGCAATTGTAAATAGTGATTAGGCTTAAAACGCCAAGTCTACTGAAACCCCTCTGTTAAATGAAACAAATACACCCTATAATGTCATTTAGGTTATCTTTAAACCAACCTTCAGTCAGTTGTCTTTCAGTAACTCAGGGCTTTAACATGTGTCGTATTTAATTTAGCAAGCATATTTTTTCTTTCCCTTCTATTTGACAAGAGTTTCTTTAGGCGTAGGTCGCACTTCGTGTAGTTGATGATATTTTAAGACTCTAACAAGCACACGAACTCCTTAACTCTGATGTGTTGAAATTTTTGCCTTTATCATAATATTTACATTCCTTTTAAACATTTACCAGCTTTAAAGCTAACAATCAATAGCCCACAAGCTCAATGAAATATTACAGTATATATTGTTTTCTACATCTGTCAGGTTTGAAGGGACCAAATTTAACAAAGCACTCCAACAAGCCATAATCCTGGTAAACTCTCACCGCAAAACAGAGACTTACCCATATTTTACATTATTTTGATAGTTATGGTAATATTACTAATAATAATAATGATAATGATAGTATTAATTCTCAAAGTAGTCCAAATGCCCCGTTCAGAATTTAAGTTATTGCCTTCCTTTTTCCATTTACCGTTATTTATTTTAAAGTTGTCCATGTGGTCTCTATCAAAATATTGTGTTAGAAGGCTTGTCAGACAGAAAGTGATTCCTAATATTTCAAGCTAAGAGGGAGATGAAAAAGACATTTGTAATTATGACCACAGCTGTTGCAGTGAAGGAGCAAGCAAACAAACAACCCACGAAGTTTGGAAAAAATGCTCAAGGCTTACTAAAATTAACGGGCACTTTGGTTCAATTAGTACAAATGGCGTCATATAGACCGACGTACAATGATTTATTCAAGAAAAAGTCTTATTATTGAAAAAAATTCCAAATTTTTTTAAGCTATTTGTGGCCCTGGGAACAAGTTCGTGCCTAGTTCTTACAAGTGCAAAGAAGTTAGTTGGTTAGAAATTAGATCTCCCGTGAAGGAAAAAGGGCAATAACACCTAACAAGAAAAGCATTGGTCCATCCTGTGTGCCTTAATTTCTCATTAGGCAGATTCATTTTAGGCGGATATCTAAACTGTTTCGTTTTTCACGGGTTGCAATTGATTAATGATGTATACGCTAAGCCAAGCCTTCTTTTACTCTTTATAATTTCTAACATTATGCGATCGATGTTGTGAGATATCAGTGACGTTTGATTTCCGTTTGAGTTGGGTACATAGTTAACCATCATATGTGCAGACCATTACAATTGAATACTTACTCCGTATCATTCCGAGTATCCGTTGGCTATCATGCTGTTCATGTGAATCCTACAATTGTATTTACTGTCACCAACGCAATTCTAACGTAAAAAGAAACTATTCTGTTCTGCAGAAGGGCACTCGAGTAAATATCGAATAAATGGGATGAGTTCCTAAAGAAACTGTGGTGCTACTTCGGTGGGGGTATAACAACATAATTTGGTGCGGTTTTATCGACTGAGTTGAAGAAATTCTTTACGCTTGCCAAATCACATTATCAACTCAGTGAACATCATGGAACAGTCTGTGTTGTGAAGTGATGTCTGAGAGAGAGGAAAAATCAGTTTGATAAAACTGTACATTTGTGAACTCAGTTCCAGTCAGCGGAACTGTTAAGTGACGATCAGTGATGATCGACGAGCTCACTGTTCGAGGGCTCTCTTTTGAGAGAACATTGGATAATATTTGCCTTCCTTTGAAGGAGTCAGTCACTGGAAAAATACATGAGCGACAGAATGACAATGATGTTGTCTATACTAAAACTTCGCACATTCAAATCATAGATTTCTCATTCGAAATAGCAGGGTTAAGGAAGGGCGTGGTGGGGGGGGGGGGGCGGCTGGTTTGAGGCACGGTATCTTCTACTGATATAAAATATCATTTGGAGCATTGTTTATTGTGGCGACTCTTTGATTAACCTCTAACACGGTTTGGCTATTTACTCTTTGACACAGAACTTAATTTGCTATACGAGATTCAGAGACACTTTTGAGATACAGATGTATATTTTCGTCGTCACTGCTTATCACTCACCGTCATTAGACATCGTTTGCCGTCATTGGACATATCCGTGGTTATCAGAGGTCTGAATAAAAATACACTTGACTCTTCGTCAATAGCGCATCAGTCACCGTCATTAAACATCATTCAGCGTCATTGCATATCATTCAGCGTCATTTCACATCATTCACTGCCATTGCACATTCATCGCCATTCATCATTCGATGCCGTTACACACATTTAGCAACATTACACATTACGGCAGCAACGTGCTCCCTCCACATCTGCCGGTGCTTTGCCATGAGCTTGATGCCTTCCCAGGTCTTCTACGTCTCCTTAAGTTCCTTCTCTACTGTCCGCCACCAGGTGTTCATGAGGCGGCCCTTGTAGCGTTTCCCATTAGGTGACCAGTTTAGAGCGGTTTTTGCGATAAAGGCTTCTTGCTGGGTGACATGTCCAATCCGCCTCCAGCGTCTCCTAATCAGGATAGTAGCCATTGGTTCAGTTCCACACCGTTCAAAGAGATCTTTTGTTTGAGCTGACATTGGGCCGGAAAGGGCATATGAAGCATAAGATGCGCCGAAGGCTCCTGGTGTGAAATGCGGAGAGTTTTGATAAATACTTTTCCGACAAGCGCCAACTTTCTAAACCATACAGGAGAGTTGTCAGGACGCAGCTGTGATAGAGTTTCAGCTTAGTACGAGTACGGTAAGCGGAGGAGTCATGTTGAGAAAGTTTCTAGCCTTGTTTAGACGGCTCTGGATTTCTAAGCGTAATCCAAGCTAATTCAGATCTTCCAGGTAGGAGAAGGGTGTCTACCTAATACCCCTGAACTGATCAGTCCACAACAAGATTGAGAAAAAAATGTGGACGTGAGACTCCCCTGTCAGACACCAGACACATCATTTATCTTCATTACATATCAAACACTGTCACTACACATCATTCACCGTCATTGTACACCATTTGCCGTCATTGCACATCACTCACCGTCATTGTGCATCACTCGCCGCCACTGCACATCACTTACCGTCATTTCACATATCATTCACCGTCATTGCACATCACTCACCTTCCCTGCACATTATTCACCGCCACTGCAAATCACTCGCCATCATTGCACATCATTCACCGTAATTGCATTCACCGTCACTGCACATTATTCACCGCCACTTCACATCACTCACCGTCATTGCACATCATTCCCCGCCTTTGCACTTCATTCACCGTCATTGCACGTTATTCACCGCCACTGCACATCATTCACCACCATTGCATATCATTCGCCGTCACTGCACATCATTCACCGTCACTGCACATTATTCACCGTCACTACGCATCATTCACCGCCACTGCACATCATTCACCGTCCCTACACATCTTCGCCGCCACTGCACATCATTCAGCGTCATTGCACATCATTCACCGTCATTATACATCATTTACCGTCATTGCACATCATTCACCGTCACTGCACATTATTCACCGCCACTGCACATCACTCACCGTCATTGCACATCATTCACCGTCACTGCACATCATTGACCATCACTGTACATCATTCGCCGCCACTGCACATCATTCACCGTCATTGCACATCATTCACCGTCACTGCCCATTATTCACCGCCACTGCACATCACTCACCGTCATTGCACATCTTTCGCCGTCACTGCACATCATTGAACATCACTGCACACCACTGACCGTCATTACATATCATTCACCGTCACTGCACATCATTTGCCGTCATTGCACATCATTCACGTTCAATAAACATCATTCACCTTCATTAAACATCATTCAACGTCATTACACCTCAATTCCTTTCATTTTACATCCTTCACTGTCACTGCACCTCATTTACGGTCATTACATACCGTTTTCATAGTATTCATCGGTATTATACATTACTCTACGGCATTATGCGTCAATAGATTTGAAGCTTCAATAACTCCCCCACCCTCGGACATTTGAACTTTTGACGATTGGTCGATTGGTTTGTTCAAATTCCAGCCCCCGGAGCCATTATTTGTGTTCAAATGTCCCATCCAAGGGCCGGAATATAATTTAGATAGTCACTTTTTTGTAGAAGGCATCATCAGCGACCGTGAATGTCTACTCATTGACCAAGCTCTAAAACTTACACTGTTTAGACCTTTTCTTCCAGGCCATTCGCATGCGAAAATGAGTATTTTACCCCTACATACTTCCACATTGTATGTATGATAAAACACGTGTTTTTCATGAGAAACACCGCACTTCTGATTCAAATTCCACACACACTGGGTACAGGTGAGACTCAAATGGCCTTGGGTTGCCGTCATTACGCAGCGCACACTGTCATTACACGTCATTGTCAAATGCCAGCCCAGATGAGCTCTGCACAATTTTGCGTGTTGCGTGACACAGTTGCTTTGTTGGACGAAAAACACTGGGAAGTAGTTATGAGGACATCATTAGAGAATAGCGGCGCAAAATGGTGGCGTTTGCTGCAAAGAGTTTTGAGAATGATGGATTCTGTTCCCATAGTAGAAGCTAAAACAGCAGCTTAAATATCACTTGTCTATCAGTACATTGGAGCTCTTGTTTGATGATATTTAGAGGGGAAAATGACGTCAAAGTGGATGAAAAAACTTTGTACGTAATGTCGTGCAATCAACTTTTGCGAATCTTTTTGGCCCAGACATATGAAGTGGTAAGGACAAGCTCTTTTAGGCCTCATTTCGGCATGATACGACGCTTGAAATTATCAGTGCTACGTTATATGTAGAAACTAAGGTGTTCGTGCACGTCTCACCAGCATGCGGTACAGTACATTTCTTTGTTTTATTTCTGTTGTGTATTCATTTGGTGGAGACACTCTTCAATTGCTTTCTATATTCTGTCTTTATTCATTGATCAAGTATATGTTATAAGCTGGTACAATGATCTTACTTGGCTACAGTACTTTCACATCATTCAGTAATCTTACAGTAAAGGCTGAAAGTTTCTAAAGAAACTGTGGTGCTGTGTCGGTGGGGGTAACAAGATAATTGGTCACATCAACTAAGTTGAAATTGTAAATTGGCCACCATAACAAATAAAAAAGGTGACGTTTCGAGCGTTAGCCCTTCGTCATTCACTCTGACAAAGGGCTAACGCTCGAAACATCAGCTTTATCATTCGTTACGGTGGCCAATTTACAACTTCGTTGGTATTGTATTGATGTTGTAAGGAGAAATTCTGTCTTGGTCACTCATGGGAGTTAAGGGTTAGTCAGAGATGGAAAGGTTTCCTAGTTTGGAAATTTCATAGGGGTAGGGGCTCATTGTATTGATCCCCCTGCCGGGCAGAGGGAATAAGAAGTCATAAAGTTCTTGTATAACAGAGCCTGGCCTAATTCCCAGTGGTTAATTGATCATTTTGAGTACCTTAGACATTTGACAAACAATTCTTGCAATTTTATACAGGTGTACATGTCATCCACCAGTGTAGGTGAAACCATAATCACAAAAACTGTGCCCAAGGTCTAGAATATTCAAGACTGAGGGGCTACAGCTTTTGTCATTATGGACCAATACCTTATTAGGCTAGGGAATAAGTTTTTTACAATTCGCTAAAACCCAAGGAAATAATTATTTTCAAAAGAGTATAATAATGATAAAAATTATTATGGATTTTTTGAAGGAGTAGAATCAAGTATGGCACAACCCAGTAGTCCACACCATCCTTGGAAATTTGTGTAAAAAAATGTAAAGAAAGTTCCTGTCTCACATTAATTATAATTATAATCAATTAATTATATATGTTATCAGTGATTATAGGAATATGATTTCCAAACAAACTCTGCCCTAGAATGAATGCCACTCTTGAATGAATGCTGTGTTGTTTATGTTAACTAATATTTATGAATGCTGTGACTTTAAATAAGTTGGCAATTAACTTAGTTCATGAACAACAATGACACAACAGAGTCTGTATTGTGATATATACTCTTTTATTGTATTCAATTCAGTCAGTAGATTGGTGGTAAAGATATGCCATGAACATTGCCTTCTTTGTGGTGTACAGCCAAGCTTTGGTATACCATATATGTGTTACCTTTGTGCATTGTCTGCCAGGATACAAGGCCTTTGGACAATCCTCTGTTGTCTGTTTTGATCAGGTATGAAGCCTATGTAAAGACCCTCAGCTTTATTCATGCTTCACTCTGATATAAATAGCTAAAAAAAACTGACGAAGAGGTACATGTAAATGTACATCATGCTTATTATTAACCTATAATAATTAAGTTACAAACCGAGTTTTTTTTCACCCAAATTTATTACACCTGGGCCAGAAATCCAAGTGAAAAAATAAAAAACACAGTTCTCTATACCATCCTTGAAGGTGAACAGGCATGTTCAAATTTGACTTGAACTTTTTGAAATGTGTCACTTTAAAGTGAGTAGGCCGTCATCCTATTGAGCACCATCTGAAAGCAATGTATTAGACTGAATTGGAAAACAAGATTTTTCTGTGCTATAAAATGTTACATGTAGTTGACACTGGTGCCATGAGATGGTCTGATGAATTGATTGTCTATGGTACATCACTAGTTACACTAGCGACACTTTTTCACTGCCTGGCTTCTGGCATTTAGGATGCTTTTGATAAATATTATATCACTTTCAGTGAATCCATTGCTAAATACCACTGCAGGTCATGGTACAGCATAAGTTGTAAAGAAAAGGACTCCGTCCTCATGCATAACTGTGTCAAGAAAAGTGGCTCAACATTGATAACAATAAGCTTAATATACAAGTGAAAAATAACCCTATATGGCCATTTTTGAACAACAGCTTCAGCACACATGAGGGATTTTGTCAAAGCGTCTGATGAGCATACAAGTGGGAAATTTAAACACTTGGAAAGACTGAAGAAAAGACAAATTCTCCCTGGGTAGGGTGATACTGGTAGGATTTGTTTGGTTGCAAATAATGGAGGTTGCAGGGGACGGGTAAGGGCGACAGTTGCATAAAGGTGAACAATATTAAAGCTTAGAAGGCGGTAGCTTACAACCATTTAATATCACAGTGGCGTCACGAAAGATGATGAACTATCTCAAAACATAATTTCACAGTGGCGTCTCTGGCGCATAATTGATTTGAAAAAGACTTTTCCTTTCAGAAGTATCTAAATAGGTTTGATCTGCACATTGTGGAAAACTTGATAAAAATTTCATTTACTGATAAGGAGCGCATTTTACCATTTTAATCAGCGACAATTATACTCAAATATCAATAAGGCCACAAAATTTGTGAAGCAAGGTCAGAAATACAATACCTCGAGTTTAGCAGTGACCCTATGGAATGGTGGTATTGTGGAATGGTGGAATAATATCTTGCAACACAGAATGCCTTGTTGTATGAAACAAAAGTCTTACAAAATGGAATTGCAATGAAATAGGAAAAACATTTATAATCAACTGGAAAAATTAAAACTAAAAGAAGCCTAGTTTAATTATTATTGGGGCCTAGGGAAAAGACTGATCAAGGAACAGTGAGGTTCTTGAGCTAACCCTAACAGTTATCATTACTATTTCTATTGTTATCATTATCATCAGTAAATTATAGATATAATATTAATGTACAAGATGATAATGTAGAGCTGACTGACAGTCTGAAGATTCTTGGTGTCATTTTAGATGAAAGAATAACATTTAAGCCCTAGTATATACAAGTACAACTTAAGAAGGCATGTGCTAAGGCAGCTGCCATGCGTAAGCTGCGTAAGTTTATACCACAAGATGTTATGATTCGCCTTTACAAAGCATATGTACTACCCCACTTAGAGTATTGTAGCCCACTCCTGCTAGGAATAAGTAATGGACTCAAAAACAAGTTATAGGACACTGATTGCTGCATCCTAAGGACTATCCTAGGGTATTCAAGCTCAGTGTTTTCGTCATAATTCAGCTAAATTACAAAACTTAGAGACACAGAGGCAATTCTAGTCATTAGTTATTTTGTATAAATGTTTAACAGGACAGGGACCGGAATATCTTAGGAAGCTTTTTAACATTTTTAATGTAAATTACAACCTAAGGGGGTCTGGCACACACCTTAAGCTGCCATCGTTCAACTTAGAATACATGCACAAATCATGGTCATATTTAACTACTAAGCTTTGGAATGGTTTGCCTACTAGAGTTAGGGAATGTCCGGACTTGACTGCCTTTAGGCGCGCGTTGCATTCGTTTATGGTGAGGCTTTAACTCGATTTTTAACAACTTTCGCTTATTAAATTAACCCATTAAACTGTGTTTTGAAGCTAGTCGAGCAGATTTCGGGTCACTGTTGTGGTTTTAAAAGCTCAAACTTACCAAAAACCCCTGGACAGCTCGTGCACTCGACGGCCTTTCGATCCAAATGCAAAATGGCGGCCTGAAAATCTTGGGCACTCGCAGAGAGCAAAATTTCGACATAGTTTTTGGGTCGAAAAGTCATGCCCCACTTGCGACTTCTACTTTTCTCTCTTTCTCCTGCCCTTTTTTTCCCCTCTCCTTGCCTGAAGTTTCTCCTCACTTGCTGGAAATTGAGTAGGCTTCATTTTGGTGTAGAGATTTTTCAGAAACTACTCATTATTTTCAAAGCACATACTCGGAAAGGTAGGTGGGTAGTGAAACACAATTTTCGTGCAGATTTTCAGTTCAAAGTGACACGGTTTTTTGGCTATTTCTCCAATCTCCTTCACTCAATTGCGCTCATTCTGGTATCGTCTGTAAGATATTTTCAACCTGTTCAAGTAGGTGCTCAAATTCGTGCTCCAGGGTTAAAAGTGATGACGTCACAAGGCGTAGAAAGGGTGTGGGTCCCCATGGGCGCATACGGGCGCACTGGACGTCAATGGGTTAAATTAGATAGTACATACAAATTAGATAATATATAGCTTTTCAATATTTTTATCTATTGATATTAGTTCTTATTAGCTCATTATTTGTAATTAGTTTCACGTTCATGTTTTAAACGAGCTATTAGCTCTTAGGTGACACGTGGGTAAATAAAGTATTATTATTATTATTATTATTGTCATCATTATTATTATTATTATCACTATCATTATTGTTAAAATGATTATTTGGTACCATTTAATTATTGGTGGTTGAGTGTTAATTAGTCACTATAATCATCTTTCTCCTGTGGAACAAGTCTGACTCATATGTGGAATACTGCAGCAGTATCCATATGCAGTCTTAACTGCCTATTTTTCCCTGGGGAAGACCATCGAAAATTGACTTGACAAGACAAATTTACACTACCCACTCCCCCAAAGCAGCTAAATCAGTAGTTAATTTTCCCTCTGGGGTACTCCAGTGACAATTTACCTGTCGAGTGCAAATATACACTACCCACTCCCCAATGTGGCTGAATTGTCATGCCACAAATTTTTTCCAATTTGTCACAAACTTTTTTGCATAGCTTTGGCCAAAGTCCCTCAGTGCTACCAACAACAAAAGGACTCTTGTGTAATACTTAATGTGAGATGTTGAGCTGGAACAATAGACCATTTCTTGATAATTATGTATTAATACAAACATTTTTTGTACAAATACAGAGGTATATCATTTTGTATATATGGTACATCTTTATGTTAAGTTCTTATTTATTTTTTTTGTCGCTAGAAATAATGGAAATTGAAAAGGCAACTGTCCTCAACCAAGAGCCCACTCTATTAAATACCCACTGTAAAGGTCCAAAAATTGAATTGATCAAATACTGTACATTTTATATTAATTTATTACCTTTTCATTTGATTATTTCTGTCTGATGGGCTCAACTTGATTTTCCACCTTTGTGGTGGTTTGGGAAACTGAAAAGGGCCATCATGAACCAGAAAATATATCTTTCTTCAGTCAATTAAAAGAAAAGTGTGACAATCTGCCTTAAAGTATTACTATTACCGATAATAGCTCTTGTCTCAGATGAACCTTCATAGACCTGAATACTTTTTTCACTGGGGATGATGTAAAAGTACACGTAACTTGTCTAAATTTGGCAAATGTCTCCATTTTCTATCTTTTCTTGTTTTTGTTTCAAGGGCTGACTCCAGCAGTATTAAGCATTTAATATTGGTTATCTGGATAAGTCAAGCTTTTGTTTTGCCATTCTTGATCATTGATCATGATCCATGACTTGTCCTAATTGATCAAGATACAACTTAATTGACAAATTCTCTTACTGATACATAGGGTCAGGGCCTAATTATAGCACTAGTTGTTCATATTATCACACTACCTTCACCTGTACAAGTCTCAAAATTGCACAAGAGAAAGTACTATCACT